CTGTGTGTAACAAGATCGAAGACATGGGCGGCATTGGGTCCAGGTGAGGTCGCTACCGGTATCGAAGACGAGGGAGAGTTGCTTGGCGGGCGTGCCGAGGCCGACGGTGACAAAGTAGTTTCCTGAACCCAGAAGGAGACCGGACTTGGCTGGGAGGGTGGTGGCGGCGGATTGGGTGAATGGGTGGTGGATTCTGTAGTTGAGGCGGGAGTGGATTGAGTTGACTCGGGCTTCGTCTTGCTTGAGGATTTGAGCGTGGTATTTGTCATCACCTTTTGTGGTTGAAGTTTTGGATGATTTGTGGAATATAGAGCATGGCCCATGCTTGTGTACCACTTCCAATATTGTTTGCCTTGTTATTGGTATGACCTGGTCATTGAAAGGGATGAGTGTATGTATACATGTGACTCTTTATGCATATACTCACAATTATATCCATCTGTGCATGCCTGGCACTAGTTTACGGGTAACAAGACCATGCACGTCATGCAGGTGAGAGAGACACAAAGGTAATGGGGCACGGGGCTCTGTTTTTTAATATTTTTAATAGAGTGTATGTTTTTCTATGCATATGAATATTAGAGGGAATTTCACAGTAGATCTATATAATAGCAAACTCTACTCCCATGCGCCATTGGAATTAACAGCGTACATAGCAAGGCCTAACGAAATACTGGATGCCAGACAATATATGAATATATATATATATAGAGAGTGAGAGAGAGAGATGCGTGCACGTAATTAAAATGGGGTTTGAAATGAATTAACCTTTGGTGGAGGGGTTGCAGGTGGTTGCTGGTAGAAGAGAGTTTACTTCAACTGTGTGAGTAGTGTGTGGCAGAAGGTGGGGTTCTGGACTTATTGCTGCCACAGCAATGTCCTTTTCGAAAGAGCAGAGAATTAGGAACACAAACACAGAGAAGAAACCCATGAAAAAAACCTGAGGAAAGAGGAGGAGCTAGAAATGAATATAGTTAACAAGCCTAGCTAGCTATTGCCTGTAGATTATGTTCGAGCATACTATTGGCCTTATATAAACTATTTGGAGGGTTTAATTTTCTACATTTGCTCCATACCATCGTTCTCAACACATTCACACCCCCGCCCTAACCCATTAATTTTTTTTTGCTGAATTTTTTTGGTCGATCGACTTTGTCCACCCGTTCTCTTACGTTAATTATCTTTCACCCGTGAATTCTGTGTTGCCTAAAACCGAAGGAACTACAAGGCAAAAACAAAAAAATATAATGAAAGGAAGAAGGTTCTCTGTCTATATACATACATTATACATACAATATTGTAATTAATGCCAAGTGGACTTGGAGTTTGGAAGGAAGGTACTGCATGCATGCGTTCCTGTTCCTAGTCACGACTCACGACTACTCATGGGTCACAGCATTTAGTCCCCATATGCTCATTTTTCCTGAAATATGAAAATAAAAGTATCACAGCATTTTAGTGCCCCTATGCTCAACTTTAGAAATAAGAAAAAAAAACCGTAAACCTCGACAACTATGTGCCTCTTTCATGTTTCCCTATCTACTTAAAGATGTATGATTGTATCCCAAAGTTTACAAAACCTGGTATTAGATACAATATTCACGATTCAGCCATCCAAAACAGTAGTATAGTTCTCTAAAATGACAACTGAAGACCCTTGTTGAGTACCAACAGAATTCTTCAGCGCATTCCACAACTTCTACCTTCTGGCCTCATCATGAACTCCACCAGGTCCGATTCCACCGAAGGCCTAGGTTCATTTCATCCCATCCTCTAATATCGCTTGAATACAAAAATAAAAACCATATTGTCTTCCTTTTGCTTTTTAAAACAAAAATGTTATATTTAAAAACAAAAACAAAATAATAGTAAATTGAGCTTAGACCCATAAAATTCATTTTTAATCACCTATAGTCATTCTCTTTATTTTTCTATTTAAAATATCCAATTTTTGAAAATAATGTACCTAATATTTTATAAAAATAATTTACCTATTATGAATAAAAGATGATAGGTGAATTGTTGTCGATAAGAGATAATAGGTAAATTGACATTATCAATAAAAGATAACATACCTCTTTTTAAAAATACATAATTTACCTCAAATATAATAGGTTTCTCTCAGTAAATTATTTTTATTTAGAAATGAGCACCATTGTAAAAATAATATAGATGCCATTTATATCTAGAAAATAAGAATTACAACAGACAAATTTATGACTTGGGCTTCTTTCTCAATCCAGTCCAATTACATTATACACAAATAATGCTTTATTCTATAGCTAGCAAGCTGTCTGTATTACACTTATACCCCATGGACGAACGTCATCACTCAATCGCAACCTTCAGGGGCAAATCCGACTTTTCCTCCAACGACGTCATACACAACTTCGAACCTCTTCTGTTGAAAATTCCCAATAATCCCGACGTCACTATCATCCTTGTTTCCGGCAAACGCTAAGCAAACCTGCGAAGGACTTATCGGAATCAATATCCCGGTCCGGTCCAAGTCCACCGTAAGTCCATCCCCAAACACAAACGCTATCTTCGGATACGACACCGTGTCCAAGCCGCTGAAATCGTAACACGTGTCCAGCAACGAATCGCCCTTAGTCAGCGTGTAGTTCTTCATCGCCTCCTGAAACGCGCCCCGCAACGCGGTGTATGCCGTCGCGGGCAACCGCGTGATCACCGTCCCCGAGTCGATGATCGTTCCCGAAGACGAAAAGATCGAGGGCGCAATCGACAGCTGGCTCCCCCCGACGTTGATGCCGGAGAGGCCGAGGCCGTAAAACGACGACGCGCTTTCGCTTTGGGATGACGTGATGAGCTTCGTGAACTTAACGCCGTTAGGAGAGCCTCCGTCGCCAAAGGTGAGGTGACCGGTGGAGCTGGAAGTCGATGGGAGGCAGTAGGAGAAGAACCGGTTGTACTTATTGGCGGTTTGCTCGACCAAGGAGATGCTGCTCCGGCCGAGACCGAGCAAACCGGCGGATCCTCTGAATAGGCCTTCGTTGTCTAGGCCACAGCCGAAGAGGAAACCTTCAAAAACGTCCGTGGGTGTCAATGTAAGCTTTTCGCTGCCAAATACCCCTTTAGAGAAGGAGTTGTCACCGTACCCGGCGATGTAAAGGCAGGCGGAGGTGGAGGCGGAGCAGCTTTGTTCGAGGCCGGAGGATGGGAGCTGAGTACACGCGGCGGTGGTACATGGGATGCTTTTGTATGAGGCGGAGAGAGAAGGGTCGAAGATGGGTTCAGTCTGATTGTAACAAGACTGAGTAGCAGAACATGCCTTGCATTGGGTCCAGGTGAGGTCGCTGCCGGTGTCGAAGATGAGGGAGAGTTGCTTGGCGGGTGTACCGAGGCTGACGGTGACAATGTAGTTCCCTGAGCCGATAACGAGACCAGACTTGGCGGGGAGGGTGGTGGCGGCGGATTGGGTGAGTGGGTCTTTGTTGTTGTTGTGGTTGAGGCGGGAGTGGATTGAGTTGACTCGGGCTTGGTCTTGCTTGAGGATTTGAGCATGGTATTTTTCATCACTAGTTGTGGTTGAAGTTTTTGATGATTTGTGGAATTTGGAGCATGGGCCATGCTTGTGCACCACTTTCAATACCGATGATGCCTTGTTATTGTTATGACCTGAGATCATTGAAACATGTAAGCATAGAGAGAGAGAGAGAGAGAGAGAGAATTTAAGTTATATAATATGGGATGAATTAACCTTTGGTTGAGGGGCTGCAGGTGGTTGCTGGTAGAAGAGAGTTTACTTCAACTGTGTGAGTGGAATGTGGCAGAAGGTGAGGTTTTGTATCTCTTGCTGCCAAAGCAAATCCGTTCTCGAAAGAGCAGAGAATTAGGCATAGAAATACAGAGAAGAAACCCATGAAAAACCTAAGGAAGGAGGAGCTAGAAATCATGGGAGTTGCCATGAATAATTAACAAGATTGCCTCTAGATTATTGAGTTGCTGCTGTAATGTAAGCATACTCTTGGCCTTATATAGGCTAATTGGAGACAGGGATGTCAACTGGATTTATCGGCCTTAATTTCAAAGCATTTACTCATGAAAAGTGCCCTGCACCCAATCAGTCCAAGTCTCCGCAGACTCCATATACAACGTTTTCAAGACGTCCAATAATTGGTTATTTTGAGTTGTAATTTATAAATAATTTTTACAAAATATTAGACACTTTAAAAATTATTAAAACATCAAAATAAACATTATAGTCGTTTAACTTATTGTCTATCACCTGTCAATTCTGTGTTGCATCCAAAGACAAAAAAGATGAAAGATAGAACTTTATGTCAATTCTGTGTTGCATCCAAAGACAAAAAAGATGAAAGATAGAACTTTATGTCGATATTGTAATTAAAGCGCAGCGGGTTTGGAGTCTGGAAAGTATAGCAGACGTTTCTGATGGTAATCAAGGCGCCATTTCAGCCTCTTGTTATTGTATCCATGGTGGCATGGCACTTTTCAAACTACACCAACCATAAACTTGGAATTTTCCATGCGCCTGTTGCGCATCATCATATGCCATTTCAAAGTCAATAAGTCAACGGACTTTAAGCTAACCAATTGGTACTTGATTCTCCACTGGGCATTTCATTTGAGGCAAGACCAAATCAAGAGAAAATTCATCCTATTTTGCATGCCCAAAATTAGCTAAAAAATCCAACATAGTTTTATTTGTGTACAACTTGCATTGCATACTTTCAATTCTTTAGCTAGCTATTACACCAACACACAAACCAATTGTCACTATAGCTTGTTCCAATTAGTCTATGTGTATCACAACTATACTTTTATACCAATTGATGATCATCTTCTTCAATCAACAATGGGTTAATTAGCTAGCTTAATTAAGCTAATTTCAAGCTAGCCTTCATTAAGTAGTCTTAATATTAATATCACAGCCCCATTTGTGCTGACTCCAAGATTGTCTTCTTCATTAGCAAAGCTGGGTAGCTGTATGCATTGCATAATAATATAGCCATAGCTCAGGGGCATGCTGCAGGGGCAAATCCGACCTTCCCACCAGCAATATCATACACCACCTGCAGCCTCTTCTGCTGAACGTTCCCAAAAATCCCAATGTCGCTATCGTCCCCATTCCCAGCAAACGCCAGGCAAACCTGATCCGCGCTCCCCACGTACAGTATCCCCGTCGCGTCCAAGTCCTGCGTAAGCCCGTCGTCAAACACGAACGAAATCTTCGGATACGACACCGTTTTGAAGCTGCTGAAGTCGTAGCAAGTGTCGAGTATCGAGAGCGCCTGAGTCAGCGGATAGCTCTTCATCCTCTGACGAAACGCCGCCTTCAACGCGCTGTACGCCGTCGGCGGCAGCCTCGTGATCACCGTTCCGGAATCTATGATCGTCCCCGAAGAAGAAAAGACCGAAGCCGAAATCGCCAATTTAGTCCCGCCGACGTTGATCCCGACGACGTTGAGGCCGTAAAACGAGTCGCCTTGGGAGACGGTGGAGAGGCCCGTGAACTTGACGGCGTTGGAAGATCCGCCGCCTTTGCCGAAGCTGAGGTAGCCGGTGGAGCTCGAGGTGGAGGGGAGGCAGTAGGAGAAGAACCGGTTGTATTTTTGAGCCGATTGTTCCACAAGGGAGATTTGGTTTCGGCCGAGACCGAGCAAACCGGCAGCGCCTCCGAAAAGGCCTTGGTTGTTCTGGCCGCACCCGAACAGAAACCCATCAAACACGTCTGCGTTCGTCAAGCTCAACTTCTCCCTGGCGAAGTAGCCGACGGAGAACGACTGATCGCCGTACTGGATGCCGTAGATGCAGGTGGACGTGGAGGCCGCACAGCCGGGTGTGTTTCCAGTGGCCGAACTCAGCTGAGTGCACTTGGCGGAGGTGCAGGAGACGTTGGCGTAGGAGGCGGAGAGAGAAGGGTCGAAGATGGGCTCTTTCTGTTTGTAACAAGATTTTACACATGGTCTACATTGGGTCCAAGTGAGGTCGCTGCCCGTGTCGAAAATGAGCGATAGCTGCTTCTTGGGCGAGCCCAGGCCCACGTTGACTATGTAGTTTCCCGATCCCACGACGCTTCCGGACTGGGCCGGAATGGTGGTGGCCGCCGATTCGCGTAGATCATCGACGCTTTTGAATTGCTTCTTGGAGTTGACTCGGGAGTGGATTGAGTTGACTCGGGCTTGGTCTTGCTGGAGGATTTGAGCATGAGTTGGAGTTTTGGATTTGTGCTTCTTGAGTCGGGAACATGGGCCATGCTTGTGTACCACTTTCAGCACTGATGATGATGCATGCTTGCTCATATGACCTGAATTTCAAATAATTTACAATTATGATTAGTGACTCGGTTTGAATTGAATTATTTTTACTAAATTGGATTTAATGTCTTTATCGTTGTTTGATAAATTAAAAAAAAAAAGTAAGATAGGAACTAATTAAATTGCACAACAATTCAATATATCGGAACTTGTATATGGAGACGTTTGTTTTGTTAAACAACAAATTAGGTCGGTCGTTTTGTTTTAATGTAAAGACCAACTTATGCACTAATTATTTTGGTATATGTCGGCACTAGGCATCAATATGGAAGGGTGTCATGGCCAGCTGGCAGTGCCTATCGTACCTGCTTATGTGGCCATGATTGGCCAAGAAAGGAACATGCTTGATGATTACGTAGCTTGCAAAAAAGGACTTCCAAGTGGGAAGAAACTCAAAACTCACATATGTCTTTGTATGTTTGTGTTTGTGTTGAGCAATCATAGTCGAAATTCCTTTAATTAAATAAAGGGAGATTCACTATTATACCCAATATAAAGGCCTAAATTATAAAAATACCCCATATGAAATGAACTTTAGAAACACACCCAAAGTCCATTTACAACATAACAAAAAAGCTTTTAACTTCTTATAAATTACAAAATTGCCATCAATTTCTTAAAACAAGTCCAACCCAAAAATCTCATAAAACTACCCAAAACACTCAATAGGACATCAAAGTAATTTAATAATCAATATTAAATTTAATAAGGCCAGTTGTCATTTTTTGGGTGTTTTTTTGGGTATGTTTACAGAAATTCAATTGTGTAGGGTTTATTTATAATATTAGTGCTAAGAATGGGTATATCACTAAATATCTCTTAAATAAATAAAGAGTCATGTTTACTGATTGCATGCGTAATGTTTAAACAAAAACTTAATTAATACTATAAAATCTTTTAATCCGTAAATTAAATGATCCATAAACAAAAATGATGATCTCAATTAACAAAACCCTGGAAGGAAAAACTCTTTAATTATTTATGTAACACTAAATTATAAGTTTATTGACAATATAATATTATTACTAGCCCCTTGGTTTTCTTTTTTAATTTTTATTTTATTTTTAGAATTAAGAAAAGACAGGGTAGTTATGTTCCATAAAAGTAGGACCTATTATATGATTTTGTTTTTAATTTTAATTTTTTTAATATGAAAAATGTGAATTTATTATATTATCCTCATTTAATTAATAATTTCAATTCTTAATGTTTGAATTAACCAATTACATTTTTTGGTATTTTGAATGTTTCACCATTTTCTGCTTTTGCTTTATATATATAGATGCATGCTTGCTGAAAGTTACATCTCCTACCAAAACTTTATTATTATTATTTCAAAAATAATAAACCATTTTAAGATTTTGCAGAATCTAATCTATGCCATCTTTATCAAAGTATCCCCTTAAATATATATAATTTTTCTAATTATATATATATTTTATAGAAAGAAATGTTCTTATGGCTTGTTGCTCATGGGTTAAAGAATTGGATTCTCCGATGACCAGCAGCAACAGTACTGTATATATAAATATATGTATATCTACTTCCACCATTGCAATCAAACCAAATATGACAAGAAAACATGCACACAGAGGAGAGAAAGAGGGAGAGAGATAAACAAAAAGGGTTTCAGAGATATTGACCTTTGGTGGAGGAGGAGGAGGAGGAGGAGGGGCTGCAGGTGGTTGCAGGCAGCAGAGAATTGACTTCAACTGTGTGAGCATGTTCTCTTTCTTCCAAGGCAAAGCCCTTCTCCAAAGAGCACAGAATTAGGCATAGAAAACCAGAGCAACAAATGATATACCTCATGAGGAAGGAGGAGCTAGAAATGGGAGCTGCCATGATTATTTCACAAGCTAGCTAACCTAAACTCCCACCCACAGATGTAAAATAAAATGATGTTTGCTCCTCAAAGCATACAACCCTTTAGCCTTATAAGCTGAATGGAGAGACAATGGGTTTCCAATTCTCACACGTCACCCATTATAACAGTAAAAAATTATTAATGCAGCTTCCACATCAATGTCAAATGCACAAAACGACATCATCCATGGATTTGTTTCGAAAATATAAGTAGATATGAGAGTATATAGGATGTTACATTAATTAACATAAATACATATATAATATACTTATATGTATTTTCCGATATCATATAATAATTTCTCGTGAAACTATTATTTTTTTTATAAAGATAAATTGTGTCCAACCATCGTGTACAGATATTGACAAATACATAGCGCTTAAAAGTGCCTATAGGCAATAGGGGAGGAGGCAGCCTTAGCTCACCATTTTGTTTGGGATAAAACACAGCATGGGCCCTGGCTATGCCTACGAGTGTGACCTTAGGCAACCGCCTTACATTGACCTCACTCTTCGTCATTAGCACTAAACGTTTGATAATTAAGTCTGAATTTGTACTTTTTCTTTTGTTGTTGTATGAGGATGAAAACTGTTTATTTTTGAGGTATAGCACTTTAAAGATCATTTATACCAAAAAAATAAAAAAAAATAAAAAAATTGGAGTTCGTTTAACCCAATTGAGTAACATTGGGATAGTTCTGTGTTCATCCAATAACAATTAAATGACTAAACAATTTCCGGTTTGGTTGTTTTTTTCACATATGATTTAAAGAGTGCCCTAAAAGAGACGTTTATAATTATTAAACTACATTGTAGTATGAGACCGAATGAGAGAATGTAGAACGGCGACTTTCTTGTATTAAAAGCACGGCCATTTATCTACCCTACTGATAGCTAAAGGGACCCCACACCTGATTGCTTACTGAACCTGTGTGCTACCCTAATTAGCATTAATGTATGGACATGATTTTCTTGTTAATTAGGCAAATTCTGAGATTAGGAACCTTAATTAAATTCTTGCATTCATCTCATCCATCCTTCCATAAGAAACATAAAATATTAACAATCAGTATTTTTCAGCATCCATTATTTGTTTTGTTCTCTTGTTGTTATACCATACGAATGGCACTACTTCATAGTCGGTAGTTTCACACTTGAATGACTTGGGTTGGGTCCAACCAAAATCGTCTGTAAAGACAACGCTGTAATTGTCAACAATGTTAGGTCTTTTTGTTCTCTTTTATTGGTTGGTTTTTTCACTTTCACACAGAAAAAGAGATAGGAAGCAATCAATCATCCTGTAATCCGCGGCACTTGATTTTTCGGTGGAGAGAGGCTGCTGGGATGGGAGGTCGATGGAATCATGAAATTATTTTTCATGCTTTTATTTGCTCAAAAGGTAAAAATATTGGATTTCAAGTGGTTTCCCACCCACCCAAAATCCCCCCACCCCACTTCTAACGTGCTCCACAAGTTAAAACTCCACTATAACTAACAATTATTCGTCCTATTATGTAAGTCTCTGGCATGCTGATTAATATTTTGTCATCTAAATTGTATAACATGAATTCTTCCGATTGATAATTTGACAACATTATAAAAATATTAGTACTAATACGACTAATATCAATATTAGTATTCATACATATCGTGTATAGGAGCAATGTTGACCTGATCAACATAATTGCACACTTCCCGAAGAAATAATTGAGTCCACGAAGACCACACCAATCATCCAATCCAACTAGTTGAAATTATTACAAGAAAACGAAGCGTTGTTTAATTTTTAAACAATGGGTCTCTATCATTAGTTCTTTTCAAAAATTATTATTGGAACAATTCATTTGTTTGTAAATTACTATATTCTCCACTCGGACATCTATGTTCTTAATCTGGCTCATCAATTCAGTTAGCTATTGATATTTTACTTAAACACTTTGTCAAAATGCCTCAAAAAGGTTGAGGTAGAAACTAATTGTATTTACCATTGTAGCGTGAAGAAAAATATCTGAATCCGCCACTATATTATTACGATCCAAACTAAACTTATCATTTCTGTACTTCATGATATTTGAGATTAAGACAATCGTTGTCATAATAATGTAATTGCCTTAGTAGAATTAAAGAAAATGGGCGGCCAGCAGCAAGGTTGGTCCAGCAAAGTTATCTTGTGTTTGTTTGATTGTGAATGGGACATCCCCAATTTCTGGTGGGAATACATTAATAGCTGGATTCTCTTATCAGAGAGAGCGAAGATGATCGGTTGGAATCTTGCTTGGGTGTGGGGTAGACAGAGAGGTTGTAGTGGGTGGTGGAAGAAAGCTGGAATCTGTCCCAAAAGATGAGTGAGAGAGAGATGCTGATTGAGATTTTGATGGCTTAACTTCCAATCATCCTGCAGTTTCCAATTGCTTGCCAAGTAATGTTTTTGATAGGCTTCATCTTCTTTACGCATTTGCCAATTTGGCATGCCCCAATTATTATTTTTCATCCATTAATTTCCCAATTCCCCCACTCAGATAGTGCACTGTGCACCATTGAAAAAGATGAAAAGGGTTTAATAAAAATTATAAAAAAAAGATTTCTCTGAATCTCTGGATAAAATCTTGACAACCCATTACATCAAATATTATACATCAATCAAACTAATTAACAAGGTTACTTCTATAGTGCCTAAGATTATATCAAATCTTCAAACTAGTAATTAATCATCTGTCACCTGCTGCCAATTTGGTGTTGCAAAATGCCAAAAGAAAACCAGGCCAAAAAAACAAATGAAACCCAGAAGGCTTTCTTTCTACAATATAAATGTAATGTAGTTGAGCGAGACTGAGTCAATGTTTGGTGCTAGCAAGCTTCTGAATCTGAAGGTACATTTACATTGGGAAAGATAAGGATACATAAGACAAAGGAAATTCCTGTCATGGCAGCTCATTGCTTTTGGTATTCTAGTGCTTTGTTAAATGTTCATCAGGAATTATCCAAACTACATAAAGATGAAGCTTTATTTGTATTCACACTCTTGGGACGTTCCCTTCGAAAAGTCATCACCCCTTATTATGTAATAATTGAAATTGTTTATTAAAATATGTTCAATGCAACAGAAAAAACAGAAAATAATGATTTTAATGAAAGTCCATAACAATATCAACCCTTGAGAAACTAAGAGTTCTTGTCTATAAGTGAAAGGGTTTCTGTCTCCGATGGCAGGAGTTCCCTTAAAACCTCCCATCACCTTTTCTGGTTCTCACATCAGAAAATGTTCTTGTCTATAAGCAAAAGGGTTTTTGCAATAAGTTCACATTAGCAACAAGGCAAGTAAAAATGCTTCACAATGAAGTAAAGTAGAAAGAAATCACATTTGCATTTCAACGATTGCTTCATTCCTTGGTAACCAGACTATGTTCATATTGAATGAGAAATTTGATTAACTTGAACCATTTCCAAAGTCTCAAGTCCCTTTTTTCAGGGAAAAAAAAGAAGTAATATGCATCGTTAGAAGAAATAACGTATCCAACAGCGTATACGGATGTGAAACAATATTTGGTATCTTGAAAAAAGTTGGTGAGCTTGCCTTATGCAGCCGACAACACTGAATCATAGTTTTGGAGAAGAGCATTATCACAGTACCAGTCCATAGGATCCAAATCATGCATCAAAGCCTTTACATTAGCATCAAAATCCATCCTTTTGATTTCCTCCATTAAAACTCCCAATACACAATATATCTCTTCACAATGGGAGTAGGAACGATCTTCAGCTTTGAAAGAAAAAACCTCATTCTTAATTTCTATCCAACTCCAACCGGGGACTTTTCTCACACCCCTTTCCCTCATAAGCCTCTTTACACTAGCTTTTTCATCCCACCTTTTGAGATGTCCATACATGTCGGAAAGAAGAACATAAGTGCAGTGCTCTTCAGGCTCTAGCTCTAGCAGATAGCCTGCTATTTGACTAGCTAATTCAATATTCCCACAAGCCCTACAGGCACCCAATAAAGTCTTCAAAACCATTGCATCGGGTTTAAAGGGCATTGCTTCAATCAAAGCTTTTGCCTCATCTAGACGCCCAGCGCGCCCATATAGATCCACTGCACAAGCATAATGCTCCATTCGTGGGGTTATTCCATAATCAGATTCCATAGACATTAGAAACTTGCAGCCTTGTTCAACCAAACCCATGTGGCTACAAGCTGTTAGAACCGCAACAAAGGTTATATGATCAAGTTTCACCTTTTCCTTCCTCATTTGGAAGAAGAGGTCAAGTGCAACATATCCCTGTCCATGCTGTGCATATCCAAAAATAATCGAATTCCAAGTGATTGAGCTGTCTTTGGGGGTCTGTTCAAAGGATTTTCTAGCATCCTCAATGATCCCACACTTAGTATACATAAAGATCAAAGAACTAGCAACAAATTCATTGGACTCAAGCCCTGACTTATGTGCCAAGGCATGTATCTCTTGACCCAGTTGGAGGGTTGCTAAATCTGAACAAGACCTGAGGACAGCTGAGAAGGCATAATGATCAATCTCTAGCTCCGCGTATCTCATATGTCCAAAGAATTTCAAGGCATATTCATTCAACCCCATTTGCGATAATCCAGTCAAAATGGAGTTCCAAGAAACACGATCCTTAGACTCCATAGATTTAAATATCTGTAATGCTTCTTCCATGGAATTGCTATTTGACTTGAGATACCTGGCTATCAAAGCATTAGAGATTGGCTCTGACTTTTCTAGTCCCCTTTTTATGACCAATCCATGATAGGATTTTCCATGGTTTTTATGTACGTCTTCAGAATAGGCACTGATGATGCTCGTATAACTGTAGATGTCTGGTTCAAACCCAAGCACTTGCATGTCTATGAAGAGTTTGCAAGCGAGTAGTTCTTTCTTATGAATCAAGTATGCTGCTAGCATGGAATTCCATGTTACCAAATCTCTGCTACCAAAAGCACCATCAAACACTCTTTCGGCATCTTCTATCGACCCACACTCTGAGTATGAAGTGATTGTGGCATTGCACACAGTACTTTTACAATCCAGCCCATGTTTCAGAATTTTACAATGGATTTGCATTGTGGACTTGTAAAACTCAGCATCATCAAGCAATGTCAATATTGGAGCAACTGCGCCATCATCAAGCTTCACACCCTCCTGCTCCATGCAATTCATCAACCAAAATGCCGTTTTACGATCACCTACTTGCACAAAACCAGCAATTAATGCATTCCACGACACAGAATTACGTTCTGGCAAGGAATCGAAGACCACATACGCTTCCTCAACTCTCCTACACTTTGCATACATGTCCAAAAGAGCACTTCCCGAATAAACATTACCCGCGTAACCAGTCTTAACAACCATGGAATGCACTTGTTCCCCAAGATCACATCGATAAGCACAAGCGACCCCCTTAAGTATGCTTCCAAATGTATACCCATCAAAATCGAATCCGCATCTTTTCATCTCTTTTAGTATCTCCCACGCAGCCTCAAAGTTCCCATAGTTCACATGCCCAGCAATCATCGTATTCCAAGACACAGTGTCTCTTTGGGGCATGTCGTCGAACATTTTGTGTGCAAGAAAAAAATCACGACATCTTGCGTATCCATTTAGGATATTGTTGCCGTAGTAAACGTCTGCGAGGAGCCCTAATTTGATTTCCCTACAATGGGTTATCGAAACCTTGCACAAAGCATTCACTGTGCTGCCAAGGAGCGAGTGCAGTGCCCTCATTCATGAGAAGCCACCAATGCCGTTTTCGCTGCATAAACAAAGATAAAGCCTTTCCCTTTTTCGAACACCCAACACTAAAAAGAAATTGAATTTACCAACTTGGTTATTCCCATTTGGTCGAGCCAAAAAACAATATAAAAAAGATCCAATTTTGTTGGAAATTCAAAGAAAACGAGGGAAGTAGGCTCTGCTAGTAACTAGTATGGTGTTATGAGTTATGGTGAAGGAAGAGCAATGGAAGACTAACAAACAGAGGTAGCTCTAGGTCCAAGTACGCGCTAGTTCAGAGCTACAGAGCTAAGTGGTGGCAGCAACAATGGCGGTTGAGTTTAGTTTGTTTGAAATATCGGTTTTAAATGGGAAACGGTCACTTTATGTTTCTACGTTTAATTCCCTGCAAATAGATATGTTTTAAATTTAAAATGAAAAAAAAAGGTTTATATTTTTCATGAATACGATAACATAAAGATAACATTCATTTTGGTTTTTCTCTTCATTTTACAGAGAGGCCAACACAGCAAACAAACGAATAAAGAACTCTTGTAAGTTGTAATGTAACATAAACAATAAAAAGGTTTTACAAATGCATCTTAAAGTTGTCTTAATTTTAAGCAACTTGTGGCATTGAGGACGTAACACTTTCAAAGTAAGAACTTGCAAATTTGCAACTATTTTTCGTTCTTTTATGCATTAGTTGTTGGACAAGAGGCTCGAATTTCGCCTTCTTCACCAGTCTTGACGCCAATGCTAGCAAGCTTCAAGAATGACTGAGCCCAACTCTCAAAGAAAATAACTTGGTCCTGTGCTAAACTCTCCACTAGCTTCCTTGTTCTGTCATCGCTTAACAGGACGGAATCCGATTGAAATAGCCCTCTGTGGGCTATGAGATTTTGGAAGTATTGATTATCGAATGCAAACGAAGTGTTAGGATCAATTTTGACTGTCGTAGATGGATTTGCTCCCGCAGGGCACTGTCTCATGAGCTCCCCTGCATAAGCATTGTCTAAGGATGTGTCAATGAGTTTGAGTTTCCCTTTGGAGTCTTGTTGGAACCTGTCACTGAATGCACCACAATGAGCTGATCCAATAGTGTGAGCTCCTGGAATAATATCATCAAAGAAAGCAGTTAATGGTGTACCTAAAAAACTTCAATCTCTCATTAAAATTTTCAACTAACAAAAAAGTGGTTCAATCAAACTTTGGCAAGCAAAACATGTTTCTAGATAACTAAAATTGTACCTGATAGGGTGACAAGGTCATCCAAAGACAACCCCTTAGATGAGAAGAGCTTAATCATCTCATCCATTGTAAAACTTGTGTCTACAATATTAGGCCTGACATTTGAAGCTGCAGAAACCTTTCCATCTCTCCTACCAGTTGGAATCTGAACTACAGGTCCCCCAGCCTGTTTTCCAGTCATCACCATAAATATAATAAATACCCAACTAGAAGATGCAGAAAAATAAAAAAGAATTAATGAAGAATTAAACATGACAGTTAATGAGGGAGATGGATCTTAACAACTTCAACAGCATCTCTAGCAGCCAAAGCAACAATGTCAGCACAAGAAACAGTTCCTGGACAGAAAATTTCAAGCAGTCTTTTTGCTGAATCAATCACTGAAAAGCCTCCCAGAGATGTGTTTGCTGGATCACTTCTCTCAGTCCCAGTTCCTTGTAAAAGCACAGATGCATCACAACCCTGAAATCATGAAAACCATTACACACAAAAAACATGCATGAAAGAAGCCAACCATTTTCATGGTTTAAGAAATTTTTTTTTCTTGGGGGAGGGAGCTTAGGGTCAATTCAAATCTATGCCAAAAGTCAGTGAGACATAATGCATCTAAGAGAGCAAGCTAGAGTTGTTTACCTCCACAAAGCAATCATGGAAGAGCAAGCGAAGGAGCTTCCCAGGGACGGTAGGGTCCATGTCAGAAGCTGATCTGACTGTGTTTCTGACCATGAGCTCAGCAGAAGGGCATGAAGCTGAGTAGAAACTCAATGTGAGCTCATCACAAGAAGCAGAAGCAGCTAAACATAACCACACAAAGAAGACACCATGTGTGTAAAAGAAGGCTGTTGGTCTTTTCTCCATATTGGGTTATTTTCATGGAGCCTAAACCATACAGAAGAATGCTTAAGACATCTTCTTGGCCCTTGTATTATTATAGAGCATTCAAAGTCAGAAAATATCAGAGAGAGAGACGGATAGGGAGAGAGCAAGAGATAGTTTGCCATGTGGAATCATATGTAAGTTTTATTCAAAGCTGCATTAATGTGGTTTTGGTAATGTCAGAAGGTAGATGGCTTCACTTTGGTTGAGAAAATTACTCATCGCACCAAGAAAAGAAAGAAGAAAAAATAGGATTTTGTGTGGCTCTATGAAAGCAAACATTTTTTATTATCAGATTCAGACCCCATTTATTAACTCTCGGGAAAATTTGAAAATTGGATAGAATTGATGTCTAGGATGAGATTCACGTGATACATAAGAATATGAGGAATGCATTGATCGAATTGAAAAAATGGAGACGAAGACCGTGTATTTGAGATAGTACAAGAACCAGTCATGATAAATAAAAAAAACAAAACAAAACCTATAAAATATCATCTGTTAGACAGATGAATGATTTTTATACAAGTCAGTACATCTCTTGTTCTTATTGGGCCAATATGTGATTTGCTCACCCTTACAGAAATTAGACACTGAATAAAAGATAGTCTAACACTAACTGGCCTAAAACAATGAAAAATTTGATAAAAAGAGGTCAGAGGGGCTGGAAGACGAGGCCAGACCAACCTGATTGACCATGCATGAAATTCTATTACATAAACTTCAACTGAGAGAACCTAATGTCATTGATCAGCAAAAATATTTTGAAACTGACAGAAAGCAATACAACTACACTACAGGAGCTTCAAATATTTTCAGTTTTAGCATCCACCGCATCTTCAGCAAGTTCTTCCAACTCATCCACATCATCCACATCATCAATGGGAATGTCTTCACTGTTTTCTTCAAGAGAACCTACAGAAAGCTTTGAAATTAGTTTTAGGAAAAATTAAAAGAGAAAGTTCGTAACAAGGACACAGAAGAAAAAATTGTTACCTGTACGGATCAATGGAAGAGGACTCCTGGGTACTTGTGATGATTCTGACGTGTTATCAAGAAGGTAAGGAAGTTCCAGAAACTGCAAAAGAGATTCTGTCTGAGGATTCCGAGTGTATTCTGCCAAAAGAAAAATTGTAGTATTAACATAAGATATTCTTGTTTATCAACATATCAAATTATATTACAAAGGATGGCATAATTATCCTTACCAGGAAAGGTACCGCTCGGGACAGAGTTAGAGGGATTGTAAGGTGGAGCTGTCTGGGTGAATTCAAAAGGTCTAGCCCCTCTTGCTTGTAAATTTCTCCTGACCCATTGACGACAATCTTGCTTGTCAAGAGGTACATTCCTACAGTATAACATACACACTTAGTAGCTACATTACAATAGAAAAAGACAGTTAACAGGGTAAAGAAGAAGAAAAGGTTTAACAGTCGGATCATTGGTAGCATTCACAATACATTTCTAAAGAGGTACACACCAAAAATTTGCACTTCTATTTGTGAGAGGGAATTAGAGTTAAATCGCCGAGTTATTTCTAGCCATTCTTCATCATACTGGATTTCATAAGGGCCTGGCTCAGATTCAATTTCAATAACCTAAAAAAACCAGAAAATGTCACACATAGAACCATTAGCTACCAGCAATGACTCCAGGGAACGCCCTATATACTACATTCAAAATCACATCAAATACCTGCAGAAATTTGCGTCCTGGTTGGCACTTGTCAAGGGCAAGAAAGTTTGTCACTGAACCAGCTTCCTCGTGCTGAACAAGAGCAGCAAATTTGCAGTGTAGATGAGCTGAAAACCAATAAGGTGGTTTCAGTTTTTCTAGCAATTGAGCAGCTGGTTTACTCCCAAGATTTCTTTCCTGAACCTAATGACATTTTAAACAAAACAAGATATTTAAAATCATACCTATCAAAGCTTACCAACTCATTTTTCCATTCTTGCAATTACCTCCTTCTCAAAAAAAGGTTTGTCCCGAACAAGTTTCTTCCAGTCCCCACAATCAGTGATGCCAACAGGCCAATCATGTGAAAGAAAAATATCAATTGGTTCCTCAACTTGCATGAGTTTGTGGACATCATACTCACGAACATGATATATGGACCTGATAGTACTCTCATTATAAGGAGGCCTCTCATAGTGCCCTGTTCAGGAGGAGGAACAAGTTACCCTTGTTGTAACACCCCATATAGCAATAATTGCCCATACCATAGCTATACTTAAGAATAAGAACAATATCCAAACATAAATAACTATGTTTCATCAACAAAGGATAAGCAAAGTAATAAACATCTGGAATGACAAATTTAAAGCAAACTAACCTTTGCAATAATTGTGCCGGTTGTAAATTCCAGACAGCCCACCAATTCGAATGTTTCCAAACTTGACTACCCCAGCAAACCCCAAGAAGTATATATTAGGTGCTGCCCACCCTCCATAATAACTGAAACCAGAAAGAAAGAAAAGAAAAAAAAAGAAAAAAAGAAAAAAGAAAAAAAACGAGGAGTAAAAATCACAGGGAAAATGGCAAGACATTATTCATTAAAAAATAAAAATAAAAAACGACAAACAGAAAAATTGGAAGGGAATGCTATAGCTTATAGCTGAAGAAGGGACTCACAGTTCCCACAAATAATTAGAAGCTTCGTGATTTCCACCGATGAATATTGTGGGGAACGGAGCAACTTCCTCGCCGGAATAGTATTTCCAGAAGGTCTTCATGTCCCGATATTTTCGAGGCACATTTAAACTCTCTAAATCCTTCTCATTCCTCACAGCCTAATTTCACGAAAACATTTACTTATAAACCAATATTGTCCAATTTCAGAAACAATCAAACAAATAAAAAAGCTTGAAACTTTAGGGCAAATAAGCAAAGAACGAAACTGCAAGTTGTAAGTTTTGGGGCAATTTGAAAAATTTCAGGCCCACTTAAGCTCTCCAAATCCTTCTCATTCCTCACAGCCTAGTTCTTCCGAAAACAATTGTATTCAACTAAACATCGTTAAATTTCAGAAACAATTCAATGAATAAAAAAGCTCGAAATTTGGGCAAGCGAGTAATGTACCTGAAAGTCGCCACAACAGAGGAGAAGGTCGATTTTGGTGCTGTGAAGTTTTTCGTAGTGTTGGAGGGTTCTGTAGACATTGTCGAGGTCGCCATGCATACAACCTTCTACTGCGATTTTCATTCTGATTCCCAAATCCAAGCCACAAGCTGGAGTGCAGGGAACCCAACCCAATACTGGGGTTTAAGCAAAGCTTCCCTTTGGGTTTTGTTTACCGCTTTTTTTAAGACGGATTTTTGCCCAATACTGAGGTGGATTGAATTTTGAACTAATTAATATATTTATAATAAATAAAGCTTATTATTATTATTATTATTGAATCTCTTTTGATAAAAGAAAAAAGGAAAAAAAGATGTATTGAACCGAAATTTTAATTATGGAAAAAAAAACACTAATGGATGTTAGTTTCTATTTCTAAATCGTAAAGCAATCCCAGAATTTCTCAAAATAAAAAAAAATCGTAAAGTAATAGACTACAACATTTTAATGTGTTACTTTTCTCTAAGACAGATTTTTAGGGTGCCATAAACATTAGAAGCTAAATAAAACCTATTAAGTTTGATTAAAAAATGTTGAATATTGGGTTTTCTTCTTTCTTGACACAAGCAATATTTTTTTTAGATTAAGCGATAATTGTATTCATAACTTTATAGCTCACAACCAACATTAAATGAGAGAGTTATCGAATAATTAGCTCACATACATGAATCAATGCTCTTCAACTTCTTAAACTACAAATTCCTTGAAAATGTTGAATTGTAAAAAAATCCATATAATCAACTGAAAATCAAATTCCAAATGCAATAAGCAAACCAATCAGAACAGAAACTCTAATTACTTCTTTACGAAATTCTCATGATAAAAGTTGAAACGTTTTTCACATCACATCGACTAAACGGTGTAGAAGTGGGTCACGTGTTTCCCTTTTAAGCCAACAGCATATGGAGATTTCATCACACAAATCAAAAGTAGCACAGCAACGTTTCACCAGAAACACAGGGACTTTTCCGAGAGTCCCAGAGCCTTGCAAGCAAGGCCAACCACCACACAACTTCTTCACCCTCTCTCTCTCTCTCTCTCTCTCTTCTAATCTCAAATGATCAGAACATAACTGTGCATTAATAATTTGATCAGCAGCAGAAACATGGCTCTGGTTCACCCTTTAGTCTCACACACCTTTCCCTCTTCTTCAACTGCTTCAAAACGATTAACATCAACAACAGCCAAATCAAACCCATCTATCAGAAGGCCAGTTGATTGATGGAAGACTGGAGTGTTTATATCATGGTTGGCAATTCCAAGGCCAAGGAAAATGTGTAAAGATTCCACAGGTATATATGTATGTGTCTTGTGAGTATTTGTAATTCAAAACTTTTTGTTTTTAATTGATTTAACAATATTCCACACTAATCAAGGGACCTTAATTGATCTCTGCATGCACTACACAGCTCCCATCTGATGCTAAAATTCCTAAAGCAGCTTGTGTTAAGGCATATGAGGTGAGGGACTCTCAAGGTGTTGTTTGGGTTTGGATGTCTCACAAAAAACCACCCAAACCCAACAAGCTACCTTGGTTTGAAAACTTTGACAGGCCAGGCTTTGATTATTCTTCAACAATCCATGATCTCCCTTATGAACACTCTATTCTTCTGGAGAATCTCATGGATCCTGCCCACATTCCAATCTCACATGACAAGACGGGTTTTACCGCGAAAAGAGAAAATGCACAGCCGCTGAGATTCGAGGTGACTGAGAGGACAGATAGAGGTTTTGCAGGCTATTGGGGTGAGGCAAAAGACCAATCCTTGCCTTACTTCTTAAGGTTTGAAGCACCTGGTGTTATTGAAAACACAAGGGAACTTGTAGACAAGAATGGTGAGAAGCACTACTCTGTTGGTCTCTTCCTCTGTAGACCAACAGGACAGGGAAAAGCCATGGCCATTATGAGGTTTGGAGCCACCAAGCAATCCCCTTTGGCTAAATTGTTCCCAGATTGGTACTTCCATCACATTTCCTGTACAGTTTTTGAGCAAGATATGGGATTTCTCTCATCTCAAAATGAGATACTTTTGAAAGAAAAATCTCCCACAAAAGATTTGTACCTTAATTTGAAATCATCTGATGTATGGGTAGCTGAGTATAGGAAATGGGTGGACAGAGTAGGGCATGGCATGCCTTATCATGTTGGGCACAGCACTATATCATTTCCCAATGAGCCAGCCATGGTAGAACATGCACCAGCAGGACTTGTTGCTAGTGTTTCAGCATCTCAACCAGCTAAGGGAGGCATTGGAAGCCTGCATGTTCCGAATCGGACCAACCGGTATTTCAGGCATGTGATTCATTGCAAAGGGTGCAGAGATGTTGTGAAGAGTTTTGAAGCCTGGAAAATTGGTCTTTCTGGTATTGCTCTTGGGCTGATCTCAGTGGCTATTTTAGTGTCTGGGAGGCATTGGAAAGCCATTTTGCTGGTGTCAGCGGCTGTGCATTGAATACAACGAACTTCATAAGAACACACAGGAGATTAAAATGAGAAGGTGTTAAAGAAAAATCCAGCCTTTTTCTATTCACTATTCAGTGTTCACTAACTACTCACTCCACCAATGTCTTTTCTTGTCCCACCAATTTCTCTGGCTTAACTTTCCATCTCCCCAGCACCACCAGTCAATTGCTTTTCCCTATCTCCTCGCACCCACTAAAACCATCAACTCTAATTTTCAAATTCACAGCCTCACAGGCATCAAATGAACATGCACCTCCCCTCCACTTGATCAAAAGGACTGGAAACCACAACAAAAAAAAGCGGGACGAAACAAAAAAATAAAAGAATTATGGCCCATGCAGGTCTCGAACCTGCGACCTTCGCGTTATTAGCACGACGCTCTAACCAGCTGAGCTAATAGGCCAGTTGTTAATGATATCAAGTTTTATCATTTTATATCGGACTACCGTCATTTTCCTGGTCCTGTTTTGAAGAGGTGTTGGGGCCCAAACAAAACTAAACAGAAGTATTCATGGGCCTGGCCATACCACAAGAACTGGGTCTGGGGTAGATTCATAACATTACATGGAAGCCCAAGTTATGAAGTCCCTGGGAGAATTCTATAGTGAGGGCCAAGAGCAGCAAGAAGTTTGTAAGCTACACCACCACCATGCAATGCAAAGACCCGTCCTTAATGATAAGGGTCATTACAGTCTAAGGAGATGGTGGAGAAGAGAAGAGTCCTCATCAACCTCACACAAGAACGGTCATTATTCCTGGGGTGTTTGCACTATGGTGAATATGTACATATACATATAGTGATGTACTTCCCTTTCATGGTCTGCCTCTACTTGAAGTTAGGGATGACTTGTATGGGTTTGGATGTTTCACAAAACAAAACCCCACCAAACCAATTATATATATATATATATATATATATATTTATTGCGCTGTGACAATGCATATAATACAATGGAACCCCATAAAATGCCATATCTTCCCCAACCCAAGGATGAAATAAAGAATGTTTTGAGTACCTAAAATGGTACATACAGATACAGGTCTAAGTGTGTAACTAAATAGTCCTAGTAGAGTAGCTACCACTATTTCTTGTTGATTGACCAAAGAAAAGATTGTGTGGCTACCAGGAGTGCAACAAGCTACTAAGCAAAGCAACCCCCAACCCAATTTCACTGTCACACTACTCTCTGTCTCTCTCCCTCTGTATCATCACATATTATTCACTGTGATGATGGATTTATTATTTCCTCCTCCTTAGCTCTCCCTGCCAGCCAGCCATGTCATCATCTCCCTCTTCCTTTGTTTCCTCTCCAATACAATCAAACATGGCTCTGTTTCATCCCTTTCTTTCTCATTCCACGTCTCTCCACCACCTCCCCCCAACTCCCAGACAACCACAGCCATTCAAACTGCTCTTATCTCTCTCCTCCCCACCCCACCCTCTGAGACCCTTAATTCCAACAAGAAAGCAGCAAAGCACCATCAAGTGCAGTGCAGTTGCAGACATCAAACCTCCTGCTCCCCCACTTGATGAACATCAGGAGGAGGAGGAGGATCACAAGGTCTTGGTGGGTCCCACCAGCGAGGCTGAGAGGAGAGGAGAGAGGGTCGTGGCGGACTATGATTGGACAGAGGAATGGTACCCTCTGTACCTCACCCAGGACATTCCGGACGATGCACCTTTGGGCTTGACTGTGTTTGATAAGCAACTTGTGCTGTACAGGGACGGCAGTGGAGAGCTCCAGTGCTACCAAGATCGCTGCCCCCACAGGTAAATCTATCTTTGCCTGTAGATTCTTCTATATAGCATGGAAATATTTATAGTTGCTTTAGAATTAGAATTTTAGTTTTGGATGAAATCTTTGTCATATTGAACTTCAAATTGTACCTTCCATCTTCTTGCTTTGGCTATATATAACTAATGAAAATAAAACTTGGGTCATGACATGACAATCCAATCTTAGCTAGGTTGGCGAAACTATCCGAAGGCCAGTTGATTGATGGAAGACTAGAATGTTTATATCATGGTTGGCAATTTGAAGCCCAAGGAAAATGTGTAAAGATCCCTCAGGTCTGTCGGTCTGTCTGTCTCTCTTTTGATTAATTAAGATTGTTAATGATGTTGAATGTCTCTTTAATTGTGTCTGTAATATCACAGCTTCCAGCTGATGCCAAAATTCCTAAATCAGCTTGTTTGAAGACATATGAGGTGAGGGACTCACAAGGGGTTGTGTGGGTTTGGATGTCCCAGAAGACACCACCAAACCCTTCAAAGATACCTTGGTTTGAGAACTTTGCTCGGCCAGGGTTTCAAGATACTTCTACAACCCATGAGCTCCCTTATGACCACTCTATACTTTTGGAGAATCTCATGGATCCTGCCCATGTTCCAATCTCACATGACAGGACAGACTGGAGTGCAAAAAGGGAAGATGCTCAACCGCTGCGCTTTGAGGTCACCGAGCGCAGCGATAGAGGATTCGCAGGCTGGTGGGGAAAGACAAGTGATCCATCAGCCAAAAGCTTCTTAAGGTTTGAAGCACCATGTTCTCTTCAAAACAATAGAGAAATTGTTGACAAGGATGGGGAGAAGCACTACTTCTCGGGTCTATTTCTCTGTAGGCCAACTGGACAGGGGAAATCCATGCTTATTGTGAGATTTGGTGGAACAAAAAGGTCTCCACTGGCAAAATTGTTTCCCATATGGTATTTTCATCAGAATGCAGGCAAGGTCTTTGAGCAAGATATGGGATTTCTTTCATCTCAAAATGAGGTACTCATGAAAGAAAAAGTACCCACCAAAGAGTTGTACCTTAACTTGAAATCTTCAGATACATGGGTTGCTGAATACAGAAGATGGATGGACAAAGTTGGGCATGGGATGCCTTACCATTTTGGGCACAGCACAATATCATTGCCCGAAGAGCCTGCTGTGGTGGAGCATGCGCCGGCAGGCTTTGTTGCCGGTGTTTCTGCATCCTTGCCAGCAAAGGGAGGGATTGGATCCATGCATGCTCCCAATTTGGCCAACCGGTATTTTCGACACGTGGTTCATTGCAAAATCTGCAGAAATGTTGTCAAAGCTTTCCAAGCATGGCAAAAGGCCCTTACTGCTATTGCTGTTGCATCGACTGCATTGGCAATTCTAGTCTCAGGAAGGCAGTGGAAGGCCCTGCTATTAATATCTGCAGCAATAAGCTCAGCTGGGGTTTATGCATGCTCGGCTGCTATTTCTTTGAACACAACAAACTTCATAAGGACCCATAGGAGATTGTGAGCCATGGATTACAGGCCGAGAAGACGATGTAGATTCTGTTGCCTGTGTTTTTTTTTATACGTTTAGATTCTCATTGGAAGCTTGAAATCGCTCATTTGTTGTGGGTTTCCCTACTCTCTTTTCCTTTTCCTTCATTTTCCCTGGCTTAGAACAAGGCTCGTTTCTTCTTTTCTGTGAACAATAAAGCTTCGTTTATTTTGTAGACAATTACTACTTTAGGGAGCATTAGAATTTATAACTTTTTTCTAGACGAATTTCTTTGATGTTAAACTTATCTGACAGAATCTCGCACATCTCAATTGCAAAATGTTTTTTCAAAGTGACTTGTGTAGACCGCCACATTTAGTTGTTTTATTAGGAAAAAAAATAGAGATAAACACAGAGACAAATGTAGCAAAGAAAAAGTTGGGTGCTCAAGAACTATTTACTTTGCAATGATCCTAATAGAGATACACGGTACAATTGAAAGTTTGGGAAATACATCAAAACTCCCCTAGGCATATATATAACTAATATAAGTCTGCTATTTTGAAATAATTTTTTTTTAATCTTTAATCGTACAACTTTAAAGCTTCCATATGCAGAAAGCATACGGGAGAAGAAAAAAATACTGTACAACCTGGAAATCAGTATGGTAATCATCTAAATGGCCAGTAAATATTGGATAAAATGCCTGGCTTTTCTCATTGAAATGATCTTCAAGCTGTGGACTTAGTCATGGATGGCATGGGAAACGGACGGTATGAAACTTGGCCTATCTCACTGCCTGCTGTCGTGTGTAGATGGGCTGAAGTCCTTGGAATCCTTGGCAGTCCAATGGAAGCATCAGTGCCCAAATTTGAAGTTTGGGATGAGACATCGAAGTCAACCTTCTCGAGTGCCTAGAAGAAACAAATAGTTAAAAGTTATCCCTCAAAACCAACAAGAACTTTTTCCTTTTTTTAAGGAACAAAAAATTTCTACAAGATGACCAAGGATTTTATTTCATGATATTCAACCAATACCAATTAAACAAACTCAAGAATTGATTACTTAACGAGCTTTCATGATATTGTTCACATCAGTGAGGAACTATTTACTGTCAAAAACGTTAAAAAAACTACCTGAACAGATTGCTCCAAAACCTTGAATAATTCTTGGTTACGTTTTCTTTGTGAAACATGTGCATCGTGCTCCTGCAGCAGTTCTTCAAACAAGTTCTCTCTGCATAATTACCAGAAGAATATAAAAAAACCACTCTTGAAGTTTTCAATCAACCACGTGTAGCAATTTCTGAATCATGTTCTTAGCACAAAACCAACATAAACAAATTTATGCAGGATATAGAGTATTTCACAGAAGTCCTGTCCGAAATGTAGTGCTATTCTTTGTGTCATAATGCAGTCCTTGTCTTTCAAATAATCATAATAAAGAATTAAATTGCCTTATTTATCAGACAATGACTATTATTTGAAGCCCAAACGAAATATGGACAGTCTCAGAAACAAGAATGTTAGTTAACGGCTCAAAAAAGAAAAAGAACTACGTAGTCCCCTTTTTGAACAACAGACATACCTGTACAGTTTTTGAATAAAGGTCCTATGAAGGTTCCGTTTTGTAAGATTGACCTAAGCCACATTAAGAATGATACGAATCATTGGACTTCATAGAAGTTGAAAAGAAAAAAAACCAAGGAAGCTTGATGCAGCAGAGAAGAAAACCGGCAACAGTACAAGAGATAAAAATTACACCAGTATAAATGTGAACATATGGACAAAAGGAAGAAAATAGGTATACCAGAAAGTGCATTATAGCTTTTGGAACTAGGTCTTGAATGTTCTTTCTAACAATGTCATAATACGACCGCAAGAGTAATTTGGTTACAATAATTTCCACTGCTTTATTCTCTGTCATTTGAACTGGCCTTAAGCTGGATGGTGGCTGAAAATAAGAAGGACAAGGAAAAAAAGGGTAGTCACATTTAAATCCTAGAATGAAGAAATGGATAACATAATAATAAGTTGAGAAGAAGAAATAAAATTCTGTCAACCACATATTACCTCTCTCAAATGGATTATAGAGGGCATTGAGTCTGAATGACTTGGTTCACCTAAAGGTCTGCAAGCCATAGACTCTCCAGCTGATGTCTTACTTCCGAATAGAGATGGAATCCAAGCCTTAGTTCCTAAATTTCAATTGCCAAATTTATTATAGCAACGGCAGACTTAACAGAGATAGCCATACCATCCTATATCTATGCACAAGAAATATTTTATAAATAAATAAATAAAGCAAGTTCAATATCCTGAAGGTATAAAGGTTAGTATGCTTCAAAATAGTGGATGCACGAGTTTACCAGAAGAGACATGATTCTCGTTATTAGGCTGAGGACGACTCCCCTGCCAACACCAAAACTATATTAGATTGAAGACATCCTATGAAAGAAAAATGAAAAGCCAGAAGTAGTGAGGCCCTCCAAACTAGTTAGTTCACAAATCTAAGTTTATGCCCAGTCACTTGGATTCACATTTTAACTTTAAGCTAACGAGATCTGATTTAGGGCTCATTTGGGACTGCTTCTCTAGGAAGCACTTCTGTTAATAAGCGCTTCTAGCAAAAGCACTTTTGTTATAAAAATATTGAAATTTTCATAAGAAATCCACGTGCTTCCTGGAAAAGCACTTGGGAGTGCTTCATAAAGAAGCACATAGCAGGTGCTTCTCCAAAAAGCGCTTCTATGACCCATAAGCACTTCTAAACTTTTCTGCTAAACGCTGTCAGAAGCACTTTTGGTTGTTAGAAAGCGCTTTTACCCCTCCCCGAAGCACTCCCAAACATGCCCTTAAAAGGAAAACATTAGCCTTAACCACAAAGACTTTCCTTGATAAATAATCCAAATCTGACATTTTTCAGCGTAGAGAAAGAGCTAGATTAGACTAGATGCCAAAGAAATATACGAGAACCTCCAAGTTCTTAGGGGTTGCACTTTGTCCTGCTCCGGTGAGGAAATCTTCTCTCTTATAGATTCTGGTTTTTTCCCTTTTAACTTGCAACTCTGCCAATTTTCTCTCTTTCCCCTTTCTTTTTGTTCTGACTAACCAATTTCCTTCTGGAAATATCATCAGTAGTCCAACATATGGTGAAAGACATACCTGGTTAGGTAAAAGTCCATTCAAAAGCCCAGACCGAATAGTTCGAGCTGTCTGGGAAGTCTGGGAAGTCTGGGAAGTCTGGCCTTCAGCATCTGTAACGCCCTGAAACATATGAAGAACAACTTTGAGGTATAACCAATAATTGACAAACCATTTTATTATGAGAACTAATGATAATTGGGCTGAATAAGAGTGCAAAGACAGAATAAATAATCCAATATGCAACTTCTCTAAATGCTGATGATGAAGATCACAGAAAAAAACTTGATGAGAATGAAGATTCAAAACTCACTGTTTTTTTTTTGTTTGTATAAGCATATATCATAATAAGAACGAACAATACACTCAACAGAAATCTGCTTACAGCATAAAAAAGAAAATAAAACACCACCACTGTACAATTCCTTTTCTGATCTTTCAGATTATAAGATCAAATCTGAATTTTAAACTTCAAAATTGACTTCTTAATAAAATTAATTAGGACTTATGTAACAAAAAACATAGGACTGACAGAGAAAAAGAACCAAAGGTACACGACATTATGTTGTTATGAACCTAACAAGTTGGCAGGATGCTGCATCATGTCCAAAGTAGAAATAATTACTTTTTGAGCTATTTACTTAAACAATATCATTATATCACCAACATGGTAGCAGATACCTGTGGTGATTTCAACAGCTGCATAGCAAGCTCGGCAGCTTTGTTCCCACCTAAAAAATTTGGATGTGAAGTGTTTATATAATCCACCTGAATGAAAGAAAGTTGGTCGATCAGCCTAGGAATAAAAACAACATTAGAGTAAATGTAAAAGAATAATAGCATGCCATGTAAAGTTGAGCAATAATTTAAAAGATATACCCAGTCAGTATAGAGATCAGTACTGGACATTGTGTGTGACATGACCAACAGATCAAAAGATTTATCACTTTCATTTCAACAATGTCAAGTTAAACAAACCATCTATGTTAAGAGCCATCCAGAAGCTAAACAAAAATAGAAGTTAATAAGAACTAGATAACATAAATTGGAGGAGTAGAAAAAATTACTGTATCAGCTAAAGCCAAATTACTTTTTATGACAAGATTACAAATTTTTATCAAAGTGTTGAGGAAGGTTGACTCTGTCTGTTTTACCAGTTACAACTGCCGACTCATTCTGATTAGATTTTAGTATATTCCAGTATTTAAACAGAATTTTGAGACTCTTTGAAACAAATTTAAAAATACAAGCATACATCCTAGATCTTAATTCTGAGTGAATAAACTATAGTGGTAATAAGGTTAACAGAGAGATACCTCCATCTCAATAAGATTTCCTATCATTCTCTCAGCAGGTTCTACACCATCGCGCAAAAAATTTACCATGACTTCATCCAGATGCTTTCTCAATACTGGAAACCTTTGCAACTCAGTTACCTCACAAGCGTGGCTTATCTGCAGGCAAAATTTTATCTTCCTGATTACATCTACATCTCATGATTCATGGAAACATACAATTAGAACTCCGTAGGATGTGCCTTATTACTCACCTTCATTAGTTCATCATAAACAAATCGAAGACACTGAAGGCTTGGGTCTAACAGGCGAGCAATTTGTCTCCTAACTAAAAATTCAAATGGGACCTAAAACCAATTCAGAAACTTATCAGCCAATGCAGTGTAAAATCAAGCCATTAGTTTCTAATATTTAATACAAGGGAAAATGAAAGACTGCAGCATATGTCATCATTATATACTCACCTCAGGCACAAATAAAGCATTTCTTGCACCAGAAGCATTTTGAATAGCCATTCGAATATCATCATCAGTTAGATCGTCACAGGGGTCCACTTCCTACAATTCCTGATAGTTAGCAGCCAATCTGATGACACACATCTTACAGTGTATCATTACTTCAAAATTTTCTTCAAGAAAGAAATTGCATGGTATTTTGACATCAGACAACTAAGCAGAAGACAACAACTGAGGACGTAATAATATATTGCTTCAGATTAAAAGAAAGCAAAAATTTGTACAATTAGCAATGATCATTAAAGGAAATGCACTCTTAATAAAACTATAGTACATTGTACCTCCAAGCACTTTACAAAAATTGACTGGAGGATGTAGTGGATCCTGGCTCCTCCTGACAATTCTTTAGTTGACATCTCCTGACTTTTTCCATCCACCATGGCAGCAAAAGCTGTTAATTAGTGAAACAAAGACAAAGAAGGAGCAAAGCAACATCAGTGAAAACAGCTAAAACTAAAATAACAAGAAACAAGGTAGTATAAACATCTCTCTCTCTCTCTCTCTCTCTCTCTCTCTCTCACACACACATATTTGAGAAAAAGGCACTAATACTAAAAAGATCAATTAAGTGATTCTTTAAGGAATATCAGTTATATAGGTAAAAGAAAGATTGACATTCAACAGATATAACAGGAAATCAAAATCTCACCTTCACAATATTGCGTTAAAATGTTCAGCAAAATCACTCCCTGTTCCATCTGGTTCAGGACAAGTGATAAAATGCTTAGAAAGAACTAAAAAGTCAATATATTTCCATAAACACCCCCTCCCCCCTCTCTTTTCTAAAAAATAGGGAGAGAAATTTTTTGAATGTGAATGCATGTGTCTATATATTTCTCAACATACAAGGCCAGAAGCAACATTCATCTGAAGTTTTCAAAACAATAACAACCAATTACTTAACAAGACCTAGTACAATTCTTCCATCCTGGTGCACAGTTAATACTATCTAGCAAAGTAGCTCTAATGATTGGTAGTTAATCAATATATAAAATAAAATTAAAAATTAAAAATTAAAACACAAGCAAAAGGGTTTCTGTCTATAAAACAAAAAAGCACAAGGGTCCCGCCAATGTGTTCTAGAGAGGGAAAAACATTCGCAGCCATACCCCGTTTCCACAACTTGAACCCATGAACAACAGATTGCTTAGGGCTAAGCATACAAGGTTGAACATAAGGAAAAAAAAAGAAAAAGGATCAAAGTAGTTCAAGAAAAAAATGATGACAAATGTGAATTGGACTTTGACAGAGATTAGTGATTGGATGAAATGCAACAGGCCGACCATATGCAAAGAACCGGTGTTCCCTTACTCCCCATATGCATTAGAAGCACTAGAGAACACCAAGAAGTCTTTGTGTTGCAACTTACTTTAGATTCTATAGGTTTTCCATATGCCTGCAGTTCTTTTAAAACAGTATCCATTTTATAATTCAAATCAGTCTTCAAAGCAGGGAAAACCATTCTGATATGCTGCTCCAGAATCTGACACAGAACATTAGCCATCACACAGTAAGAACAAATGGAGTAAGGAGTAACATAAAACTCAAGAAGCTACATAAGCACCTAAGAATTCCATTTCTCTTTACAATAACTTTGTTATGACTTATATGGGGCATACCAACCTCATTCAGCTTCCTTGCTAACTGGGGGATGCCACAATGATCAGAGAGACCCCTGTATACCTTTAACATGTATCGCACACAATAAAGATGTTCAGTGGCAAGCCAAACAAATAAACAATTGCTCAACATAATATACAAAGAGAGTGAATAGTACTGAGTGATCATTGAAGAATTTCTCCTCGTAAGCAAGTGCGGTAGCAATGCCACGGTTTTTATTGATGTCCTGTGACACAAGAATAAAACTTAAGAATGAAGCCTGACCCTTGCAGACAGCATTTTATTTTACAAGTCCATGAAGGCAACATTACAAATGCTACAAACGAAGCAAAGTGGAACTTTTGTATTTTTAAAAATGGTTCTCTATGTGTCCGCTAATCATTCGAATACCACCAAATGTTTGAGAGCATGATGGCTCAGTACCTTACTATTACAACAACTGCCAGCAATCGGAAAAGTGGCTAAATCAGAAATATGTGTGCCAAATTGAAAACTAAAATAGAACCACACTAGGCCTTACACTGCACTTCCAATTAAGCAAGCCACATGCATTTTGCAGCATTGTTTATCCTAGTACTCTTGAAGAAGAAGTTCTATTTCTAACCAATTAAAAGATAATACTAGTTACTCAAATCGTTGAAAAATCCAACAAAGTAGCCAATAAATGTAACCATCCGGTGTCAATTACACTCTTAGTCACCGCCAGGAATAAAGTCAGTTGCAATTTAGTAATTAAAACAAATGGATGTTACAAAATTAACTATTTAAAGTCAGTAGCAATTTGGCAATTAAAACAAATGGGTGCTACAAAATGCACTACATGAACGACCATACCTCCTGGCTACGATTCACAACACCAACATAACCAAGCTTTAGTGGAATAACTTTCCCAAGCAAGAAGCTGCGAGCATCAGTGCCCCTGTCCATTATATCGAGCTACAGATGGAACAACAGTGCCATATTATACCATAACTGATGCGTATAATAACAAGAACACGAGGAGAAACACAAACCTTGGTGATAACACCAATTGTACGAAAACCTGTTAAGGCATTCATGTCAGCGGTACAGAACAATAGAATCCAACATATGCATTGCATGTAAAAGTTGAATCAAGAAGTAGAATGTGGGTACCAGCTGGGTCGGCTTCTCTTGCCATCTGAAGTGCATCGGAGGTTGCCAAATCAGAATTCGCAGGAGTAACTGCCAATATAATGCAGTTTTGTTGCGAAATATGGGTCATAACCATCTTCCTAATCCTTGCTTCTATATCATTAGGTTGATCTCCAACAGGAACTTTGGTGATGCCGGGCAAATCAACAAGAGTCATATTAAGAACATTTGGAGAGGTAATCTTCAGCCGAATTTGTTTCTCCGAAACCCCTTTGTTCAATCCTGCCTCTCTTTCCGTCTCAGCCTGCAATGAGAAAACAAATTATTGGACTATAATTCTCATAGCCTCTCTACTAACAGCATTGTCAAGAATCTCAAGCTAAATTTCTCAAGCCGTACCTGAATTTCTGCACGAATTTCAGAGAAGTCGTAGAAGCGCTTTTGAGGCAAGTGGCGAAACTCGCCCCACTCGGTCCGATCATCGCCGGGTTTGGGCAGGCGATTCTCGAGCATCAACACGAGCGGTCTGCGAGTGCAGATATCGCAGCCGCGAGGAAGAAAGTCGCGGCCGACTAGTGCTTCGAGAACGCTCGATTTGCCGCTACTTTGGCTTCCCACAACCGCCACTTGAGGCAGCGAAACATCTAATTCGCTGCCTGCCTGTGCAAGAATGTCCTGAAGCTTGTTGATGACCGGAATTAGCGACGAACCGATCGTCACTGAAGGTCTTGAACTGGAACTAGTAGGCAAAGAGTCAACATGTCTAGCATCTAATTCCCCCATTGATTCGAGAGAGAGAAAAACCTTACGCTACAGTCTAGAGAGAGAAAAACAGAGAGTGGGTTTTGAAGTTAAAGGTTTTATATAAAGGGAGAACGAGGTGCGTGCGAGAGTTTAGCTGGTGTAGTTCTTGGAGGAGAAGTAAAGAGTCCGAAGGTGACTGTTTATTCTTTTGGTCAATACGAAGCGGACTCTTTATGTTTCTTCCTCAAGAAAAAAACGAGGGACCAATTTCTGTTTATTTGGGGTTTAGTCCAGGGATATGGGCCGTTGGATCTTGAGCCGACGCTATGAATAAGGAAATTAGATTATGTATAACTGTCCCTTTAAGATCGGACGGTTTAGAATGACCCACCGGTACACCAACGCTGCCCAAGTCCAACCTCCAGACGAGAAATTATAGAATGGTACGGTATCAAGAAGATAGAATATAAAAAAAAATATTTAATTTTTGGATACATTTGGTTTTACCTTTTTAAGTGTCAAGAAGATAGAATATAATTGGAGTTTATAATTAGAGAGAGAGAGAGAGAGAGAGAGAGAGTTATTGGAAATGTTTTTATCTATTTTATTTTCAGTCAGGGACAATATCATTAATCTTGGGGGAGGAGAAAAAGGTCAATTCATGTACAACTCAAGGGACCAAAAGGTATTCTTCACCTAGGAAATTTCCATAATAAAAATAAAGTTTATATGATTACAAATGATGCACATAAATAAATACCAAGAGGTCCTAAAACTTAAGCCATCTCTTCTCTTTTTCTCTACTGACAACTGCATTTGATGCAGAAGCCTGAGCTGCCTCAGCCTCCGCCAAAGCTTTGCGAGTCTCTGTCAATTTCCTCATTGCAGCCTCATAAACCACCTTCTCTTTTTTGTTTCTACTCGCCATTTCTTCAAGCTTCACAACTCGCACCTTCAAGTCCTTCACTTCATCATCATACGCAACCAACGCCCGTCGATCAACTTTCTTCCCCTCCCCTGAACCTTTGTTCTGCTGCTTCTTCCCTGATCCACCATTCAAAGCTTCACCATGCATTGCAAGTTGGCTATTAATAAGACTAAAGACATCTGGTGTGGATTCCTCTTCTTCTTTTGCTGCCCTTGCCAATGCTGCAAACTTCTTTTCACGTTTCCTCTTACCACCCCGGCTACGCTTCTTTCCTTGATTCTCCTTACCCTCTTCAACTTCGCCTTCATGAGAACCAACAGCAAGGTCAAGAGATTGCTTTGCTGGAAGGACCTTCACAGAGATGGGATCTACAATTCCCTGCCCAGATGCACCTAGACCCGTTCCTTCAAGGTAACCCATATTGGCCATCATCTTGGAAGCTATGCCCCGGGTGTGGTTCTCCCACTTTGCAAATATGGCAGTATCTGTCTGGATGCCCCTCTGCAGGATGGTGCTTTCAATGAATCCTAAACCCTGTGGGCCCTCATCTTCATAGTCACTAAAATCAGATTGTTCTGAGCTGGAATCACTTTCTTCTTCAGCACTCATTTGAGCATACTCCGATAATGTAATAGCTTCTTCACCAAGATTTGCAGAGCTTCCATCATCTCGGAAAACAACTTTCCCAACACCATGCGCACCACCATCCCATGATTCAAGTTCAGCTTCCCTCCAAACACCAGTTTTACCATCTGTGACTGCCCAAATATTTGACCCAACAAATGACTGCTCCCATATTGTTGGGGTATACTTTTTCAGTGAGGATAGTGGGACATCAACTCCTGTATGCATAGAAATAGGTGAGTATGGAGATTGAGAGAAAAACTGATTCAAAAAACAACAGTAGCATCAATACAACAAAGAGAAATTCAAGATAAGCTAAATTCAGTGACAGCTGATTCCCAATCAATAAGAAGGTAGAGGATCAGCTGAAATGATCAATAGAGGTTAAAGATGAAATACACCAAGATCAACATTGAAGAAAAGGGGGGTGAAGTACTTATGCAGCCTTGCTAGCTATGCCCAATCTAAAATATAGCCTGGCTATGAGCCTATGCCCACCAATCTATCTCACACCATGCATTGTTCTGGAGGCTAATAACAATGCAAAAATGGGAGCAGTGGGACTTTAGACAAGTTACAGTACTGACTTGTCCATCAATAGATATGATAACAACATACCATGTGATAAGCGGCAGTTAGTACCAAATCGACATCGTTGTTGTAGAAAGAACTTGCATATCTGCACTTTGGTGGTATAGCATTAGTATTTTGAAGTAGTTATACAGCATTAGCATATTGATTATCAAAGTGACACAAACCATCAGGTTCAACCTTATGAGAAATGTTTGTACTTTGTGTCCTTGTTGCTTATATTATATTAAAGACTACACTCAAGGGTAGTATGTTCATCTCCAAAGTCATTACTGAAAACGCCATAGAGACAAAAATTATAATTCACAAGATAGACAGAGGACCAGTGAATGTACGCACCAGCATATTTTCAGATGTAGGAGTGAGGAAAGAAATCTTAGCAGAATTAGAACCATCCAACCCTATAACTTGACCATTATACCAGCGCCCATCAGTGTGACGGAACCTACATTTCGACCCAACAGTATAGCTCGGTTCCTCTAGAGGCTCCAGCACAACATCTGCTGGATCAAGAGTCTCCACCTTGACATCCTCATCAGCATGAGCAGAACCATCTAATACTAAATCAGCTTCTCGTAACAACCGAGCACGTTTAAGGTGCAGAAGCCCTTCCTCAGCATCTTTAATAGCCTGAACAATCTCCTCGTGAAGCTGAGAAAACATAACCCCAATGTAACAATGTCTAACGAGTCACTCACACAAAGTCTCTGCATTTAAGTGGGTTCCGAGAGGGCATAAATATAATGGCTTTCAAAAACCGACCTATATTTCCATTGCATCACATACAGACTTATCTTCCTAAAAGATCATTAACTTGCAGAGCTAAGACCTTGATCCTTCACATTTCTGAATGCAACCCATTTAAGCTAATTTCAAGCACAATAACCTATCTGGAACTGAATATAAATATCATAATACTAATAAGATAATTCATTTGACAAATTCAGCAATAAAATTGTACAAATTGAAAGTTCTACGCTTTTATTGCCAACTCTCAGCTGGATTAGAACAAAATCGTACTCCACCAACACAATAAAACGTAAAACCTAACATTATCCATGTTCTTTCGTGGTTTTTCTCGGTTACCAAACAGAAAGTTTACACATTAGAGTAAAAGAGGATGTACCGCGAGTAGCTCGGTATTGTTAGGCTCGGAGGCTAAAGCGTCGTTGATGGTAGCGAGAGAGACTCGTTGCTCTTGCAATTGAAGCTCCAGCAGGTTCTCTAGAACCCTCTCTTCCTCGTTTGCCATGGTTGTGTTCCAAACGCCTACTCTTCTCCGACGTTGAAACCCCGTTCGGTATAAAAACTGAAAAGGAACTTGGGCTCCTCAGACAGGCCAATACTACAAATGTTGGAAATTGGGTCCAAATAGAGTAATTGCTCTCATTGGGCCTATTTCGATGAAACAATAAAATTTAAAAGCCCAAAACATAACTTGGTCTCTGAGTCTATGAGTCAGAAGCCGAAACCGTGAAACTCCTCAAGCTAACTCTAACTCGTGTGGCGAGAGAGAATGAAGTTATGAGTTCAGATTAGGAGTTAAATACATTTTTGGTCGTTGGGTTTTACGCAAAAATTCAATTTAGCTACTGAGAAATTTTTTTAGTAAAATTGGTCATTGTGTTTCTCAAAGTTCACAATTTATAAATATTCTATTATCTTCCGTTAACTTAGTTTTAAGTGCAGTTTCTATTTTTATATTTTTTTGAGTTAAGGTATATTATGCTATTAGGGTTTAACAAATTGGGAAAAATATTGGGTTGAAATCAGAATTGTGAGGTATAAGTCATGGATTGGATGCTATATTGAAGCTTGAATTAATTGAGTGAAAAGTATGTGTGACTTCAGATGGCAAGGAGACGTAATCAAGGTGATATAGAGCACTAAAAATATATTGGAAAGTAGTTGATTTCATTTTAATTTGATTTGTCTTTTTTATTTTCCTTATACCTCACAATTTCAATTTCAACCCAAAATTTGTCTTCATATCTAACTCCTAATAACACAATATAGCCTAACTCATTGAGTTAAGGGAAGAAGTCATAAGGTGCTTCCTAAAAAAATATAAATAAAAACTGCACTTAACGTAATGTCTATAAATTGTAAACTTTGAAAAACACATTGATCAATTTGGCTCAATTTTTTTCAGTGATAAAAAAATATTTAACCCTTAAGATTATGATATGTCAAGCTTTGATTAACAAAAAAAAAGTCGAACAAAATCTTACTGCATCGTTTTTTTAACATAAAAATAAAATATTTCAACATGTCCTGATCTGCAATACAATTAAATAAAATTGGGCCTCAATACAGTTGAATTGTGCACATTGCTCCGAGAAATTAAAATTCAAAACCGCGAAGCAAACTCAGTCGGAGAGCTTCAGAGGCGGGTAAATTGTCGAGTTCCGTTAACAGACTGAACAGAGGCAAAAACCCTAGGAGAGAGAAGGTCATTTCTAAAGAAATGGGACACGTAAGCGAGCACCATGAAGCAACGGATGGCTTGGTGAAACTGTTGACGAAGGCGAACCACGATCTCACAGTGGTTCAGCACAGGCTCGAGAGGGAGTTCCAGCAAATCTACCCCGAAAATGCAAACCCGATGAAGCTGGTTTCAAGGATAAAGAAGATTCAAGAAGAATTGTCGACCTTGGAAGAGCAATGCCGTGAACTTCTTTCAGCCAAACAGGTCATTTTCTTTTTCTCGCTCTGTATGTGAAATTTGTTTAGTTTGATTTGGTTTCAATTTGATTTCAGTAATTTGGGTTTCGTAGGATTTGATTGACCAGGCTAGGACGACTCTGGTTGGGAACAGAAATTTAGTGCAGCGGATGGAGGCGTCGATGGGAATTTCCCCCAACACTGATTCTGAAGATTCTGCTTTTGCTAACTTCAATCAGGTTAGTGCCTTTTGGGTACACTTTATTTGCGTTACTGTAAATATTTGAGCCAGTATGAAATTGATAATTAGAGTGAAAGTAAGCATCAAAATTTAATGAATTGGTCACTGTATTATATCTATCCTGGCATGTCTTTATGTAGTCCAAGAAATAAAAGCTGAGAATATTTGGTTTCTCCCTTTGATATGGCAATGAAATGGTGCATCAGAATAATCCATGTTTTCAGTATTAATGTTGTTTGTTGTTGTTAGCATACCAATGTGGATGGTTGTCTAGTTTCCAGATGGTGTCTCAAGTATTTGCAGCATCTGCCAGCAAGCAACCAAGATCAAATCTTTGGCTAGGCAATCTTTCTAAATAAATGCCCTTGCAAAGATAATACGTGGGTAGCTTTATTCTTCAGTAAAGCACCACAGCTAGGCCTTGCTACACTCCCAACCTTCGCTTTTGTTACATCTTTAGCTCATTTTCATGTATTTAGAGGGCTTCGGATGCAATGTTATGACCGTGTTGATCTGTGAATGCAGATCATTGATGAGTGGACGGTTCAAGTCAGATCAAAAACAGGTAAATACTGAAATACTATAACTTATACTCTAGGGAGAATATTGATGATGCTGGTCATGTAGGTATAATGTATCACTGCTTCATTAGTAATGATGAAAGGGTGTTAAATGTACTAAGCAATCTTATCTGCTTCTTCAAAATAAGAAATGGTAGGAAGTTTCAATGTTTTGTGAGGTTAGTGTTCATATTCGTTCAAAATAAGTAATGATATAAGCAGGGCATGTTGGTCAATTTGAGGCTTCCCATTTTATTTACTTCATTGGAGCGCAAGGACTATCTCTAATTCCCTAAAGAAATATCTTGACATTCAGCCTTGCTATGAGGACCTAAAAATGTTCGTAGAGAGATGCAAAAACTCTAGAATTTAATGCCTTTTCTCTGTGGTGGCTCCATTGGGAGCACCCTTGATAATTTACTGGAAAGAATGCATAGCCAGCAATATCTTGATGAAGTTTTACTGGGGAGAATGCATCTAGAGTAATGGAGAAAATCTTGATGTGTTGTTGATGCAGGGGATGAGAAGCACGATTCAGATTCTGAGGATATTAATCAATTACTCTTCTCAGCTATAGTTTAAAGCAACTGAACATCTTTCAAGCTCCAACACTTTTGGGCACCAAGCATTAATTTCAAGCTCCTGATGTGATGTAATCATAGCAGATCAAGTTAAATATCGCGGTGCTGCCAAAAAGTTGGGAACATCGTCATCTTGTTGAGTGAGATGATTTGTTACATATGTATATCTGGTTACATTGTGGTGTTGCATTGTATTGGGAGAAAAACCAAGTTCATCCTTTTGTTATAGATTTATGTAGCAGAGCAGGTAGAAATGCATGTTGGTTACCTTGCTTTGCCACCTTTTGGTTCACAGAAGTTATCTTGATATTTTTTTCTGCTCTTTAATATGTTTACTTTTACACGATCACTTGAGACGGCAGGCTATTTGAAGGTAAGGGAAAGCCTCGGGATCTTGATAGTATGGAGAATGTGAATCTTATGAGAATAATTTGTGCATTGTTCATATTTAATTTTTTTTTTCCTTGGCCTGGTTTAATATGTTATTGACGAAATCTTCATAGATAGAATCGATGAGGTGGTTAATCTACAAGAAATTGAAGCATGAAGAAATTAACAGTTGCTTTTGTGGTGGTTTTCATTCTGAGAGCAAAACTTCTTAACCACAGTTCTAACAACAATAATTCAATAAACCAATGTGGTAATAGAATATTGTGCAGGCAATGACTATATACATTCCAAGAATTAAAATGAATAAGGTAAAACTAGTAAAGGGTGATGTTCTGTGTGTGGACTACACAATGTAAAACAAGAAGGTATAACTTTTTATTGTGGATTTAAAGAATATGTAACTATCATAACTTGACCATAGAGACCCTAAAAGAAACAGAGAAGAATTTGTTACAACATGAACAAGATGTCACTGCATTTTCTACGGCAGCTTTTGATGGTTGAATCTTTCCGACAGTGCAGACGTCTTTCGAGCAAGGCTGCTACTTGGACATAGGAGGCTGTCCTAACCACTTGGCACGAAAGCCTGTTCCTTTGCAATCAGAGCAACATATTGATCCCTGGAGGAACATGAGATATGGGGGTTTAATCCAAATGCATATTGGAAACTGAGGGAGGATAGTAACTATCACTGACAGGCTCTTGGAAGATTTGACTTACCTTTCCAGTACAAATAACACAACTAGTACCTCTCGAAGGGACTTGGCAAAGCATGTTATCGCCGAGCATAAAGAAGCCTGTGCCCCCACACCATTTGCATTCGATATGACCGTTTGAGTCGCAAGAAGAACAAGCAACAGGCCTTGGTTGCTGCAAGTAGCATAAACATTGAAGATTTAGAAGACGATAAGAAGGTTTGTGTGGGTGGCTTTGAATGGTCGATGCATGTACAACTCTAACCCACATGCATCAACCATTGACAAAGAAATCTTCCACAACTATGCGGGCGACTGTTTTTAACATTCACTAACAACATAATCCCAGATAAACATCCATCTTTCCATACAATCTCATGTACTTAACTACTTCAGTTCTAATTTAGGACCGCCACTTCTCTACATTTCCTTTCCAGCTAGAAATGATTTGCAAGAAATTCACACAACCAAAAGTGTTTTTTGCCTTTCTTTTTTCTTTTTCGGTTTGGGGGGTGGGGGGTGGGGGGGTGTGTGTGTGTGAACAAAACATCACCCAAAATACCTATTTGAAGAACACAAAATTGACAGACATGTTGTCTTCTTGAGTTTGAGTCATAGGCAATTGAACAATTTTCAAAACCAATCAGCCAAAAGTCGAATTCATCAATACCAAAAGTCTAGCTTTTCACTCATTTATGCTGCGTCTGCTCTCTCAAACATAACTATTGAATTTCAATTCAATTTTACTGAATAAAACCACACCCAATTGATAGCAACACAATCCAATATTGAAACAGAAGTTTTGGAAAATATGATTGCTGAGAATTACCTTGGATATTAACCAGGCTTTTTCCATGCGATTGACGAAATCAGAAGAGCTCTCATACGAGTCCACAGCTGAAGCGCGCACGCCACGAAACCTTAAACTGAGGGACCTCCCGTTTGTACCGTAAGGTACAACCCCAGCAACACGATTTAGAGCTCTAGACGGCGACGCAAAGCCCTCGTTGTGAATTGATTTGGCCACAATCGCTGGTCTGCAGCACAAACAGCTCGTCATTTTCTTCTTCTTCTTCTGCAAGTTCGGGAATTTGGAGAGAAAAGGAACGAGAAAATAGAAATTGGGTTTTTAATATTACAAATTTATAAATAAACCCAATCCTAGACATGTATTTATAAAAAAACCCAAGCACTATTTAAACATAGAAACACACCCAAAATCAACCCCAAAGTCAACTTTTTGGGTGTGTTTATAAATGGGTTTTGAGTGTGTGTAATGATGGGTTTTGGGTGTGTTTATAAAGTGTTTTGGGTGTTGGGTTTTTTTTATAATTTCAACCTCCATTTTGGGTGTTTTAGTGAAACTCCCTTTTAATATTTACGTAGCGGTTTAAATTTAATGGTTTTAATACTTTTCTTGTGGCCCAAAGCTGACCAAATTCTCCCTCGTTTTTCAGATGAATACAACGTCTAGCTGTATTCGGCTATGAGCCTACTTTCTTGATTGGACTGTGGACTTCGGACCCGAAATCAGATTTACGTTGAAGCTGCTGCGCGTAATTTTTTTTATTTTTTATTTCCAGCTCATCAAATACTTTGCTTTCAACTTATTTTCGACATATTATTTATTACCAAATACTTTCTTTTACTCCTCCAAGCCATCAAATTATTAAACAATAATGTGTAATTTGATTTGGATAGAGGCAGACAATTACCTAGTAATCTTATCCCCCAAACACCAAAATAATAAACGGTTGGTGGAGGGGAATTTACACAAATATTCATTAGGTACTTTGGGGTTTCGAACCTCTGCCCACATGGGTATAAGTGGAAGAGCTCATCCATTGACATTGTTGAGGCCCAAAAATCCAGGGTTTGGCCCAAATAAATTATTGGCCCAGTGCGACACCTTATTAAGAAAAGACTCGGTTCGGAACACGCGAAATTCGTCATGCGCGCTTTCACGAGCCATGACCACATGTCATGCCAAATAAATATGCAATTTATCACACTAAGAATTAAAATGAGCCTATAAAAGGCATTGGCTCTACAAGCTCATTCTAATTATTCCGTCAAGCGCTATGTCTCTCTTCAAAGCCACAAAATTCAAGCACGCCAAGCGACATGCAATGTCAAGCGAAAAATCATTATTATTACACCTAGCCACGCCATAAGCTTAAGTAGGCTCAAGCCACACAAATGCCTAGGGCTTGCTTGAGTGTGTTGTGGTATGGATGGTAATGAGCTTTCATGAGGCCCATTGATGAGCTAAGAAATGGAAGTTTTGGGCTACTTGGGAGCCCCAAAACTCAAGCTCATTTCTTGAGCCCAAATATATAGGTAAGCATAAAAGAGAAGAAAAAGCCCAAATATCCTAGAAAGTTAGCCTATCACTTAAGAAAGTTAGCTCATGTGCTTAATGGGCTAACTCATCACTTTAGTAAGGCCCAAATAGCTTAGAAAATATCCAAAAATCTCCAGCACATGGTTTGAAATGAAACCACGATAAAAAACCATGAGATGTTTTTACGCTCAGGCTACTGGGAGACTCCAGGATATGACCAAAGACAAACTCAACGCAAGCCATCAGAAAAACCAAATGATACTGGCGTGTGTAGGAGAAAAGGCAGCCTTCAGACCAGCCAAAGTTACCTATCTCCTTCATTTACTAGATCTTGCCATGAAATAGGGGAGGAAATGAGGAGAGATGATGGCCAAAAATAAGAAATCACCACTAGAATGGCTGCGAGAAGACTTCTGAATTCCCAAAAATATGGTATCTATGTATTGGGCAGAGGAGAATTTCACAAAATGGGATGGATCGAAAGGAGAGAAGAGAAATGAAAAGGGAGACTTGGCAAAATTGGAGAAAACCCATTGGGTTTCTTGGGAAGGATGAGCTTTCAACGATTATAAAAGGAGGTACCTCCTACCCATTAAACCTAACATGAGCAGTGGAGCAAGCTTATTCTCTAACTGCTTGAAACATCAAGCCAAGTGCCTCACCTTCTATCTCCTTCTTTTTATCCTAATCAAGACAGACATTCAGAGAGCAAGCTACATCTCTCCTCCCTGAAACCTCTGCAATTTCAAGCCATATTCCTACATCTCCTCCCCTTTTCTCTTATGTTAAAACACTCCAGAGCTATAGATTTTTCGTCAAGCTGCCGGAAACTACTCAACACACCCATTATACCATCATCTCTCTCCCTCTTCAACAAACCCTCTTAGAGTCCATTCCCCCTTTCCTTAGGACCCTTGTTTTTCATAAGAATTCACAGCTCCCTCTCTGTTTATGCTAAACTCATGATAGTTTTGCTCCCATGCCACAAGCTTCTCATGCCAAGCTAAGAATCTACCTATAAGCAACTGTTATTTTTGATGGTGAGGATAACCAGGGTGCTTCCTAAGGCTTCACTACCCTTTCGAAGCATTCTTGGGGTCTGATTCTTGAACTCAGGCACAAGGGGTAATTTCACCTGTTTCTCTTTTCGATAGCCTAAACCCATTCGTCAGGCTACTGGAATAAAAAGACCCCTACAGACATAATAATGTGTAATTTAATTTAGATAGGTAATATGGAATTTTCACTTCATAAATGTAAAGTTTGGCTCTTTGAAGGTTTTAGAAGCAAAGGAAAAATAATATGAATAAGGTGACAAGAAATTATATGAAATCTAACACTCTATGCTACATAAACAACTTAAGACACAGCAAAGAAAACAAGGTTGCTTCACTGTTTTTTTCCAAACTCATAACAAAAATCACAATGATATTAAAAACCATCAAAATATGTCATAGCCCCATGCAAAATCTACTCCAACTCTAAACACAAATTCTATAGAAAGACACTCATAAAAATAAAAATAAAATACTACCCTCTTATTAACTGGTAGAGAAAAAAAAAATCCTTATCCATGATTGTCATCATAAGCAACCTAATTTTTGTAGTCTCTTTTTTTGTTTGTTGAATTTTGTGTCTATTAATGGAGCTCTTAGATTCACTTGGATAAACTTTGTCGTCCTTGTTGTAGCACATGTAAAAGTCAATGGATGTAACAAAACTGCCCCTAAATACTTGGCTTTTGTGGCTTCTTGATGTTATAGCTACTTCATTCTCAATTGTTCCATAAATGGATTGCACATATGCAATCAAGTAAATTACCCAAGTCTCCAATGTTGGCAGATGTCATAACGGTCGACATATGCTAATAAAGTCATGAGGTTGTTATCAACATGTGAAATATTATTGGCTTATTCACCCAACCTATTCACCCAGGAAGCAAGAAGGAAGCTGGATTATTCACTCATCGCAATAAAAACTGATTATCACTCATGGCTATGCGTTTACTCATTTCCAAACCCACTTCATCTACACTTTTGAACTCATAGAAGATAATCTAGGAGATGAGGTTGAAGGTCCAAGGTCGGCGGAGGTCTTGATGTTGCGGTGAAGTTCCAAGGTCGGCAGATGTCATGAAGGTCCGGAATACCTTGGAGTTTAAAGGATGTCTTGATGCTCCGCCCAAGTCTCTAAGGTCCAGGGACTACTCCTACTGAATGAGTAAGCACGGTGATGAGTGGTTAGGTTGTGGTGATAAACTGATTCTAGCACTAACTCCGTAAAGGAGGGAAGAAACCTGAAGACCGCATGGACACCAACTTCTAGTTTGTTCTGACTTGTAAACTTGAGTCACTCCATACCTAAAGTTTTTAAACAACCGCCTCTTAATTCAGTTTTAATTCCTACTTTCCATTTTTTTAATCATGTGGACGAACACCTTAGGAAGCACGGAAGAAGCTACTTTGGATGTTTACTTGCTTTCAAACCCATTTCATCTACACTGTCGAATTCATATAAGAATCCAGGTGATGAGGTTGAAAGTTTAAACTAATATCAAGTAAGTTGGCAGATTGGGCTTTGGACTTGGGGCCAATGCATTCCAACACAAACTCTCTGTCTTTTTTTATCTCAAAGAAGCCCATACTTTTTAACCCCCCAAAAAAAAGTTTATTTCCTTCTTGACCTCTCTATTCTTCTCTATAATTTTTCATTTTCACATTTCGGGGTTATTTTTGGACTACTCCTACTGAATTGTTTCATTTAGAAAAACACACTTTGCATTTACATTTTTCTTTTAATAAGTCAACGGTTGACCGCTCTAAAAAATTACACCTTTAGCAGGAGCCCATAAGGTGTACTAAATTGTAAACTGCTACTAATTTGTTTCCATCCTAGTCCCCCTTTGTCTAGTGGGACTTTATGCGAAGAAAGCCTGGTGGACCTATTGATATATTAGAAAGCTCCAACCTGACAGCTATGAAAAATGCTCTACTCTACTATTCGGTGCCAACAAATAAAAGAAAGTCATTATTCACAGATAACATTTTTTCGTTTATTTTGTTTCGTACTTTTAAAACCATTTCATACGCTTAAGAAGGAGCATGGTTCGTGAGGCTCTCCATATAAAAAAAAATATTAATTACGTTACTAGTCCGATTCAAAGATTTAAACGACACATAGTTTAAGCACGTAGATTATCAATATTGTATAAAAAGCAAGTGTTCATTGAACCATTCCTCACTTATGATGAAAAAGAGATGTGACAAAAAAGGAAAGGAAGAAAGGGACGGGTCTTCGTACAATAAACGCTTCAAATATTATTGAATATTTGTTTCGACCAAAAAAAATATATATATATGATTGAATATTTAGTGACTATGTCCGATCAAATAAAATACTCTTTGTCCAATAAAAAAAAGTATTTTCCATTTTATTAATGCTAATGGAGGCGAAGGAAGAATTGGAGTTTGATTACAAAGGGCATGCTACATATTATCATAGCTTCAAGAGCATCTATTCCATGACTCGCATTTTGCAAATGGTGGTAAATAATTTTCGAGAGATTTTGAAATCAAGTCTAGTTTCAATGTCCTAACAACAGATAAGGTTGAATGTTTAAGTCTTAACCAACTGTGTCTATTTTCCCCCTATCACTTTTTATTTATTTTCTTTCTTTTTGTGTGTGTGTTTGATTCAATATTCCAAACCAGCGGTTTGAACATATAAGGGCAATCTAGGCTAAAACCCATAAACAGCTTTAAAGTTTCACCACACCTATGACCCCTCCCATTCAAATGAATTCCTACCTGTATTTTGCAAAAGCTTTTGGTCAAATTTTCTTCACGAATAAAACTATTTATACCATCTTAATTTTATTTATTTTTTAGATAAATAAAATCTTAATTTTAATTGATCATGCTTAGTGTAAAATCTCACCACTTGAGCTTAAATTTCTATGTAAAGAAGGCGTGCTATCCTTTCTTTCACGTAACGAGAGATGCATAAATATCTTGTCACGGATAAGTTAATTCTCCTTAAATAATCAATTGAGAGAAGAAAGAGTAGAAATAACAAAGTCTTATTAGTCTCTCTAATACGTATATAAATAGTTCCATTATTTCCGTAACGACATTCACCCCCAATAGGTCAATAGTAGTATGAAAAACCCCTTACACCCCAAACCCAAAAAGTCCCCATTATAAAAGTCCTCATCTTTTAAACACTCTCTCACCTATCTCATATACACTCCCCTCTTCCAAACTCCCAAACAAAGCCACACACAACCCATGAATTACATTACATCCTTTCTTTTCCACCATACCCAAATATCATCCCATCTTTAGTTTAATATCTTCGCTCTTCTCTCTTTCTTCTCTTTGTCTCTCTCTCACTCCCTCCCTCTCTCTCTCTCTCTCTCTCTCTCTCTCTCTCTCTCTAAAAATGGAAAAACATCACCCACCACAAAGCACCAACCTTTGCTCACCAACATCTTCTCCCACAACCTTTGTCCAAGCAGACACAAACACCTTCCGAGACCTAGTACAGAAGCTGACTGGTTTATCCGGTGACTCAGAGAAGCTCCCAGTCACCCACCCCACGAGGCACTACCCAAAGGCACCCACAATTCCCGGTGACCCAACCGGCCCCCGCCGGTCACCGTTCAAGCTCCAAGAGCGAAGACACACCATGAGGAAGCTCGAGATCAAGCTCAGCCTCGCCAACCTCCACGGCTCCCAGTCGCAGACCCCGCGCCAAACCTACCAGCTCCTCGACTCTCCGATTCCGAGCCCCGTCACCCCACTCGGCTCTGACTCTCTCTTCTTCCCGAGTTCCGGGTCCGAGTCGCCTTCATCTCCGGCGGCGGCGGCGTCGGAGGAAGAGAAGGCGATTGCCGAGAAAGGGTTTTATTTGCACCCTTCCCCACTCAGCACGCCGAGAGGATCAGACCCGCCCGAGTTACTGACCCTGTTTCCGCTGAGTTCCCCCGGTCACCATGATCACAAGTCTCAGCAGCACTCCTAAAATATAACATTACCTGTTTCCTGTTGACCTAATTATAATATACATATAGATTTTTCAGATGTTTGTATTTTCGTAATGCGAATGTATCATATATGTGTGAGACTTTTCTGATTGTCCATGCGAGGTTGATGTTTTTTTTGTTTTTTTTTTTTTTTTTTTTTTTTCTTTTTTTTCTTCTTATTTTATGGATTTTTTTAATTATATAATAATAATTATTTAGAAGGGTTGTACGTGTGACTGTCATCTGAATTATATATTAGATTATATTATTTTATTACAAAATTTAATTACATCATGTAATAATTAGGCGCTATTGAATTCAGACTTTGTACAAAAATATTTAGTTTAAATATGATTAAGGCTACTCTTAATTTGTCACTTAGCCCCTCCAACTTGCTCTAAAACTCATTTAATTAAGAGACAAATTACCGACACGTGTACTAAAAAAGTAATTAATATTATATTTTTGGTTGCAACTTGCAATTAATTTTTATTTTCTACCTCTCTTTCAGTCGTTGCTACAAGTAGTAGTAGATAGGGAAAGCGTAAACGGTGCAATGAGATATACTTGATATATATTATCAACGGGTCAATCACCATTGCACTTTTTATTTTTAATTAATCTCTAAACAATTCTCAACGGACGGTGGTGATTTTTAGATTACGGCGAGAAGAAGATATCGGCGGTGCGGTCTGCATGGCTTCTTCGATTCACATGGAAAAGTCTTCTGGTGGTTCCCATTGTTTTGCGAAGCGTGATGGCGTGGCCGTATTTGAGTGGTTGGTTTGGTGACTGTTTCTTTTAGGTTACGACACGGGGACCCGACGGTTGACTTGTGGACCGTGATTAAGACCACACCGTCCAATCATTGCTTCGGGTTGCCTTTTTTTTTCTTTTCTTTCTGGGCTAATTGGAATTTGGTCTAATAAAAAGTTGCAGATTAAAGTTGAGTTGAAATTTTGTTATTGCTCATGGAATTTCTGGGTGCTTCTCCAACAAAGCATTGTCAAATAACTATCCAGAATCAATGTGGTGTTAGTTGGATTGCCTCATATTTTCAGTGTACTTTCAAGTGATTCTGGGTTCAAACCTTCATGATACAATGTGTGTGAATTTTCACCTCTCCTATTTTCTAACTCTGAAAACAAAAAAAAAAAACAAAAATAAAAAAAAAAAAAAAAAAAAAAAACATAAACGGACTCAAATGAGTTAAACTGACATAATTACACCGACAATTACTCTTTTTCACTGCATTATTTAGATTTTAAATATGGTTTTGTCAAAGTCGACATGGTATGTCATTGTAAAATTGCATTATTGATGTTGAATTTTACATGATCTAAGGTACATCACTGAAATCAAGGTCTAAAATGATTGGGAATTTTCACATTCCTATATATATATATATATATATATATATTTGGACTCTCATGCCTATTTCTCCATCCATCTAAATTTGTAGCCTTCTTGCCTGTTTTTGCCATTTGGAATGTGTTGATAGAGTTTCTGTTTCCTTTCACATGTATTTTTTCCAAATTTCTTGTGGACGATTAGATTCTTTCTCACAAGTCATACCCAAGTGGTCAATGAATCATTATCCTCTTTCTTTTCCTAGGAAATTAGGTCTTTCTTTTCCTTTTAATCTTCTTTTTCTCAATAGTCAATGAACCAATTATAAGCCTGTCAAACTCTCTAAATCCTCATATAATTAGAACGATATAGGATTGATAATGGAACTACTTGTCTCCCAAATTAGTTGATCTATTGATGTGGTCAGCAAATAGGCTTCTTACAATTGCTGTAATTTTAACTAATTAGGCTGACTTGCAACTCAATGGAAGTCGGTGCGTTTGGATAGTGGAAATAAATGCAATGTAAAATAAAAAGAAAAACAAAGAGAAAAAAAACTTTTAAACTTCGTGATTGAATATGGATTTGAAAATAAAACGAAAAGTGCGTGTCGTATAATGGAGACAGTAACAACATGGATTGTCGTTTTCTCACTTACTTACCATGTCTAAAAGTTAAAGTTTCTTGGTCCAGCAAATATGGAAAGCAGGGATAATTAGGTGCCTTTGATTACCATTGGCTACTTAATGACATGAACAATTATTAATTGGGTTAAACACCCACCATATATTCATAATACTATATGATAATATGGGGCCAGTAGCCATGACAGAAACTTTGAAATGCTTATAAAAAGCAAATCAAACAGTAAACTTTCTTTTCGTTTCCCCTTCTGCCTAAACGCTATTATGTTATTCTTACCAAAATTCTGGCCACTTTGAACTTTGGAGAAGCATAATACAGTACTGTATCAGTGGCTACAATGAATAAGTATTTGGACTTTGGGTGCAGTTGCCCACTTGCTTTATACATTCCCATGGTGATTGATCCCTTCTTCAAAACAATTTGAGATCATAATCTAGAACTTCATTAGAGAATTAGTAGGCTATACAGTCGACGTCCGTTTTTAATCATTATCGCTAACAAAATGTATGAACACAACCATGTTATGATTAGAAAATAATCACTTTAGGTATTTAGGCTGAGTTGCATTGCATGGAGTCCTTAGTTAAATAGCATGAACATGAATGAATCTAACAAATTGTGACTAATTACCTTCATGAGAAATGAGTAGTGAGATTAGAGAAACTGAGATTAAGTGCTTGTCACCAAATTTCTTCTGTAAAAAGGCAAGCCATCGTAAGCTATGTCAAGCTCAAATGAAAAAAGTTCATGTCCAAGCACCAAGTTGATCTTAATCTGTGGCCCTAGAAGCATATATTAGGTAATGGGTTACACTTAAGAGGGCTGGTGTTCTCTTATCAATCTAATCCCTCACATGATTTGTTGAGGGTAGATTTCAATCCCAAGTTTTTGATGTCGAAGTTTTACCACTCATGCTTTTTGTAGTGTATATTATTATTCAGTAAATATATGGTCTGTTTTTGTGGCCCTAATAAAATTCATGAGACAGAAAATATCCTCTAAGATATCCCAAGAACTAATAATCTCTGCAGCCACCAAAAAGGGTTTTGCTTTAAGGTACACAAATAAAGTCAAGCAACTCTCAAAGTCTGCCCACATAAGGCAAAAACAGCCATGATTGTGAGCTCATTCTCAGTGGTTAGGGTTGCACATATTCTCTGACAGTAGAACGAAGACATTGGCTAGCTCTGGTATAATTAATAAGCTTTTGAATTTTGCTAAAGATAGTGGATTTGAGCATATGGGGAGAGAGAGAGAGAGAGAGAGAGAGAGAGAGGAGAGAGAGAGAGAGAGAGAGAGAGTGATGAGAGCATTTTCTGCAAAAGCAATAAGCACTGTCTCTCTCTGCTTCACTTTTGTGAAAGAAGAAAATTCTAAATCCCTCTGCATAAAGGGCATGCCCCATAAAATTATTGCAAATGTAAGAAACAATTGGACCACCATATAGATTCATTTATGCTCCATTTTCTCCTCAATTTGTTGCCTCTTGACATGTCAAAATGCACCTCTGATGTCATACCCAATTCTGGCCATATTGATAGACTTGTGTGCTGCCTATCCGTTAAACACGATTTTTGTCCAACATGCTTAAAGGTACAAACATCCACGGAATCCCACAACCCTCAATGCTTTTTCTTTTTCTTTTTTCTCCCATCATTATAATGTTTGAATTTTTAAAACGATTTTTCATAACGTGCATGGTTGGTGTATTGGTTTAAAAACTTGTTGTAAACTCAGACGTTCTTAATTGAAATGATCATAAGTGAAAGAATACCCGAATTTACGTGATATGGATAATTTGGAGATTAGGATGACACCATTATGTTGGGTCGGATTTGGCTTTAGGAGTGTGGGCTTTCTCTCATTACCCAAAAAATAGAACATCTAATGGGCCTACAAACCTTTGGGTCCCAAGTTTTCTCCCAATTGATTGCCTGCATTCTTGGGCCACCTAAAGCATAATTCTCTTCATTTGAGACTAGGATCAGAAGTTGGCCCAAAGTTGTCTCTACGTCTCTCTCTTTTTTCGCAGCTCTCATCCAGCAAGTTGGACGGTGAATGTGAAACCCAAACGGCTGTTGCTTCTGGACGGTCATGTGAGTCAATGGCATACACATCACATGGGCTGCACACATTAGAAAAGTTGTGTTTCTATACCTAAAAATTAAATTGCATGAAAGTCACATGGTTGCTCTTTTCCCTTTATGCTCCAACAAAATTCCAAAAGGGTGTCAAATTTAATCCAACATGCGCATAATTTAAGCATTTATAGCTTTCAAGTCCAATTCCACGCCACGATAGTTTTATGTGGTGTAGCAAACGCGTTCGTTGACTTCTTAGTTGACTAGCTAGTTAGTGGAGGGACTAAAACTCGAGGGCAACTCATATGTTTGGTCCTTTTTTATGACCAAAAACCTTAACTAAAGATTCTCAAGTACGTTTGACATGACATGCATTTTTAGGTTGCTGACTAAGATGATAAAGTCAAGTTGTTCACACTTCAATGCATCCTTTGGGACTTTGAAAAGGTTGTGGAAACCCAACAAATTCGTCTTGCTAGTTATAACTTATAAAAGTTTAAACTGCTATGCATGTGAGATTCACAACACGTTAATAGTCGGAATTTTCCCATCTAAAGACTCACGAATGTACGACTGACTATTAATTCATTTGAAACGTACAATGCATCAACGGTCAGGATTTATTCATCTTGAGACCAAATGCCAGCTTGGGTTGGGCTATAAATCAAACCAGACATAGCCTCGTCCAACTTAAAGTGGCCCATCGTCTTCCCCACTTTAAGCGCAAACCAAATTTTGTGCGCCTATAAACGAAGAATCTACTCTCTCCTTCACACGCGCGTGGGCACACCAAAATCCTCGCTTTGTGGCTACAAACCCCCTCCATGATTTCCTTTGTTAACTTCACTATCCCTCTCAGTCCCAGCCATAATCTCCAAATATCCTCATACCCTCACACCCTCTCTTCTCTTTGTCTCTATTTCTTACTTCATATATGACTTGTTCTCTTCTGTGTATTATTATTATTTTCCAGCCGTTTTAGACAAACCCAATTTGCTCTAACACAACAATAATTGACCACCATGGTTTGATAGCATCTCAATTTCATCAGTACGTCTCTGCAACTCAAAGTTCAACCATGCATAGCCCTTCAATAACAACAACCCAAGAACCCAGTCCTGTCTACGACCTTGTATCCCAATTGGGTCGCTTTGCCTTCAGTTCAAGGTTTCAGAACCAGGGCTCAGAGGGGCACTCTCCGTTTTTATCTAATTTCTTGTACTTTGATGGCTTTGGGGGTTCAGTTTCCGGGAAAAAGCCCAAGGTTGGTGCTTCAGCTTCACTGAGTTTGACCAGTAGAGGCAGTTCAAGCATTCGGAGAATTGTGACCGAGTTTAATAGAGCAATTAGGTTCCATTGTGACAAATTCCCAATTGGGTTTGCTTCAGTTCAGACTGGTTATGGGGATAACAATGGATCGGATAATGGTGTTGGGGACAATAACAATGTCTTGATAGAAGATGGGGGTGGTGCTAACGATCATGGGATAGCTTTGAATGGTGTGGGGGCAGAGAGACCCAAAAAGGTGCTGATTTTGATGAGCGACACCGGTGGCGGTCACCGAGCTTCTGCAGAAGCTATCAAGGCAGCGTTTAATGAAGAATTTGGGGATGAATATCAGGTCAGTTATTTTGGATTGTCCTAACAAATTTAACTTTATTATGAAACATTGTATTTGATTGCTTGACTTGTGGGGAGAAGAATGGAAATTTCTTTTTTAGTTTTCGTTTTCCAGAGATATTTAGAATCATTGACATGAGAACATGCAATGTACGTTGACTGGCAGTTGTGCAGAAATGTAGTAACATAACAACATAACATATGAGATTTTAAAATTTAAGTTTCGATCTTTTCCCACAAAATTTCATCAAGAGAACACTTGGGGGTCAAATAGGATAAGTACAAATTTGTTGATCGTGTTTATTGTTAAGAGTGCATGTCGCAGGTGTTTGTTACTGACTTATGGTCGGATCATACGCCTTGGCCATTTAATCAACTTCCCAGGAGCTATAATTTCTTGGTGAAACATGGGCCATTATGGAAGATGACATATTATGGGACTGCTCCACGTCTGGTGCATCAATCTAATTTTGCGGCAACTTCTACATTTATAGCTCGGTAAGACTTTGTTTGGCTTAAGGTTTATGCTCGTAATTCATCTAGTCTGTTTTACGCCAGTTAATTGTGCATTCTTTTTCTTCATGGAAAAGTTGAGCACCCATTTATTAACTTTACTCATTTTCAACTTTTGAATGATTATGTAGTAGAGTAATATGTATAGTGAGTAGGAACTTTCGTGTTTTCAGCAGTGGTTTTTTGTAAGTTTTGGTGATCAAAATAGCTTGCGGGAATCTACAACATTTTAGTCGTGTATCTTATGCACTTTAAGCTTATAAAGTTATATAGAGAGGTCATTTTAAGGACTTTGTTTTATGCTGTCCTAGAAAATTTTAACCTTATGAGGAAAACATTTAATAGGCTTACAAAACACAGGAAATGACCAATTTTGTCCTAATCTTCGAGTCTTTTTTATTTCCTGTCAAGTTATGGTTCAAAGACAGCTTTTTGGCAGTATGACTTGTCGAATCCTCTAATTCTGTTTTGTATTGCAGGGAGGTTGCCAAAGGATTGATGAAATACCAGCCGGATATTATTATCAGCGTGCACCCACTGATGCAACATGTACCACTTCGTGTCTTAAGGGGAAGGGGTCTATTGAAGAAAATAGTTTTTACCACAGTTGTCACAGATTTAAGCACTTGCCATCCTACATGGTTTGTTTTGCACGAAGCCTCTACTAATCATATCCTTTTCTCAGCATAGCTCTGATACTGTATGTCTTCTTGTCTAGGTTTCATAAGCTTGTAACAAGATGTTATTGTCCTACAACTGAAGTTGCGAAGAGGGCATTGAAAGCTGGACTCCAGCCTTCCCAAATCAAGGTTTATGGCCTCCCCGTACGCCCTTCCTTTGTCAAGCCTGTGCGACCGAAGGTTGGTTTCCTTTGTTGTTGATCAACTATGTCTTTAACCTTGATCTAATTTGTTGCCTGAAAATCAACATTTGGTGTGACTGTAGAAGGGCCAGTGACTGTTGATTGAAATTGAAATCTGTACTTGCAAGCTGTCAGTTGGGTTTGGATGATTTGCTGATTATTTTCTCTTTTATAAGTTATGGTAATGCTTGAAATTGTATGATCAGGACCAAAGATGATGCATGAGATTATAATTTGAAGTAAGGTTGAAAACGAAAAAGAAATCCCTTTTGTTGTTGGGTCAAAACAGAATTGTTTGTCAGGAAAAGAAAAAGCTGGTAAAGAGGATATAGTTGGTCTGGGAATCTAAGGGTGGGGAGCTCACTTGCACTTATTCCATGGTTGTAGATGGGGGTTTAAAATAAATTTTGACTACCTTTGGTATGCTTTTTTTATTTAACTGTAGGCTGAACTCCGGAGAGAATTAGGAATGGAGGAGGATCTTCCTGCTGTGTTGCTGATGGGAGGAGGAGAAGGAATGGGTCCTATTGAGGCTACAGCTCGGGCACTTGGGGATGCATTATATGACGAGAATCTTGGGGAGCCTGTAGGTCAGGTCCTTGTCATATGTGGTCGCAACAAAAAGCTTGCAAACAAATTGCTTTCAATCAACTGGAAGATCCCTGTCCAGGTATTTTTATACCTTATGAAGTGAAACTCCATGCACAGCATTTGTCATTGTTTTGCCTTCTCAGATTTGCATCATTCAGGTTTATTTTCTGCCAATGGTTTTTGGTGAGGCACCTCTTTTACGTTTTCTGCATTGATCTGCATGCCATTTGAATGCCTCGAAAAGAATCTTCTATAAATTCATTTGTGATTCAATTCTAACATGACATGCCTTTAGGAACACATCACCTACCCTAACATACCAATGCATGTACATACTTAAACTTATATGTATTTATATACATAAGTAAGTAGCTGACATTGATTGTTATTATAGGTGAAGGGGTTTGTTACTAAAATGGAGGAATGCATGGGAGCTTGTGATTGCATAATTACAAAGGTAAGTTTGTCACAGTCATAATAATCATTACAGTATTTTGTATTTTATTACCAACCAATTTAATTGCTACTTCTTTTTAATAGGCGGGCCCAGGCACTATTGCAGAAGCCATGATAAGAGGCCTCCCGATAATTCTGAATGACTACATTGCTGGACAGGTAATGATGATTTATACTTGTGCCTGAGGCAGGTTAAAGCTATAACTTAATTTCACTGCCTATGCCTTTACTTATCCAATCATATTACGTTTCTTGTTAAAATCTCATCTGCTTTCCCCAGTACTACTCTGTTATGAGAATGCATGCCCTCACAGGCGAATATAGTAAATGACCTTTTCTTCTTATAGGAAGTTGGGAATGTACCATATGTTGTTGAAAACGGGTGCGGGAAATATTCTAAATCTCCGAAAGAGATAGCAAAGATTGTTGCTCAGTGGTTTGGTCCAAAAGCTGACGAGCTCAAGGCCATGTCGGAAAACGCAATTAAGCTGGCGAAGCCTGATTCTGTGTTCAAGATTGTTCATGATCTTCACGAGCTGGTTAGACAACGAAGCCTTGTACCTCAATTATCATGTACAACTTAACCCTATTTCCCCCCAGCCAATTTTGTTTACTAGTCCCTCTATTTCAGCAAAATGCACGCTTTTCTGCCCTCCTCATTTCATTGCCTTGTTATAATTGTGTTTCAAATATAATAAATAATAATAAAAGTTCTCTATTTCCCTCGCTCTGCTCTGCCTGTGATTTCACGAGCACTTTAATGGCGGTAAAATCTTCCCCCATCTATTAAATACTATGTCGGGCTCTCAGCATGATGGTCTCTTAAGACCATTAATTGGCTGATTGTGTTTATAAATATATACTTTACAAAGGCGTTGCCCTGCACAAGTCTTCTTCTACTTTCTCAATCCCCATAGCTTTCACTGCTTCAATGGCGCAAGAAGATGATCAGATCAAGTGGAAAATCAAGGAGCTTACGGCATTAGATGTCGTAAATCATTTTGTCTATTTAGACATGAAGGACGTGGAGGAACATATATTGAGGCATTGGAACAAAGACAAGATCATAAGAGTAAGAACAGATTCCACGAAGATCAGGGTTAAGGATGTTGACACCAACACCACACACGCACTTCATTTTCGCATTTACGATTACAAGCCAGAGGCTAATGCCACGCTAGAAGGCGAATGGGGTTGGGATTTTGTTACGCGCAGAGGGCTTGGTGCTGGTGACCAGATTGGGGTTTATTACGAAAAAACTGATGAATCTGTATTCTGTCTTAGCGTCTTGAAAAAGGTTGCACCTTCGAGTGCGGCATCCATACGACCGCTCTCACGAACAAATTAAACGTCAAATATCCTAATTTGCTTACTAATGTAATTGATTTAAGTAATTTTATTTTTAGGTAGGGTTCTTGGAATCCAAGTAGAGGATCTGTATTCATAGTTCTTTGAATAGAGGCTTATAAATGAAGAATAACGTACCATATATTATATACAACCTCTCTCACCAAGAACCCTAAATTCCAATTTATATGTTGAAAATCCAGAGTTTTCTCCAATTGATTTTATGAGAATATGTTACCACGACAGATATCCGTTTTTAATTTTTAATTTTATTCTTTAGAAGCATTATTAAAGATATTCGAACACAAGACTTCTAATGCATAGATAGCTACTTTGCATTCCGTCTTCAATCTAAAGTGATTGACGATTGAGATTAAAATCACATAAATAAGTAAATTACATCACAAAAAATACCGGAATTGAGTCTACACGAATGGAAATGAAAAATTGCTGATGGACCAAAAGGGCCATTTGGCACAAAAACTTTATAAACTATTGTTTTAGGGATCTAATTTTCATACTCCTCTTTTGTCCGTTTATCTTTCTTTTGTTTGAAATTGTATGTTCATACTCCTCTTTTGTCCGTTTTAGGGAGACTTTGGAAAAGATCAAATGAGAGAGAAATTTTTTAAAAGAAGCCAAAATTGACAAAATTGCCCTTATTTATTTTTAGATTTCCTAAGGAATCATTTACTTTTGTATGTCTTTGGTTTGAAAGTTGAGAGATTTTTCTGTCTTTTTGGAAAAAGTTTGGCTTTTTCCAAAAATGAAATTTTTTTTATGGCTAAAACTTAAATTTACTAAAAAGAGAAAATAGAGTATAAGAGCATCCACAATGGGCTCCCTAAACTATCTCCTTAGACAAATTTTAGGGAGGAATCGTAAAAATGCATATCCAACCACGCTCCATATTCACCTCCTAAAATAGGGAGTCCTCTAGGAGCTCCTAAATATGAGAAGAGAGAAAGGACTCTTAGTGGTTCCCTATAATTTAATGCTACTTTATTTAATGAATATTTCAAACCTTTATTTAATGCTAACTATTTTTATTTTATTTTTTAATAGAGATGGACCAATAAAAAAAGAGTTATAACATTTATGACTCTCTAAATTATGGAGTATGGTTGGAGTTGAAATTTTTTAGAGAGCTCGTAAAATAGCTTTATTATATTCTTAGCCAATTTTAGCTAAGAAATAGAGAGCATCATTGTGGATGCTCTAAGAGCATCTACAATGAGCTCTCTAAACCACATCCTTAGACAAATTTTAGGGAGGAATTACAAAAATACAAATTTATAAATAAACTCAATCATAGACATGTATTTATAAAAAAACCCAAGCACTATTTAAACATAGAAACACACCCAAAATCAACAATTGTATATTTTTTGGGTGTGTTTATAAATGGGTTTTGAGTGTGTGTAATGATGAGTTTTGGGTGTGTTTATAAAGTGTTTTGAGTGTTGGGTTTTTTTATAATTTCAGCCCATATTTTGGGTATTTTAGTGAAACTCCCTTATAAAAATGCAACTCCAACCATGCTCCCTATCTATCTCTTAAAATAGGAAGTCCTCTAGGAGCTCCTAAATATGAGGAGAGAGAAATGACTCATAGTAGCTCCCTATAATTTAATACTGTTTTATTTAATGAGTATTTCAAACCTTTATTTAATGCTAACTATTTTTTATTTTATTTTATAATAGAGATTGACCAATCAAAAAAGAGTTATAGCATTTATGACTCTTCAAATTATGGAGTATGGTTGGAGTTAAATTTTTTTAGAGAGCTCCTAAAATAGCTTTCTTATACTTTTAGCTAAATTTTAGTTAAGAATGGATGCTCTAAGTGGATAAAAGAAGAGTGAGAAAATCATCACTCTTATTTTAATACAAAAATATATTTTTATAACTAAAATAAGTATTTCAGGAAAGCGCGCCAGTTTTACAGATTGCCACCTTGAGGGAAGTACAGTACCACCTGTCACTCTCATTGACTCATCTGCTGACAGATTCGCGTTCAACAAGAAAACTAAGTAAAAATCTTTCTGGCCTCTCACGCTTTGGAACTTCCGAGTCACGCAACAACCGAAAGAACCAACCTTTGGTACCATAAAAATTAAAAGAAAAGAAACCCAAATCCCTTGAACAAGATACAAGTTGGACTGTCTTGCTGCGTGTGGAGCTTTCGTGAAGATGTTGATTTTGTAGCCAAATTGAGATTAACCCAGTTCGTATTTTGGGTCAAAATTCCAAAATTCTTGAGGCTTGGTGCTGATTTTGGTTATGGGTTGGAAGTACAACGCGGGTTTGGGGTTGATTGGCACGGTTGTCTTCATATGGATCGCTTCTGCAGAGGTTACTCAGGTTTGGGTTCATTCACACCCCTTTGTTTCCTTTTCTTTTTGAAGTTTTGATTCTTTTTCCTTCTCTTTTCAAAGTTTGGCTTTTGACTTCAGTAGTTTAGCTGGTTATAATTTACTGTTCTCATAATAATATTTGTGCTCTGTTTGTTTATAGGGAAAGAAAAGAAAATTACACTTTAAAAACATCACTGCTGTCCTCACTGTTCTATTTATATGTTTCTTTTGGGGTTCCTATGGGATGATTTTCTTTGAGGAATTTTTTTTTTCGGGGAAAAGGTCTCTCTCTCTCCTAAAAAAGAAGTTATATTTCTCGTCAAAACAGTACATTATTTTGTTAGGCTCATTATACCTGATATTTGAAGGGTGCATTCTTCTATTTCTATGATTTGAAAACTTAAACTTGCACTGGTTTTTCCATGCAGAGAATTTTCACCGAGTACAAACAGCCGTTTGCACTGACTTATCTCGGGGTGTCTCTAATGGTGGTCTATCTACCTATAGCAGCTTTGAAACATTGGATCTGCAGCTTACTGAAACCAAATTTAGTTGATAATTTCTACAACAATGAGAGTGCCATGAGCACTTCAGTTGGGCTTGATATCCCACTTATAATAAATGAAATGCACCACAGTCCAGAAACCGATGTTACAAGCTGCCCAGTTACTGACAAAGATCTTAGCAATGCGGAAGAAGGGCGGCCTCTAATCGCTAAGAGTGAAGAAGATGAGTCTCACTTGCTTGAACAAAGTGATCAGCTTAGTCCCTGGGAAATTGCAAAATGTGGCTTAATTCTTACTCCAATATGGTTTCTTACAGAGGTAACATGAGTCATTTTGGCACTCCTGTTATTCATATCACCTTTTTGGACTTCGATTTGCATTTTAAATTGCTTGAGGAATTGCATTAATAGAAACATAAATCTTCATGGATCTTTTGGTTTGTTTTCATATGCATGGATTAGTTGTATGGTCGGGCCAATCTCATCAAGGTCCCTTTTAAAAGTGGCAAGTGACTTAGTGAAATCACTTTGATCTGGTGCAGTATCTGTCAAACTCTGCGCTGGCAAATACCAGTGTTGCTAGCACAACTGTCCTAACTTCTACATCGGGGCTCTTTACACTTTTCTTTGGAGCTCTTCTTCGTCAGGATTCCATAAGTATTCCAAAGATAGTTGCTGTCTTTGTCAGCATGGCTGGTGTTGCCATGACCACAGCTGGAAATACTTGGGCACCTGATGAACTGCTGAGCATCTCTGAGTAAGTTTTTAATCGTTGCTTCAGCTAGTAGTAATGAATTTTTATTGTGCTTTCTAATTTCTTTCCGGTCAACATGAATGTCTTAGTATAGTCCTCCTATCTGCCCCTTCTATGGGTGCACTTAGTATCAACTTGTACTGTGTTTCCATCCTGGGTTCTAGGTCGCATGAAAAATTGTAGCTTATAGAATAATTGTATTGACATAAGGTTGGCTTTTTCGAGGGGAATTTAGTCACTTCCTTCACACCGGAAGGAGGTGGGGTGGGGTGAATGACATCTTGAAGGTTATGTAAATTTTAGATGGTTTTATTTTTTTATTTATGTATTAGTTATAAATATATTTTACTAATTCTTAGATTTCTGTGTTCCTTACTCAAGTTGGTTCTTTTTACTCACGTTTCACTAACGTTTTTGAAATTTTATATTGTTCTTGTTGCCAAGGACTAGAAAGCACTCTATAACAGGAGACATTTGTGGTCTTCTCTCAGCAGCATCATATGGATTATTTACAGGTAATACATTCCATTCAGAAATCCAGTGTTACTTAAAAACTTTTACAAATAAATAAGTCATCAACTGATATAACTGATATACAGTTTAATTATTTTTTGAATTTTTGTGTGATTATTAAGTTTCTAGTCTTATTCATGCAGTGTTACTTAAGAAATTTGCTGGATCAGAAGAGGAAGGAGATAAGGTTGACGTGCAGAAGCTCTTTGGATACATTGGTCTCTTTACTCTGCTTGCTCTGTGGTGGCTTGGTGAGTGGAATAATAATTACAGGATCTATTTATTTTCTTCGTCTTCCAACCTTCTGAAGTTAAATTAGACTATGTTAGCATACCATGATGGATTTCAGGCGAAACTTGGTAACTAGATCAATGGTTGCAAAAGATAATGTAAGTTGGACTGTATCTCAGGCCATTGCTTATGATTTTCGCACTAGAATATAATTGGCTTGATTGCTATCATGATTTCTAGTGTTTTTCAGCACAAGTCTCTTTATAAGAAGGTTGTTAGAATTGAATACGTTATCTTAAGATAGTTACAAGAAAAAAAGAGAAATTAAAACAGAGAAATCATAAGATAGTTGGAAAGAGAAGTGTAAATATATATTGCAGTCTCTTAAGCTCTGTATGCGGTGGAGTTTTCAAATGGAAAGGGCTCATAACGAAAAGATAGTGCATATTCTTGGGTGCCATGTTATTCTGTTTAAGTTGTATCGCTTACAGAAATGCTTTCCCGTGCAGTGTGGCCGCTCAATGCCATTGGGATTGAACCTTCTTTTGAGCTTCCACAATCGAAATCTGTTGGGGAAGTTGTGCTGTTAAATGGCTTCATGGGGAGTGTTCTTTCAGATTATTTTTGGTATGTAAAACGGCCTTCACAAACATCGGGGTCAATATGGCACCACAGGGACATGAAAGCATCAAACCATGATTTCTGTTATATTTATTTCTTGCCATCTACCAGTAAAAGGATTCTTTGTATTCTTATAAATGGTGCACAATTGGCTTTTCATAGATAACTGCTAAGAGGTCGGTTTGAGTCTGTTGTGTGGTGGCCAAATGTATTATCAGTACTTTCTGCAATTTTTTTCATTTTATCTATGAAGCTAAAAGATGCTTGTGCCTAATGTTTTTAACATCGAATCAACTAAAACTTTGACAGGGCACTTTCTGTGGTTTGGACTTCTCCATTAGTTGCAACGTTGGGCATGTCCTTGACAATTCCCCTTGCTATGGTAGCTGACATGGTAATTCACGGCCGCCATTTTTCTGCAGTCTACCTCTTTGGTTGCATTCAGGTAGTGTATTCATATTATGCTTCATTCATATTGTGGCACAAGGCTTGAACTTCTGCCGTCAAACTTACCCTTGAGACGTAGCTCCCCCAATGATATAGTTGGTTTTGCTGCGGTAAAAATTTACACCTAACTACTTTCCATTGGACTCAGGTTTTTGCAGGTTTTGTGATGGCAAACCTTTCAGACAAGTTTTCTAGAAAGGAAGAGTTGAAATAGTGACGTATAGAAAGCTCAGAGAAGTTCCTAGTTTGCATGTAGACTGAATATATACATAGCATACGTAAGATATAGGAAACATCAGCTGCCCTTGTATTGTATACAACATACAAAGACTAAACATGGGATTTTTGGTAGATTTTCATATGCTTAAAGTATGATGGTGTCTCTCTCTCTCTCTCTCTCATAATTTTTTTATTTTTTGGTGGATTTTCATATTCTTTTGTCTCTGTTAACCTGGCCGATGAAAGTCACGAAACACCACTTCAATAAGAAGAATTGTAAATTTTGATGTAAAATTGAGGCATTAGTAGGCTGACACAATTAGGGCGGTGGAGCTGGGCTATGGTTTTCAGAAGGCATACTTGGGCTCGGCCCGTTTTGATACTAGAGGTTCAGCATTTCCACTAGCCCGAATTGGGATATTGGAATCAAAATCCAAGAACTTAAACAAATTAAATTAAATTAACAGAACGAAATGAGTTTTTTCCCTTTTAATTTTGCCTCGAAATTACAGAGTGACACACGAGTACGACATATGACATCAATTGAAAATTGAACCCAGCAACAACTTTACTTTTAATTGAAAAAGATAAAAACAAGCTAAAAACCAAGAAGCCGACCTGAGGCATTGTGTTGAGAGAGCGCATATTCGTATCAAATCTCTATTTTCTGACTGAGTGAAAGTAGAAGAGAAGAGAAGAGAAGAAGAAGATGGAGAAAGGAAAGGGAGTGATGGGAGCAGGTCGAAGATGGGCCGTTGACTTGACTGACAACTCAACCTCCCCTTCTTCCCGCGACGTCCCTGATCCTCCTGGCTTCTCTCGCACCTCCCTCGAACAGGTTCTTTGCCCTTTCCTCTCTTTCTTCCTCGTCCAATTGGGATTTGGATTCGTTCTCAATTTATTTGATTGGGGTTTTTTTGTTTTTCTCTAGGACGATTCAACTGTGAGTCGCCAGAAGAAGGATGCCGAATCTACTTGGAAAGCGCAGGTTTTTATTCCCCTCCCTAAATTTACATCTATTGAAACATTGAAGTATTTAGGGTTTTTTGCGTTCGTCTTTTAGACCCAGGATTTCGGACATTTGGAGGGGTTAAAAAATTGTACCTTTACATCTGAACTTAGTAATCTGATCACAAATTATGAGAAAGATTTGATATGGAGCATGGTTTAGATTGAGGATGGATCACCCTTTTAGCTGTTTCTTTACTGAATTTTGTTTACCCTTGTTATACCAGTGATATTCGATAGTTTGGATTTTTGGGATCTCATGGCTTCTTTATGTTTGAGCAGAAAGCTTGGGAAGTTGCGCAGGCCCCATTCAAGAATTTGCTAATGATGGGCTTCATGATGTGGATGGCTGGAAGTACAGTGCATTTGTTTAGCATTGGAATCACATTTTCTGCTCTTTGGCAGCCCATAAGTGCCTTACAGGGTGTAGGAAAGGGTAAGATGCCTACTATACTTTTTCTTCTCATACAACTGTTGGTAAATTTTTTTTTTCACCCATCGATCACTCTATATGTGTGGATCACTCTATATGTATAGGGGAATGATAAGGATGGAAAAACATTAAGTTTCTTCTCTGCCTAACATGAAATCCTGTATTATACTTGCTTGTCCATATTGCTGTATCATCATACAAGTGCTTTCAAATAACCACCATTCATGGCCTTTGGGCAGTTAATGTAGTGCTCCATTTACTGGTCTCGCTGATGTGACTATCTACTTCTTATAAATGTTGTTTGGCATGATTTATTGCCGAGATGTTGCATATTGAACTTTTTTTCTTTTTCTTCTTCTTTATTTCCTGTTAACTGTAGTTTTCGTAGGACTTTTTACCACCTTCATATATCCATGCAAATTTTATCGAGGACATATTTTATGTGTTTGTCAGTTGATTCATGCATATACTTTATTTGCTCGGCAGTTTATTTCTTCTCTCTTTTAATGTGATTCTGCAGTTTTTGAGCCCTACAAGGACAGCAAAGTAGATCTTATTGCCCCAAAGTTGCTATTCATTGCCCTTAATTTGGGAGGTTTAGCACTGGGTGTTTGGAAGGTGAATTATATTTGTTCTTCTTTACTTGCTTTAATCCCCTATGGTTTATCTTCTTAGAAATCCTGTTTGTTAAATTTTCATTTTTCTTGGCAGCTTAACACTTTGGGGTTGCTTCCTACACATGCATCTGATTGGGTTTCATCCTTACCCCCTGCTCAGGTAAAATTCTTCCTCCTGAGGTGAAATTCATCTGGCATGCGGGATTTTCTCAATTTATTTTGAAGCATGTCATTTGCTCTAAAAATGTCTGCACCACTGTTTTTACCTAAGCAGTCGCAACCATGGAACCATTCTTGACTTACACTGATTCATCCAACTTGTATAGTGAAGTTGATTTAAAAAACAGTTCCTAGCAAAATAAAGTTTCTTGTAGTGGAGAACTCTCCCTCCCTCTTCACTGTAGGGAGGGAGAATATCATAGGCTGTCCATAATCAGATTAAATTTTAGTCATTAAATGCTTCTAAACAACTTTGTGCTTTTCCAGCACATGATAAATAAAGAACCAGGCAGCTGAGTGAGCTTTTGAGTGAGTTAGTAACATAGCAGCTAGGCGGAGATAGTTAGGGAGGATAGTTCGAGCTAATAATCAAGTGGATGAGGTAGTTGCTGTGTTAGTAAGTTGTAAGTGTCGGGAAGATATTACAAGCTGCATGAGCTGTATAAATAATAACGAAGAATTGTATTGGAAAAGTTTCAATGAATGTTTACAAGGAACTGCAGGCTTCCAGTGGGAAGATTACAATCCCATTGCTACTCTCTACACGCACACTTGTGGCCCATATACACCCATGTACAACCCATATCATATCACACATTACAGTACTCTTCTGACAGTTGAATGCTGACACCTTGGTTGTTTCGAGCTTCTTAATATCTTGGAACTCCCATCTAAAACAGCAAAAAATCTGTAAATTGCACATTTCAGGCATGTCATCATATTATCGTTCTTTTTTCAAAATTTGCAATTTACTGGTACACTCAGCAAGAGGTGAGTTGCCATTTGGCCCTAATGCCATTCTTGGTGGCTTCTCCTAGCTGTTTCGTAGCCTTAAATTAACCTTAGGGCTCCCTTAACCATTTTTGTTTGGTCCAAATTTCAGGAGGTTGAGTACTCAGGTGGTGGCATTCCTCTATATTGACATCAATGTTGGGCTAATCTCAAGATGAAAAGATGAATGGCATTTGCAGACGCAGGATGAGATCCTATTGCTGTTTACTGGCAAACGACGCATAGCTGGTCTTGATAATGTGATTCTTTCGAGTTCTGAATGATATAACTAAATTTTGTGGCCGTAGACACTGAGCCTGTAGTACTTGTTCTAGTGACTCAATTGATTATCATGAAATCTATATTTTAACACTTTAATTTTGCTAGCAGTTTTGATGGTAATCCAAATTGAATTGTGCTTTATTAGGTTGGGGCTAAGGTATTGACGAATCAATTGAGTGGGGAGTTGCGACTCTCCTGAATTTGGATCTTACGGGATCAAGGGTCGATTATTTACTTTATTTATGTCAATGAGTAGGGGAGATTTGACGTCGAAGTTGGGAACTTTTTAACGATGTGAAAATAAATAACTTATAGCTAGTCGCATCGTATCAGTTAACGGTGCCTCGTTAATTTAAACTGTAAACCAGTGCCTCATCCAATGTTTAAATTCAACAAAAATGTTTTGATTTGAATAGCAAAAGTCATTTGAATTTAAATGAACTAGATACTTCCAATTGGGTTTTTGACGCGATAATCATGAGAAAACCCAAAGAATATATTTTAAAAAAGAAATAAAATCAAAACTTTATTTTTTTGGGTAGAAATAAAACACTTTCAATATCCACGTTCTTTTTTATAATAAAAAAAAAAAAAAAAAAACTCACTTTTGTCCTTATAGTTTGGCACTTCAACCACTTTTGACCTTGTAGTTTTAATTCCGTCAATTTTGTCATTGTAGTTTTGTATTTGTAACAATTCAAAGACATGTTGGTATTATTGTCAAATTCTTTAACGATGCAATGAGCAATTTCGTCAACCCAAAACCCTTGAAAGTAAAAGTTTGTCTGAAATTCTCCCAATTTCATATTATGGCTCGAAATTCAACCACTAATCCCAATTTTTGAAGAACCCTAAACACAAATGACCAATTTCAAACCATAATATGAAATTATTGGAGTTTTAGATGAGATTTTATGCTCAAGGATTTTGGATTGACGAAATTATCCCTTGCACTGTAAAAGAAATTGACAAGAATACTAACTTGTCCTTGAATTGCTACAAATACGAAACTACATGGTCAAAATTGACGAAATTGAAACTACATGGTCAAAAATAGTTAAAGTGCCAAGTTACAGGAACCAAAAGTGACTTTCAGTAAAAAAAAAATACTGAAAATAAAGATTTTTAATTATTTTGGTGGTTGAGAAACTTAAAAATCAGGCAATCGAATAATCAAGCATCTTCGTCAATTACTCCGATAGCCAACAACCTCTGAAGTCTTTGTCGTCCTCCTTAGCATCTGTGTGAACACAACCATGGAGCTAACAGCACAGCAGCTGATCCAATACAACGGCACCGACCCATCAAAGCCGATATACGTGGCACTGAAAGGTCGCGTCTTTGACGTGACGGACGGCAAGTCGTTTTACGGGCCTGGAGGGCCGTACGCGATGTTCGCGGGCAAGGACGCCAGCAGAGCTCTGGCGAAGATGACCAAGAACGAAGAAGACATCACTGCCTCCCTCGACGGCCTCTCGGAGAAGGAGATCGGCGTCCTCACCGACTGGGAGAAGAAGTTCGAAGCTAAGTACCCAGTTGTTGGCCGTGTTGTTTCTTGAAAGTTCTCTACTTTCGATTAGAATTCTTGAAAAGTCTCAACCTTTTATCGTCTTTATGACTTAAATGTATGCAATTTCAAGCAAAATAAGTGTTTATGGGAATTATTTGCTTCTGGGTATCTGTGACTTTGTATCCTATCCGTGTAGCTGATCTTGGATGTTGTGTATGTTTATCGATGGATGAATAAATGACTCTGGTTGTGTGAATTTGGTTTTGTTGATTTGGCTGAATTTTGAGCTTGTATGGCTGAGAAGTTTGCAAATTTTTGCAGTTTGATCCAGCTGTTCATATGTGCATTGTTGTGTTGTTCACTGAAATCCCTAATTTTGATGTTCCAAGGCACCAGGGTTTTGCCTGTACTGGTACAACAATTGCAACAATTAATGCATGAGACTTATGCTGATTTCGATTTCTCTGCTAGTTTGAGTGCATTAGTTTTGTTCCTAACTCTTCCCAAGTCTGCTCCTGTAATTAAAGTACATCAGAAGACTGATTTAGCTAGCCCATTGATAATGTTGACAATTAGAACCTCAGCATGTTGACAATTACAAGTTTTGGCCCTTGAATTGGTCATATCAGTTCATCCTTGCAGATCCTTTTCTTTTGGTTTCTTTGACTAGAAGCAGTTGTTGTTGGGTTGTTCACAGTCTTGGCACTTGATGAAGGAAAATCTGAATATATGAACTTAAACTAAATGCTTGGTTACTGATTGTCATTACGCTGAATTTCTGTTTCTACAAGATACATAGATTCTGATGGAATCAAAGTGGACTTCTACCAACCCTTTTAGTTGTCTATGTAGAGAAATTAACTCTAGATTTGTTGTCTTCCCTAGGCTACGTTTTCAGGACGAAAATCTCACCCCACATCCGCCAGCACTTTCTCAAGTCTCTTAGTGTGTATGATCTACGCAGAGTGCTTAGTGCATTGTGCGGTGTACAAAGTGCAAGAAAAGTTTAATGTGTATGTTGACGTATCCTCAACCTCATCCAAAGTGCTAATCTGGATTGTTGTCACTCTACTCTACATGATGTGAGGCATGTGCTCAAATGCCCACAGTGCAGTCTGTCTCTCTCCTTTCTAACGCACCAAAGGTTGGGGAAAACTCTAGTGTTACAACTTACAGGTACTCTTGTCTCTATCTCTCTCTTCTCATGAGGATGTCATATGTGGAGAGAGAGAGAGAGAGAGACGAGGGCCGGGATATGCTAGAGATGGAGACAGGAGTGGTATACACCCGAGACGGGGAAGTGTTTGTTGAAAGGTATATGAAAGCATTTTTCTTCAGCTTTGTCTAAAACAATTCATGGCAATCAGTACATTGGCAGGGGCACTATATGACTGATAATTACTCTTTTTTCTGTAAAGCTCGAAGAGACATTATTTCTGTTCTTTTGTAAAGCTCGATGAGACATCTAGACGTTACTGCTCCCTTCATAAACTCGGCATACTGTGACGGATAATTCATCCGATGTTGATTCAATGACTTGGGACTTCTAACTAAACAGATTGTTTTTTTCTTGTCAAACTTGTAACTACGCATTTTATAAACATTGATTTGAGACCATACCATGCTTCCTTTTATTGGACTATACATATGCTTTCATTTATACATGTTATTAATTTGAGGCCGATATCGATGTTATAAGCCTCACTTATTATTGTTATCCTTTTGTTTTTTTATCAAAATCAGAATTAACTTGATGTGTGTGAATTATATTTTATAAAGAAATGTAAAATGCAAAACATATAAAATATTAAAATAAACAGAGATTAGCCCAAAAACCCTACATGATGGATGGGGCATCATTGTCTCCTAGCTGTTTGACGGACCTGATCACTGTGATGAAAATTTGGACGGTTTAGATTTCCTTCAAAATAGGAAGTGGATAAGTAAAGTGCTTTGAATATAATTTCACTACTCTTTTAAAAGTTATTTTTATTTTTATTTTCTTAGTTTCCAAAGGAAATACTATACGCTCCATGAGAAGACTCTACGAGTCGGTATAGAAATCATAATTTATGCTCTAAGGGCACCTTCTTCATCCCCCCTTCTTCAAGTCATCCCTAAACAGAGCACAGAAAGCCCTGCCTTTTTCCCTCTGTCTCTCACCATAACCATCCACCGAAACAAATCCAGACCTTTGTTCCCAGTCCATCTCTTTACTGGAATATTGGATCTTGCTTTGTTAATCTTTATTATTTATTATTAATCTAATAATATTGCCATTTTTGTTAATGAAGTTTTTGTTTTTTTGATTTGTAACGAATCAGAGCTTCCTTTCTCAACCCCTATCAAAGATGTCGACTAGAAAACCTTCATACACAAACCCAAAACCCTGCAAGCACCTTTCAGCTTACAAGCTCAAACATGGCTTGAGTGGCTATAAATCACTCCAAAAGTGCCTCAAGACCACCCCAAATGGAAGGACAAGTGTTCAGAATCCTGGCACAGAGGTACCCAGATGCAGTTTCTGTAATGGGTATCAAGGTAGACTCTATATTTGTTTGATTTGCTCTTCAATCTCATGCTCAAGCCACGCCCTTTTGCATACCCAGTCTGAGATTGGCCACTATTTAGCTGTGGACGTTGAAAGGGCTGAGCTTTATTGCTGTGCGTGCTCTGATCAGGTCTATGATCCTGATTTTGATAAGACTGTGATGTCTAAACACATGGTGGACTTGCCGTATAGCACAAATAGTGCAGACAGTATAGGAGAGAGACTGTGTGAAAGGAAGAGGCTGGGTTCAGGTGTAGAATTAGTGGATTTGAAGAAGGCCGAAAAGTCGGCTTGGACGAGAGATCAGAGGGCCAAATCGTGTTACCCATTGGGTTTGAGGGGATTGAATAATTTGGGCAATACTTGTTTCATGAATTCTGTGTTGCAAGCACTACTACATGCACCTCCTTTGAGAAATTACTTCTTGAGTGATCGGCATAACCCCAAAACATGCCGGAAAAGGACTGCGAATCGGCTGTGTTTGCCTTGCGAACTTCATGGTATTTTCTCGGCTGTGTATTTGGGGGATCGGACTCCTTATAGCCCGGCGCAATTTCTTTACAGGTCTGACATTGCTCTGCCAGTGTGCTCTTTGGTTACAGCATATCTTGCCAAGTTAATAATGCTTGGTTTTGTGATTTGATGAATGATTTATATTGAACTTGATACTATGGGGGCCGAAGCCCGAACAAAGAAACAACTACAACAAATGATTGATTTATATTGGATAAACATTTGTTTCAGGATTTTCTTTGCCAGTTTTTGTCTCTGCAATTTGTCGGTTTTGAAGTTCCCTGGATAAGTATAGGAAGTGTTATATTGCTCTCTTAGCAAGTGGAGATGAAGTAATAACTTTCTAAGTTGTATACATGCAAATTGCATAATGTGTATGTCTAAGCCGGGCTTCAAGAAAGATACTCAACAGAATTGTATTTTTCTTTGTATACTGAAACCTTCAAATTAGGGTTTGTGTGGTTGGAGTTAGTTGGATTCTACACATTAATCTATTTAGAAGTGACATAGAATTTTTGGAAATGATGGCACCATTTTTCTGATTTTGGATCAAATTCTTATTTGATATGTGATGCTAAATCCCTTGTTAGTTCTTGTGTGCTCGTATTTTCTTAATTGATACATGCAGTAGACTTACTTTTCAACTGATCCACACTATCTTTTACTTGAAGTTGGTGGCAGCATTCAGAAAATCTGGCAAGTTACGAGCAGCAGGATGCTCATGAGTTCTTCATTTCAGTCTTAGATGGGATCCATGAGAAAGAAAGCAAAGCAAGGAACCAAACTAGAGGTATTTATGGGTCGACTGTTGGCATTGTGGTCTTGCCTTTTATGTTTTCAAGAGAGGGATTATACTTGGAAGCACATTGACACTGTTTAGAAGGATGTAGAACTATGGAGCCATCTATTACTGTATCTAAAGAAGTTCAAGAATCTCAAAAGGATTGGATGAGTTGTGTACACCTTCATAGGATACTGTAGAAGTAATAGATGCATGTGCAATTGTTGTTTTTACATTGTTTAATAGTTATCCTGTACTTATGAAGTTATCCTCTGTTTCACAGATACCGGAGATTGCCAGTGTATTGCTCATAGGGTATTCTCAGGACTGTTGAGGTCCGATGTCACTTGTATGACTTGTGGATTCACCTCAACAACTTATGACCCTTGTTTGGACATATCACTCAACTTAGACACAAGCCATTGTTCTTGGTCAGATGCATCTAATAAGCCCGTCAAACCAAATGACAGCAGCAGTTCATCTACTCTTTTAGGTTGTTTAGACTTGTTTACAAAACCAGAGAAGTTGGGATCAGACCAAAAACTGTACTGTCAGAACTGTGAAGAATTGCGAGACTCATCGAAGCAAATGTCCATCAGAAAGCTCCCGTTGGTGTTGTGTTTGCATATAAAACGATTTGAGCACTCCCTTGTCAGAAAAATGATGAGGAAAATTGACAGCTATTTGCATTTTCCTTTCTCCCTAGACATGACTCCATATCTGTCTTCTTCAATTGTCAGAAACAGATTTGGAAATAGGATCTTTGCTTTTGAGGGGGATGAATCTGATATATCTACAGAATTTGAGATTTTTGCAGTAGTTACTCATTCTGGGACACTAGAATCCGGCCATTATGTGACGTATTTACGCATAAAAAACCAGTGGTACAAATGTGACAATGCTTGGATTAATGAGGTTGACGAGGGAATTGTAAGAGCTTCACAGTGTTATATGATGTTCTATGTGCACAAGATGCTTTACTATAAATCACACGAAGATTTGAGTCGCCTGCCCATTTCCACACGGATAGAGGCATTTCACAGGGTAGCTGGTTGCTGCTAAATGTAATGTTTCAAATGATACTTACAGTTGGCTGAACAAGAATTGGACTTTCGATATACATCAAGGCAGGCTATGAACAGTGAGACCGAGAATGCTTCTGCTGAAGGAGCCGTTTCAAGAATCAGATCCCTTTGGCCTGAGGAAATCATGATTCCATGTTGGACGGACGGGGAAAGGCATCACCAAATTGCAGATTTTTTGAAGATCACTGTTTGAAGCAAGGATACATCCAGCTGTGCTGTTAATGGTTTGTTAATGGGTGTTTGTGAATGGATTTTGAGAGATACTAGGCAACTGGTGGAACTCAACTTCTTCATGTTGAGGTTTTTGTGCTCTTTACAAGATTCGTGCTCAGCATTTTTTTTGACTGCAGGTCAGTCATGTACAGAGTAGATCTTTGGAACTAATGTTTATTTGGGGGTTCCACTAACTTTTGCTCTACCACTTTTTAAATGTCAATATGATTTGTTAACTTTACTCTATTCACCCAATGTTGATGATGCATGAATCTTAAATTGGCTAAAAAGAAGTCGGGAAGTTAGTGCCATTCGACTCTGCTATAAGTAGTCTTCATTAACCCACTTCTGCTAAGGTCAATAAAACCACCACGAATAAAACAGGAAAAAATGGATAAGATTTAAAACGAGGAAGAAGAAGCAAAAAGCAAGACGAAGACAATAAAGTTCAAATCTTTTCATTCCTCATAGGCTCATTGCCCCTTTTGGTCTGTAATGTTTAGTCGACATTAAAAATAGAACACTTTCATTGTTATTGCCTAATCAAACTCGCATCAAGATTTGTTCTTGGGAGAAACCTCTCTCCAATGGCTCTAACATGTTGACAGGAGGCAAGCTACTTAAACCAACCAAGTTGGATCCATTTTATTCCCTTTTTCTTAAAGCATGTATAATAAAAATCATAATTAAGCTCTTGGGTTTTCTTTGAGGAAAAAAAAACAGTACATTTCAGGATGCATTAGGTTTTGTGGTTAACCTAGTCCAATGAGTACACCAATTACATACATTAGTTTAATCAAAAGCGCTATCATCTCCCTGAGGTTCATGAATCATATAAACATCCAATTCCTACTCTCCACCATTGAGTTAAGTAATTTTGAGTATGTGGCATCTCGTGATTGGACAATCTTTCATGTGACTCTCTGTGAGCTTCGATTGGGAAGTATTCAAGCTTGACAGTTATATATGGTCAATGACCACGTGGTGTTACGAATCTACCCATGTTGTGATACATATTTGTTTATTAAGACTATGTTATAAGTTCATGAAATATGGAACTTTCTCATTTACCCGCACCATAACAAGTGAACTAATAACACAACTCAAATCAGAACAAGATTGGCCTTTTAACACACGTCTTTCCAGTTCCAGAAAGGGAGAGACTTCACCATGTCACAAGCGGAAGCTATATCCTTATGACTCACAAGTCCCCACTTCCGTACTCATGGAGCCAGTGGCATTCAGCCACGTGTCAGAACATCATAACTAGGGAAGTCCAATGTACATGATATTATTCCTTTCAAATACTTAATTTAAAAAAAAATAAAAATAAAAAAATAAAAAAATAAAAAAATAAAAAAAAGAGGAAAAAGGAAAAGAAAAGAAGGAAAAAAAATCGGAATTTCTGACCATCTTGGCGGGTTGGTGACTTTTGAGAAAGCAATTACCTTTCTCTTGTTTGTTTTCTGCTGAGTTGAATGTTTGCGGCCGAAACTTTCAGATTCTTGCATGAGAGCGAGGCACTACCCAACGGTTAAACTGTAAAAACTAAAAACTAAAAACTAATATCAGATATTGATAATTAAGAAGGGTGTAAAGAGTAAACCGGTTGGTTTGTCAAAGTCAACCTCGCGGCAAGGAGGCCTTCTGCTACCTTGGAGTTATCTACCAGGCATTGGATCCATCTGAACTTGAAGTCCTCGGCTTTCATTACCAGATACCTATCATTTTGCGGAGAGAATAAATTTCACTTTCATTGCTGAATTAATTAGAGAAAGCTACTGCTGTCTTTGTGTTTGTTTTTTTTCCTTCTTAGTGTTGTGTGTGTTCGAGGTTATCAAGCAGCAACCAAAACCAAGATCAGAAATTCTAAGCTTCCCTCAGGAGAATCAATCACCGTGAAGAACCCAATCAGATAAAAACTGAATCTTTAACTGGGTTTTTCATTTGAAGCACGAAACAGATTTCCACTGTTCAGGAAACACTGATCTGTTTACTGGGTTGTTGTTTTTGGTAAATCTGTATTGGGAAGACAGTGATGGTGGAGGAGGAGGAGGATCTTAAATCCTCTGGTGACATGGTGGAAGAAAATGAGCCCAAAAAAGGGTGTTCTGGTGCTCTCTGCACACCAATCAATTGGTTCAAAATGCTGTGTGCGGAAATGCATTGGAGTTTTGTAATGGGGGTGGTGGTTGTTTATGGAATAAATCAAGGACTGGGTGGAGCTCTTTATCGTGTGGGCACAGAATATTACATGAAGGATGTTCAAAAGTGCAGCCTTCTGAAGCACAATTTTATCAAGGAATTACTTCTATTCCTTGGCTTGTCAAGCCTCTCTGGGGTCTCCTCACCGATGTTCTCCCAATTTTCGGGTATCGAAGACGGCCTTATTTCATTGTAGCAGGTAAACTCAGAAAGTTAAAACTCTTTCTAGTTTTGATGTGCAATGTCAAATATTCAATTAAGGATAACATTCTAAGTGTTAAATTTGAAATTGTAAATGCCTCAAACTTTAGTTTTAAATGTCTATATTCTAATAGATGCGAATATCAGTTTAACTTTTGTGTTCTTTTAGGAAAACAAAATCAGAATTTGCCACATGGATTGATTGTTTCATGAGATGACACGTTTAGCCATTTCTAGCTTATATGGTTTCCTGATTAGCTAGTCAATGTCTTGTTTGTATTAGGTTCTATTGGTGTGATCTCCATGCTCGTGCTATCATTCCATGAAAAGCTGCACATTGCACTTGCCCTTTTGTCATTAATAGCTGGAAGTGCTGGAGTGGCTGTAGCAGATGTCACCATAGATGCCTGTGTTGCACAGAACAGTATTAATCATCCGTCACTTGCAGCCGATATGCAAAGCCTGTGTGCCCTGAGTTCCTCCATTGGGGCACTACTGGGATTCTCTGTTAGTGGTATCTTTGTTCATCTTATAGGCCCTCAGGTCAGCTTCTTTCACTTGTAGCTGTTCAAAGCTTAAAATTTCTCTTTGCTTTTCATATTTCTGTTTGAAACAAAAATATTTTGTTTATTAGATGAGTTTTTTTGTTCCTCTTCCTTGGTAGGGGGTATACGGGTTGTTAGCAATCCCATTTGGACTTGTATTCTTAATTGGAACTCTGCTTAAGGAACCTCATTCTCCTAATTTGGCTTACGCACAGGTAGTTCTTTACTCCTCTTGATTCTTGTCCTTTTCTTTTCACTTTTCATGCTCATGGTCTAATATTGCATGCTGGGCACAGGTCAATCAGAAGTTTATTGATGCTGGCAAGGCTATGTGGACAACGTTGAAATGTCCTCATGTATGGAGGCCATGCTTATACATGTACTTTTCCCTTGCATTAAGCTTGAATATCCTTGATGGAATGTTCTACTGGTATACAGACTCGAAGAGCGGTCCATCTTTCTCACAGGTATTTGACAATTACTTATGAGAGTGAATTTTATTATCTCAGTAATTGGTATATTTTTAGAGAATAAGAAGTCAACTGCTAAAACTTCTTTTACATGACTTCAGTTCACACCACTCTGTCCAATGTCTCTTTCCAATTTTACCAGATGTCCCTGAAGGGACCACTCTGTGCAATGTGAGTAAAGTTAATCATTCACATCTTTTTGCAGGAGAATGTTGGATATATATTCTCCATTGGTTCAGTTGGTTCCCTTTTGGGGGCGGTACTCTATCAAAATGTTCTAAAGGATCATCCTTTCCGGGACTTGCTGTTCTGGACTCAACTGGTTTACAGTTTATCAGGAACGCTAGATTTGATGCTGGTCTTGCGATTGAATTTGAAATTTGGCATACCAGATTATTTCTTTGTTGTGATTGATGAAAGTGTATCTCAAATGACTGGAAGGCTCAAATGGATGCCTCTTCTTGTGCTTAGCTCAAAGCTTTGTCCTCCGGGAATCGAAGGAACTTTTTTGCTCTGCTCATGTCAATCGATAATGTTGGACTTCTCTCAGCAACATGGGGAGGAGGCATCTTACTGCATGTATTGAAGGTTACACGGACACAATTTGATAATCTCTGGCTGGCCATTCTGATTAGGAACTTCTTGAGATTAGCTCCGCTTTGTCTGCTATTTTTGGTACCTAGAGTTGATCCCAACTCCTCCATTCTTCCAACTGAAATCTTGAATACAAAAGAGGATATTGAAACTCAAGAAACAGAGAACATTGAATTGGTCTCCCTTGTGAACAGAGTTGATGATAGATAGCCCAACAATATACCATTCACATCAAAATCATCTTAGGTTTCGGAAACATACTTAGAAGACCAAGCCAAAGTTGCTTTAGGTTGTTACTTGAAAGAGTTATGATGAATGTACTATTGTTATATATTTTCATTATTTGCCACATTTTTTCTTATTAATGGGAGAAGCATTCATGGTAGTCCAACTTTATATAGTGAGTTCCATTAAGTAGGTTTTCTTCTGTTTAACTTCTTGACACAGAATGTTGATGAGAAGTTCACTACGGCGGGAACACTGTAAAAACAAAAGCCAAGACCGGATTTCGATAATTAAGTTAAAAGAGGGTGTAAAGCAACTGTAAACTGTAAACCGTTTGGTCAAAGTCAACTCGTTCTATTACCTTGGGGCCAGCTACTACCAGGATTTTGATGCATCTTGAACTTGAAGTAATTGGTTTTCCTTTTCCTGATCAATTACTTTTCAGAAGGATAAATTAGACCATCATTGCAAAATTAATTTGAGAAAGCTATTGTCTTTGTGTGTTGTTTTTTTTTTTTTTTTTTTTGTTTGTGTTGTGAGGTTTTGTCAGCGGGTTTTTCAAGGTTTTTTATTCAAGCAGAAACCAAAGCCAATATTAGAAGTTCTAAGCTTCACTTTGAAGAAACCCAGTTCGAGAAAATCTGAATCTTCAACTGGGTTCTTCATTTTCAAGCATAGTTCAGGAACACAGGTTCCCACAGTTCAGGAAACACTAATCTGTAAACTTGGTTGGTGTTGTTTTCTGAAAATCTGTATAGGAAAGTGAGTGATGATGGAGGAGGAGGAGGAGGAGGAGAGTCTTGATCCCTCTGCTAATATTGTGGAGGAAAATGAGCCCAAAAAGCGTGTTGTGATGCTCTCTGCACGCCAATCCAATGGTTCAAAATGCTCTGTATGGAAATGCATTAGAGTTTTGTATGGGGGGTGGTGGTTGTTTATGGAATAAGTCAAGGACTGGGTGGAGCTCTTTCTCGCGTGGGCACAGAATATTACATGAAGGATGTGCAGAAAGTGCAGCCTTCTGAAGCCCAATTTTATCAAGGAATTATTTATATTCCTTGGATTGTCAAGCCTATCTGGGGTCTCCTCACGGATGTTGTCCCAATTTTTGGTTATCGTAGACGGCCTTATTTCATTTATGCTGGTAAGTGATCCAGTATTAGTTTCCTGTTAGCTCAAAAGTAAAAAACTTTTAAGTTGGTTTTCAAGGTTGCATAGCGATTTTGGGATCCCATTGAAATGTTTACATTCTGCCTTAAATGCCACAAGCTTTAGCTCCATTTTCGTAGTCGAATAGATGTGACTATCACTTGACTTTTGTGCTTTTTTGAAAAAAGTCAGTACTTGCCATATGGTGTTTAGACCACATTGCCTTAAATGCCATCTGGGGATTTTAGAAATTTCTTGCTGACATGGTTTCCTAACTAGCTGGTTCATGTTTTCTTGATGATAGATTCTATGGGAGTGATCTCCATGCTCCTGTTATTGTTCCATGAAAAGCTGCACCTCGCATTTGCCGTCTTGTCATTAACAGGAAGAAGTGCTGGAGTAGCTGCAGCAGATGTCACCATAGATGCCTGTGAGGCACAGAACAGTATTAATCGTCCTTCACGTGCATCTGATGTGCAAAGTCTGTGTGCCTTAAGCTCCTCCATTGGGGCATTAGTGGGATTCTCTGTTAGTGGTATCTATGTTCATCTTATAGGCCCTAAGGTCAGCTTCTTTTGATTATAGCAGTTCAAAGCTTTGAAACTTTTCCTTTTCATATTTCAGTTGAAAAATGTATTGTTTTCTTCCTCTTCTCTGGTAGGGAGTATACGGCTTGTTGGCAATCCCAGCTGGACTTGTATTTTTAGTTGGAACTCTTCTCAATGAACCTCATTCACCCAACTTCGCTTACACACAGGTAATAGTTTCGTTACTCCTGTTGATTCTTGGTTCTTTTCATGCTAAATATCTCATATTCCATGCTGGGAGCAGGTCAGACAGAATTTAATCGATGCCAGAAAATCTATGTGGACAACATTGAAATGCCCTGATGTGTGGAGACCGTGCTTGTACATGTTGCATTGAGCTTGAACATCCTTGACGGAATGTTCTACTGGTATACAGACTCGAAGGACGGTCCAGGTATTTGGCAGTCACTTATGAGAGTGAATTTAAGAAACTAAGATACGAGTATATTTTCCAATAAATAAATTCAACAATTCAATTCTTTCTGCAGGAGAATGTGGGATATATATTCTCTATAGGTTCAGTTGGGTCTCTTTTGGGGGCAGTACTCTATCAGTATGTTCTAAAGGATCATCCTTTCCCGGGGCTTGCTCTTCTGGACTCAGTTGCTTTATAGTTTATCAGGCATGCTAGATTTGATGCTGGTGTTTGTGGGAACAAATATTATGGCTTCCAATCACAAGGCGCCATGTGGACAAGAATAATATTTCTAAATTAATTGAGCCCATTTATTTAACAAATTAATTGATACTAAAAATAAGGATATTATCTTAAATATGAGATATTACCTTTATTTAAAAAGATAATATCACCAAATTAAGATATTATCTAATTTGGAGATATCATCATCAATTAGTGATTTGATCCCAATCAAATCCCTAATTGATTCAATCTCTACAATTTGGGGAAAGAATAAGGAAGATATTCTTTGAAAAACTCTAGATGCCTAAAGCCCTTTAAATACATGGCTACATTCAACAAACAAGGCAATTCAATTTCTACTCAAAAAACCCTACACTCTCTCTCTTACCGCTGCCCCTCTCTCCATATTTCCCTATCACAGCTCCGACCACCTGGTTCAAGCAAATTTCAATTTTCCAAATGCAAATCACTTAAGCTAATTTTGAGAAGAAATGCTATCTTTTTTTTTCTTTTTTCTTTTTTTGGTCTGAAACTGAAAATATTAATGACAATAATTACTTTGAGAAATTTAGCAGAAAAATTTGTAGAAATTGTGAAAGTTGTAGGCTTTTGTTACCAATGCCTAAGGGTCTGAGCTCAATTAGACCACATAAATTTTAGTTGTCTTGTTCAATCCACCAACTCACTCAAACAATGAAAAACCTCACATTAACAGATTTCTTTCTTGGGGTTTTTTGGGTGACCAAATGATGTCATTTTTAAAAATTAATGATGGTATTATGAGAATTGGGAAATTTTTATCAAAGTCTCTTTTCTGCTTGAAAAGTGACTCAGAGGCTTTGCTTTTAAAATATCTGTACGTGAGCCATCTTCCCACTGTTGCCGGGAGCATCCCAACTGGCATGAACAACTGAGGATATGGTATTGATATTGATCCCAACGTGTGGCCCGAGTGGATCCCATTGGTTTGTCAAAGTGTCAAACTCAACCATTACAATTTCGTTTTGGGATGCTTCAAAACGAGTGGTGCTGTTCAATAATCCTAGCTCACCACCAGCAGAGTCTGGTGGATTTGAATAGTGAACAGGGGCAATGAAAAAGGCAATTCCATCAGCAAACGAGGTTCTATTACGAGTGTCGACAACGAAAGAGAAATTAGTAGTGAAGTCTGCCAGTTTAGCGGAGTCCCATAAGTGCAAAGGTTCTGCATACGTAGCTCGGCCAGTGCGGAAATATATATATCTGTGTCTGCGATCGTGCTGAGTTCAATCACTCCGAATGAAGAAGGCGCGGCATCACCTTCATAAAGTATGTTGTTTGCATCTAGACCAAAGCGTTTGATGCTGAAGGAAAGTGGATGAACAAAGGGTTGGAAAAAATTGAAGAACATGAAGAGAACAATAGAGCAGTTTTTCAAGGATTGAAGACGGAAAGTTGATAGCCTGCTTAGAGACATCGCAATGCAACCAACAAGAACGTGAAAATCTGCAATGCAACGAATAATAGAAATGTACGTGGCAACTACAATGAAGAAGTCAGAATTATGAAGAGTGTAATGAAGAACAAGGATTGCCATGTTTTAAAGGGAAAGAAGCCTAAGACTTTAACATTCAAAACATAAGCCCAGAGAAATTAAAATGGTCCATGTTTTTTTATTATATTAAAAAAAATAAAGAATGGTCCATGTTAGGTGAAATCAGTCGGAAAAACAACAGTTGTTTTGAAAGGCATGGGAGTCTTTGGGCGTATTTCATACGCAATTTCTTTTTTCTCAATTCAATTGCAGTCTCCGAAGTCCTTCTTGACTGTTCTGTTTTTTTTTTCATACTCTTTACAGACAAACAAAGAAAGATTTGATACAATACGATGAATTGATGGTACTTTAAAATTTAAGATTGGAACCTTCGGCATTGTCAAGTCATGACTTCACAGGTTCATTTATATTAGAAAGAATTTTGTGTGTATTATTGAAAATTTTGTAAAAAAATAAGTATATTAAACATGAAAAATACGAACGTATGTGTATAAAATAAGTATTAAACGTGAAATGCTAAATTCTTTATACGGGTAATAACTCTGAAAAAGTGAAAAGTCAAAAGAGGACAATAGAAACTCGGGTATTGACCTAATAGTAATGGTTAATACTCTAAACTACTCTTATCGATAAACAAAAATATGGGGAAAATAATTATATAAAAATAAAATTAAATAATATAGCCGGTCGGCTGTACTATTTATAGGAATTTTTAAAAAATTTAAAAATTAAAAAGACCCCAGTACATCCGGGCGGCTGTAATCTTTTTTAATCCCCAGTATAGCCGCGCGGCTATACTATTTATTTGGATTCTAACGCCTGCATAGCGAGTAGTAACGTGTCAAAAAAGGTACAGCCGTGCGGCTATACTATTTATTAGGAAAAAAAGAGGGGCCGCGCGCCTGCTTAGCGAGTTGTAACGGGTCAAAAATAGTATAGCCGCGCGGCTACACTATTTATTTTGGGGGATAAAAAAGGGGCCCGCCCAGAGCCTGGCACCTGTAGAGCGAGTTGTAACGTGTCAAAAACAGTATAGCCGTGCGGCGATACTATTTATTAGGAAAAAAAAGAAGGGTCGCGCGCCTGCATAGTGAGTTGTAACGTGTCAAAAATAGTATAGGCGTGCGGCTATACTATTTATTAGGAAAAAAGAGGGTCATAGCGAGTCATAACGTGTCAAAAGGAGTATAGCCGGTGGCTATACTATTTCTTTATAATTAAAAGAACCATGGTATAGCCGCGTGGCTATCTTCTTTAGGTATATTATATTTAAAAGAGTATAACCGCTCGGCAATACTATTTATAAAAAAAATTATTAAAAAAGACCCCAGTAAAGCCGTGTGGCTATACGCTTTTATAAAATAAAAAAAAATCCATGCTATACTCCTGCGGAGTTCTTCTTGGCTTCTAAATATGGAAGATTATGATAATAATGAATCATTAAAATACTGTCACTTCTTGGGTTTATTTATAAATTTATATAATTGAAATAATCTAGTGTGTATTGTCTAATTACTAGCTAAAGTAACACTGAAATCTAAAATTCAAAAGAGGAGACTGAAACTCGAGAAGCAGAGAACATTTGATAGCCCAAGAAGAAACCATTCACATCAAGGTCATTTTAGATTTCATAAACATACTTAGAAGAATAACAAACCAAATTAAGTTGCTTAATTAGGTTCGAGGTTCAATGAAGTTCTGTTCGAACAAAGTCACAGAAACACTAGCACCCAAATCCAAAGATAAGACTTCATGAATTCAAAATCATGATACAACCATAGTCCAAAGAAGAAGCAAAAAGAAACTAATTGTGGTTGTACTATAATCATATGAGATCATGATGAGACAGATGATGCTCAAGTTCTTGCATGTCATGTGGAAGTTCCGGCAACGGTGCTTCAAGCTGAAGAACCTTCATGACTTTTCCAGCTCTTGGCCTTCCCTTGCTGCTGGGATGAGTGCACCATAATCCCACAATTAACAAGCATTCCATTTCATTTTTATCAAAAATCTTATCCAATCTCTCATCAGCTGCATGGAGAAGATTACCTGCAAGGTACAGTTCCCAAACCCAACTGACAAGTGGCACGTGAAATTCTCCATCCTGGTAAGTCCTCCTTCCACATGCAATTTCCAAGGCCACAACTCCAAAACTAAACATGTCACATTCTTTACTGGCCCTTCCTCCATTTGCATATTCTGGGGCTATGTATCCAAAAGTCCCTACCACCCCTATTGTTTGCAATCCCGAAATCACCGAGCTTAGTGCTGAAGTCTTTGTCCAACAATATGTTAGCTGATTTGATATCCCTATGAAGAACACATTGCTCTGCATCTTCATTAGATAATGAAGGGCAGAGGCCAAGCCTAAAGCTATCTTATACCTGAACTTCCATTGCAGGGTGTAGAGGCTGCTGTTAGGCATGTATGCATAAACAAGTAAGCATTCGCCTTCCTCCTGACACCATCCAATAAGCGGCTTATAATTTTGACTTCATTGATGAAGATTTTCTCATAGTAATCAGATTTTGCAAATATTTTCTTCAAGGCAATTTCACAGCCTAGATCCTGTAAGATTCCTTTATAAACATGTCCTGACCCTCCTTGGCCTAGCCTTCCAGTGTTTGCAAAGCCATTGGTGGCTGCAACTAATTCCTTATAAGAAAATCGTTTAGGGAATGCTCGTCTCTCAAGATCCTTATTTATGGAGGTCACATCCTTGGAGTAATTTTCATGTCCACCAATCCTGACTGTTCGCTTCTTTACAACCAAACTACACAAGGCCACACCAATCATCAAAATTAACAAAGTAAAAGCAGCATTTCCTCCTATCAAATATTTCTTCTTCATTTTCCTATCCTTTTGTTTGTTTCGTATCTCACCAGAATCCAAATGTGCTTTGAATTCCGAAGAATTTATAACATGCCGCTCAGGGGCTGTTCCAGTAGCAGCTGAAAAACCAATAGGTTATCCATGCATTAGCCACCTTCCTTTTGTTGCTGCTAAAAACCCAACTGGTGTTAACAATTCAGGAGATTTTGTTTACATTGATCCCAACATGAGGTCCATATGGATCCCACTCAATATTTGTGTAGGAATCAAACTCAACTGCTACAATTTGGTTTTTGGACACTGCAAAATTAGTGCTGCTGTTGAACAATCCTAGACAACCACCAGCAGAGTTAGGTGGAATTGGATAGCCAACAGGAGCAAGGAAAAAGACAAACCCATCACTGAATTTGCTACTGTTATGAGTGTCAACCATGAAAGTGAAATGGGTTGTGAAATCTGCTAGTGAACCGGTAACAGAGTCCCATAGGTGCAAAGGTTGCGAATAGGTACACCGCCCTACGCGGAACAATTGGGAGACTGTATTGAGTTCTACCATGCCTAAGGAAGGCGTGGCATCACCTTCATAGAGTATGTTCTCTGTATCAAGGTTGAACTGAGGTATGGTGAACGAAAGGGGAGGTGTGACATTGGTTTGATGAGCAAAGATAGGCAGAAAATTGATGAAAATGAAGAGACAGATGTAGCAATTATTATTCATGTAGTAATTACAAAAGGTTACCTGGCTGCAGCTTATAAGAAACATGGTTGCTTTGTTAAGAGATATGCATGAAAATCTGCAATGCAAAGAATCAAAGAAAGTCTTCATTGGGTTGAGAAATATACTTAAGCGGTAAAGGACTAATTGAGTTGAGACAGAGTCTGTTTTTTGTCTTAATTGCAATTTGCATCAAAACGACATGCTCAACAGTACTACTGAGGCAGAAGGAACCAATGGCTTACATCAAAAGAGTTAGCCGTCCCGAGGATTTAATAGCTTTTGTATTGGCAGGATGAACGTCTTTGACAAGGTCGCATTGGCTTCACTCTCAAATATCTATGGAAGAGGCTAGGGGAATAATTTTCATGCAGAGGTATACCACCGGTATCACAAGCCAATAATGCACTTTTATGTAGAAAATTTAAAATACATGGTAGTGCATGATTGGCCTTGTATACCGCCACAGTAACATCCCGATGTATGCAATGCAAGTGTTTCTCAATTTCGTTATCCTCCAACTAGATTGGATTATATATGTTTGTAGGCTTTTAGCGGACTGTGGGCTTATTTAGATTGAAGGGTATGGGCTGCCTACTCAGCAAACCTTATTTTTGGGCTTAGCATGTCACTCCAACTTGACCCACTCTACTTCAGAGATGCATGCAGCCCTAGGGTCATGAAATGGATGCTCACTACACAACAAAACAAATATAGGACAAAAAGAAAAGGGTTTTTGCCTCCGTGACCAACACCTCGGAAGCTTTGCTCTTATTCCGGGTTAGGGTTAACGCTTTGGCAATCACAGATTCTCCTTGGCGCCAACTAAAACCTTGGAAATCAAGTCTCTCTCAGTACAAACTACAAACAGGTAAAAGCACCAAACTTTTTCACCATCTGGTCAAACCTTTGAATATGAATCTTCTATATATCGCATACTGTTCTCTCCTCTGGGTTCTCGGAATCATGGACATTGTCAGAGAATAAATTCCTATTGCAATACAAATTTTGGGATTTTATGCTCAAGTACTGTGCTGCATTGATTTAAAAATGTGGAAGAAAAATTTAAGTTTTTAAGGTTGCAAAGCTAAAGAATTCAACTTTCAAGTTTTGCTCATGTTTTCTTCGTGGGTGTAATGAATTTGACAATTGGGTTGCAGATTTCAGCTTAATTTTGATCACATTTTTAATCGCTTGTTATTGTGCATGTTGTATGAGGTTCTCATACTAAGTAAGCGTAAGCATTGCTGGTTGAAGTTGCACTGAATTTTGCTATAAGAAAACTGATTAAACTCTTCTCAGAGTTTCTGTTCATTAGAGGAGAGAAATGGGTTGCCAAACAGCTGCAACCAATGATCGTTCAAGGACATATTGGACACCAGCCATGGAACGCTACTTTATTGATCTTATGTTGGAGCAAATGCATAGAGGAACTAGGAGTGGCCATACTTTCAACAAGCAGGCCTGGACAGACATGCTCACTATGTTCAATGGAAAATTTGATTCTCATTATGATAAAGATGTTTTGAAAAGCCGGTATACAAGTTTGTGGAAGCAATTCAATGATGTGAAGAATATTCTTGGCCAGAGTGGGTTTTCTTGGGATGAAGCTTGTCAAATGGTGGTAGCTGATGATTACATATGGGATGCTTACATCAAGGTGCAATGCTTCCGTACCTGTTCGTTGTTTGTAAAACAATTTATTCCATAACTGTGAAATGACATCAAGTGCATGTAGGTTCACCCGGATGCACGACCGTACAAAACTAAAGCAGTCTTGAATTTTAGTGATTTGTGCCTCATTTATGGGTATACAACTGCTGATGGAAGATACAGTCGATCAAGTCATGACTTAGACTTTGATGATGAAGTTCAAGGAGTAGCCATGGGTTTGTATCCTTTCCTTGTCATAAACATAAGACTAAGGTTTGCTTTGTTGTTGGACTGAATAATGATCAGTAGTTCAATTTTAGAGATTAGTGTTGGAAGGTTGGTGTTTGCTAGTGCAATGTTCTCATGCTTGATGAGCTGATCAGGAAGCATATATAACTCATTCTTTTGTGTTTTGAGAGGAAGTTATGGTACAATCTTCAAAATTGTGATAAATAGGTGATCCGCTTATTGTTAGTGATAAAATGAGCACAACAAGAATCAGTGGCCTGATAATCTGAATTTTGTCATCAATGATGGTTGACTTTCTAAAATAACTTATATTAGTACATAATTAAATCATATTCATTAGTATGAGATGACAAGTTAAACCTTTCTCAATATGTAGGTGATGGAATGGGCACCCTTGCTCCTTCAAGTAGTGAGCGTCCAAGGACAGATTGGTCACCAGCCATGGATCAATATTTCGTCGACCTTATGCTGGACCAAGTAGGAAGGGGCAATAAGACTGATAATACATTCAACAAAAAAGCCTGGACAGATATGCTTGCTAAATTTAATGAAGAATTTGGACCTCAACATGGCAAACGGGTTTTAAGACATCGATACAAGAAATTGTTGAAATACTACAGTGATGCAGCAACTTTACTAAGAAAAAATGATTTTTCCTGGGATGAAAAGCGGAATATGATTGTAGCTGATGATGATGTTTGGGATGCTTATACAAAGGTACACTGTCATGAACGTTTCATCTTTCATTCACTTTTTTTTGGTAATTTTTTCCTTCTCTCCATTACTTTTCCTTCCAATAACTGATTAATATAGGATTACTAGTACAGGCACACCCTCACGCACGGACATATAGAACAAAAACCTTGCCAAACTACTATGACATGTTCCTAATATTTGGAAGTGAACCTGATCTTGGCATCGACAATCATTTGCATCCACAGAAAGACGTTGATGACATATCAAAAGTCAAAGTTGGTGAGTTATAATTGCTTGCACAATATTCATAGAGATGTGCAAGTCCCTGGAAAGAGAAATGGGAACCACATACTGTTGTTCATTTCTTTATAAATAAATATGTTACCCAATGACGTAAGAAAGTTGCTGGTCTTTCAGTTTCCTTATCACCAATAAAGAGGAGTTTTAGGGTTTATCAATCATGAAAAGTTTATTCTTTGTTTCATTCTCTGTAGCTTATTTTAATGATAAATGAGAATTACCCAGTTATAGACGAGAAGAGTCGTACTATTTTTTCACATTAAATGTCTCTACTTCTTTTTCTTTTTTCTTTTTTTTTCTTTGTGGTGCTTAAATCTTCTCAAGAATGAAGGGGTTACTCTAACTTGATATTTAATTCTGTAGGGGAAGGAAAGGGGGGACAGATCCCAACTGTCAGTGATCGTACAAGGACATACTGGACACCACCAATGGACCGTTATCTCATTGATTTGTTACTAGACCAGGTGCATAGAGGAAATAAACTAGGGCAAACATTCATTACTCGGGCGTGGATTGACATGGTTACATCTTTCAATGCTCGATTCAGATCTCACCATGACAAAGATGTTCTGAAGAACCGGTACAAACATTTGCGAAGGCAGTACAATGACATCAAGAATCTTCTTGAACATGGCGGGTTTTTGTGGGATGAATCACGAGAAATGATAGCAGCTGAAGATAATGTTTGGGATGGTTATGTGAAGGTAAACTTCTCCTTGATTAACTCAAAATTTTATCAGCTTCCCTTATACTGACATATAATGCATGCAGAACAATCCTGATGCTCGACAATATAGAGTTAAAACTGTGTCAGGCTACAACAAATTGTGTGTTATCTTTGGAGAAGAAAATTCCGATGGAAGATACAGTCGTTTGGCATGCAATTCAGATCCTTGCGGTGAACTACCATTTTTAATGACCGGTATGCTATTGTTACCTTTTCATATTAGTCTGATTTTACAGTAATGTACGTTCCAAATTCAAAAAACAAATAAAATTTCATTCATTTGTTGAACATGAATTGCTTTGCATGTACCACCAACAGAGAAGTATGATAGATTTGATGCTACACCTGTTTACTCTTATTTGTAATTGTTTCTTTCATAATGATATGGATGAAATGTTTAATGCGTCTAAAGTAGATATTAGGTCGTCATACGAAATGCAGTGCCAGGGTAGCTTTTGTCTCATGTGCTCTTAAAATGACTTGAATGCCATGTCTAGAAGTGTACTTATTGCTTAGTGTTAGACTTGATGTTTTGTATCTCTTTTTTTTTTTTTTTTTTTTTTTTTTTTAAAATAAATAACATTTGTAGGTGAGGAGAAGAATGCCCAGTCTCACACTGGGGTTGTTCCTCTGAGGATGGATTGGACACCAGCAATGGACCGTTATTTTATTGATCTTATGTTGGATCAGCTACATCAAGGAAATAAGATAGATCACACATTCAATGAGCAAGCATGGGCCCAAATGCTTGAATCATTTAATATGAAATTTGGACTTCAATGTGATAAATATGTCCTAGAAGATCGATATTTATGCTTGGTGAAACAGCATGACTACATCAGCATTCTTCTCAATCACAGTGGATTTATGTGGGATGAAAGTCAACAAATGATAACCGCTGACAATGACACTTGGGAAGCCTACATCAAGGTGCGTTCTGGTTGTTCATATCTCGAAAACTTGTTTATCTGTAGTTTCCAGTTGTTTATGTAAGATCTGTTTGCAGGAACACCCAGATGCTATCCAATACAGAAATGCATTTTTAGGTAGCTATAGTGATTTGAGCAAGATTTTTATAAATACAGAATTAGATGGAAAATTCAGTGATCAGGGTGTGGGAATGGAAGCTGGCCTCATTGCCTTGGAAATAGAGATGGATAGAGCATCCGGAGATCTGCAATTATTAGCTGAGGACATTGAAATGTCTGATCAACAGAGAAAGCGGCCAACTGTGATGCCATCGAACTCGGGACGTTCTACAAAAGCACAGAAAACAGGCAAGGATATGCAAAAGGCTCTTGCAGAGATGGCAGGTCTGGTTACAAAACTGGCAAATAATAAAGAGGACAGTAACTACAAATCAATAGAAAGTGCAATCGATGCACTTCAAGCTATACCAGATATGGATGATGAGCTTATGTTGGATGCTTGTGACCTTTTAGAAGATGAGAGAAAGGCAAAGACATTCTTGGCCTTGGATGCGGCACTGCGCAAGAAGTGGTTATTAAGGAAGCTCCGGCCGCAAAAGTAGCCGTTATGGTTTCAGCGACATTGTCTCGCATTTTGGTTAGGTCCCCTCTTTTTTTACTTGTTTTCTTTTTTTCTTCTTTTTCACATTTGGTCCCCTCCCTTGAGTAGATTTTGAGTCTTCTGCAATGTAAAGAGAGGGATTATATATGAGTAGGGTTCTAGTCTTTTGCAATGTAAAATGACTAAATTTCTTGTCTTTCAAAGCCTTGAGAAAGCATGCCAGCAACTTGTTCCTCTGTTCATTCTATTAAAATAGAAAGCCTATGCACTAAAACTTAGGCGCAATGTGAGGCATCACAATGGTAGAAGCGAGACTCAAACAGGGTAGCAGAAGAAACCGTAACAGAGCCTAGTAAATAGAATAAATATGAGATTTTGCTTGTACACTTGAATCAAAAAAGTCAGTGCGTCCCATCAAATACAAAGTACATGTAATTGCCAAACGCATACAGAAGATCAGGTGAGAAATGAACTTCAAAAAACAAAGGGAAGATTCTGATGGCTTCATTTCTCATCCCCTGGTGGATTACAAAACCAGTACCAAAATGTGGCATTAGAAAAGCAAAGAAATACCTACCCTCCTTGGTCATCGCAACACAACTGAGATATATGATACCTTAACTTAAAGTGATTATAAGGTAATTGCCAAACAAATATTGGTTACCGAGAACTAGATTTCCTCTTACAGGATGTCACTAATACTAGAAATGATGGCAAGGCTTTTCACAAAGTAACCATATAATTCTTCTTTCTTCTTCCAAAGCAGACTCCAGCTTAACTCCATCTTGGCATGGACATCAACTTCATCTAAAAACACCCACCTCAATTTCTGAACGACCCAAGAGGTTCAATTTTGGAAAATTACCCACTAGATTCCCAACTCTTTTCCAAGGAAGTCGACTAGGATTCACTTCATTCGTCTCCTCCTATCCCTGTCTCTTTCTCTGCCTCTATCTCTCTCATGGTCATCCCCCTCTCTACTTCCACTCTTCTCACGGTCCCGAACCCTATCACCTTCAAAATCATGGGCTCTATCTCTGTCGCTACCACGCTGTCTTTCCCGGTCTCTGTCCAAATCATGTTCCCTCTCCCGATCTCTGTTTGACAATCTCTGTAGCGGACTATCACTTTGGCTTCCACTGCGGTGCCGCTTTCTTGAAGCATCACGGGTATCATCATCCCGTCTGTCCTTCCTCTCTGAAGAATCCAAACAGGGCAAATTATAACATACACATCAAGGATTATAAAATTAATAAATAAATAAAAACAAAACAAGTACTTCCGACAAATACCGCAACCTCAACAGAATGTTGTCCCTAGACTAATGTTGTAGGGTGAGGATAAACTTGATTAATGTTGTATTAAACAGGTCTATCAGTTACTGATTTTATTTCATAAATTACAAAAATCCTCCATTTATCAGTCTTCATATGCGGAACAGAGCAGCTACTTTTGTCTTTTTTTCAGAAAAAGAAACAGAAAAGAGAGAACTAGAGAGAGAGAGTGCCCACGAAAAATCACTATAAGCTTTTTACTAATACTTTTGTTAACACCTGAAACAGTCTGAACCACAAGTAAAGGTGTGTATATTAACTAAAGGAGATGGGGGAACCTCAGCAAGATATAACCCGATAAACCAAGAGTCAACAAGAAACATACATAAAAGTAAACAGATATCACATGATTCCTCACATATAATATTCTGTATTCTTAAGATGAACACTTACTACTCCCAAAAGCATCTTCGCTGGAATCTGATAATCCATACTCTGATTCCAGCCGTTTCTGATGGATTGCAACCTTCCTCTCAATTTCTTCAGGATTTTTTATTCCCCGCTCCTCGAGAGATTCACGATATTCTATCAAAGCAACTTCCAAACGTCTCAACTTTTGCCTACAGTAACAGTCAAGAAAAACATAAGCACAATTTCACAAGGTCCTAAAAGCAGCTTTTCCTAACAAATGAAACTAGACAGAATGTCAATGTAGAATTAAGATACAACCTCTGCTCCTCACTTATTCCACTGTCAGGTTGTGCTGGAATGCTTGCATCAGTTGCAACCTCCATCTCATCAGCCTTACTGGGGCCATCACCAGCATTTTCACTTCCAGAAGATGAGTAGCTTAACCCGAGATCCCTCGCACTACGCTTTTGTTCATCATCACTATCGTCATCCTCTCGCGCCCATTTAGAGGCTGGTAGAACAGGATCATTCTTTTCTTTCTTTGTTAAAGCTTTTAGTTCAGGCTGCGGAATTGGAAGGGTTTGGACCAAGGGTAGGGACCCTTTCCCTTGAGATGATATTCCCACAGAGTCTGGTTCAATATTCATTTCTCTGCGGCTACTTGAATATCTAGCTGAACTTGAATGGCTCTGTGCATATTTCAAGTCATCATCTAGTTCATAACCCCTTTGTTTTTCTGCCTCTTCCAGACTAAGCAATCGTGCAACCATAGTTTCTCGACCACCAACAAGAGATAATCCATTATGTCTGCAGCGTCTTTCCAACTCAGCTAGGGGAAGACTCAATAACTCCCTCATAGCTGCTCCTTTGCCCATTGCCAAAGCAGCATCTTGATTGGTTTTACAAGCATCACCCGTATCTTCAGAGGTGGTCTTTTTGTCTATTTCAGGTGCATCACCACATATGGAGTGAAAAGGGACCACACCAGAGTTACCAGACCGAAGAAAAGTAGCCCGTAATCCATTCACATAAGCATCTGAAAAAAGAAACCAGTCTGACCATACTTGCAATACTTTAAGAACTCTTTCCTGCAGAATTTCAAGTAAAGATTAATTGGCGTCAGAGAAAGAAAAATTTATGATTGTCTGTAACTACAGCAGGATGAAATTGCCATGTACATCTTACCTTAAGGGCCTCAGCGGTGATCCTTCCTGTTATGCTACGATACAAATCATTAAAGCTCTCCATTATGTCTGGTAATGTTGCTTCAAATCTGGTGCGATATGCAGATGCATTCTTTACTGGAGCACTGCTATTGTGAAGCACATCAGAGACAGCATGAGTCTTGCTACTTTGGTTGGGATCGGGGTCTCCTTGAGAGTTAAAGATTCTGTAAGAACTTCAACTATCTGCAACAGAAAACAGACTGAGAAATATTGTACACACAGAACTAGTCTTTCTATCTTCCTTTTCTTTTCTATTGATACTCTCCACTGATTAATAGATATCTGCTTATATATGTAACATTGAATAACAAACTGATAAGTGACTATTATCCGCATTTACCTCCCCAGCTGCATCAGCATTGTCCAATGCAAACCCCATAGCATCCTTTATCTGACTCCTCTCTAACGTTAATGCACGTAACATATCCTCAAACTCATCCCTCTGTGAATCTGTAAGTGTTCGTTCTGGCTCTACACGCTACAATATTAATGAAAAGAAAGTTACACCATGAGAAAATATAGGAATTAAATCTACCCTGCTTGTGCGTGTGAAAATTACCCTGCTTCTTCCTGCAGCATATGTGGTACCAGCCTCTTTCCCATGTTCTGGGCTCTTTACTGTGGGAAGAGGTGGTGGAATCCATCTGGAAATAAAATAAAATATCGTTGGATCAGTATTATGGTCCAAGGCACCATCTCACTACTCAAACCTATCGAGCTTTCACAATAAATGTCATAGAAAGAGAAAACGTAGGTTGCATTTACCTTCCACTACCAGTAATCATAATGAAAGGTTCTGTTCGCCACCTTTGTAGTGTATCACCCTGCATTTATGTCATATATATTTTTAATACTAGGAAACTTTAAAAAGTAATAGTTAAGGTCACTCAACAACCAATGATACACAAGAAATAGGAATTATTTACACAACTGCCTAAGAAAATTATGCATGCGCACACACATAACAAAAGGTTACCTGAGCAAATGAATAGAGCCTCCAAACATAGTAAGTGTGCTCTTTCGAGCCAAGCTCAAACAAGAACGTGAAAAGAGGATTCCCTCTGCCTCTCTCCATAATAGCTTGTTCAAAGGCACATCCACCATCCAGAACATACAAAGCCATTGTATCAACCACATGGCGGAGGTGATCATCCTCTGGTGGAACAACCGTTATATCAGGAACATTTGGAGTAAGAACCTATTCACCATAAACACATACAAAGATTGGTAAGATTGCACTATTGGGGAAAAAAAACTAGAGACTATAAAAGAACTAGATATATTACCAGTTCAGAATTCTGACTGGGAACAGAAGTGACAGGCGGGCCTGATGGACCAGACAAGATTACAGTTGCTCCCTGTCAACAAAAGAAAATGTTGTTAGTTTCAACAATCCAATGTGAACTCTTTAAGTGATGCTGAGAATGTCAAATCCTTACGGCGCAAATAATTAGCTAGAAAGCATCAAATTCACAAAAAGTGAACTTCAACATGCAAACAATCTACAACTACAAATTAATTCCAAAGAAATTATGGTGAAAATGAAACAAACCTCCTTACTCCTGATGGCCATATGTCCTGGAGGGGGAGCAGGTAGTGCTTGTGATGGTAGAGCGACAGACTTGCCCCACCCAATCTTCAACTCATATTCATAAACCACCACTCCTGCACACACAAAATTCATGTTCATTCATTTCCTATCCATGCATTCCCCAATACATAAAAGTTAACAAGGCAAGGCATAACATCGGCATTTAATGTTAATTTTATGTGAATTAGTAGGTGGCATTACTACTGAGCAACATGATTTCAAATTAGGGAGATAACTCTATCTGCACATAGAAAATAACTCAAGCACATTGCAAACATCTGCCAAGAGAAATCCATCAATTCTACGGTAACTGGAAATAACCAAACCTTGCATTTCATCCTTCGCAGCCTGTCCATCAGCTCTATTCATGAAAGCTACAAAGCCACAATTTCTTTGACGCCTTCGCTCCTCTTCTGTCCTAGGCCACATTATTTTCACACTGGCAATTGGCCCAAACCTCCCAAAAGTTCGCAAAAGAAAATTTTCGTCAACCTAGAGATACCAAGAACATAATAACTTAGATTGGCAAGTTCTTTGTATACACAAGAGAACACCAAGTCAAAAAACCAAAAACCCGAAAAAAATAAAAGACCAAACCTTTGGTGAAAGATTTCCAACATAAAGATTAGTAGTTTGTGGATCACCATCATCAAATGATCCAAGAAGCTTTCCACTTGGATCAAATTCATCAGGGAGTTCATCAAAGCGACTGGATGGCTGAAAAAGAACGGCATAGTGAGTATATTTTATAATATTTGGTATATATTTTAAAAAAAAACTAGAAAACACTGCAAAATAAAACATCTATATGAAATATAGAAATAATACAGATATAATATAACAGGAATCAGAAATTCTTCTAGGAGACACAGCTAATAATAAGAACACTAAACACAAATGAAATGTGCATCCGCAATACCAAAGTGTATTTTCATGTGCTCATTAAACCTAAACCTTTTTGTGCAACCTTGCTCAAAAGCTACACCCGAAAAGAAAAAAAGCACCACACATTCAGACCTGCTCATTTAAGCAACTCAGTTACTCATAACAACCTATACTAAAACGAAAAGATATCATCCAAATCATCTTTCGTAGAAAATTGAAAACCAGATTCATTAAGGGAACACACATACTGCAGAATTCTCAATTGGTCGCCCATCACGCCAATGTTCACGCTCTTGATTTCGCTTATCCCTCATCTCGTAATCCTGCTTCCTCTCCTCCATATATTTATCTATTTCTCGAGGCTTCAATTTTTCTTTCTCCCTCGGCTTCTCCTCCTCCCTCTGCAATGGCTAATTGACAATGTCAGGAATCAATACGCTAGGAAATTCACTTTGAAAAACTACAAACGAAAACCATTACTACCATCAGGATACTGACCTTCTTCTCAGATTCTTTCCCTTTGGATGGCAAAGAAGGTGTTGGTAAGTATGGAACATACCTGCAGAAGATAATTTAATGACAAACTTGCTTGTTACCGAAGCTCTTTTCCTGGAAAATGATTAAATAAAATTGGAAGGGGGGGGTGTTGTAGACACATTAATCTTATATCAACTATTTGACTATAGCTTATTTCTGCCTAAGCCCTTGCAAACCGCTACCTTGTAGGGCCTGTTTGGTTCCTTCATTTGAAAATACTTTTGCAATAAAATCACGAAAGGCAAAATACAGTGAAAACATGTAGCCAAGTGACTTTCAGAACAATTTTTAGGAATCGTCGGCTTTAGTTCATAAATTATAAAACTAAACTATAGAAAACATCAAAAAGCTACTGCTTTCCACTACTTCTATAGAAAATTATTTAAAATCTCATCCAAACAGCACAAGATTTCCATTGTTTCCACAACATAATGTAGTAATTCCAGGTGAACACTAGATTTTCTCACTTCAAATGAAGTATAAACCGCTTTGAAGCCTAATTTTTGGTATTGCTATTGATCCAGACACATTAAACTTGCAGCTCATGAATCGCAAGCAGCTATGTGACTACAGACTAGGTCACTGAATGAGTTTATATAACATTGAGAATACAGACAATGTAGACTTAAACAGTACTAGTTTCCACTAGACGGAACAGTACTCTAACTTTGACACCAATACAGGGTAACATAACTGACAACATTTCATATCAAGCATTTGTGTGAGTTCCATTCCAGCTTCAGAACTACCACTTCATGACAGTACCATCTAGTTTATCAAGGCCCAGGCCAGTGGCCGAACTTCAATTGCTGATTATTGTGCGCTGCACTCCATGCATTAAGATAGTTTCACCCAATGCAGATAATCATTGGCTTCATATGTCTCAAGCACACATTGAAGCAACTCAAAAAATGCCTAAATATAAAAATGCAAAGTAGATATATACAAACTAGAAGTATATGCTTACTTAAGATATTCAAGAAACCTAGAGATTGTCATCACATTCAATAAACTATGTATGAATAACAGCAAGCTCACAATACATCTTTACAAATAGAAAAGGAGTTAAAAGAAAAAATAAGTGAACAGTAAGCTTGTTTCATCTGAAATGTATAGTTGAATACTTGATTATCATTTCTTTCCAAGATTGGAAACAGAATAGCATCATCGTTTGTTCGAGACAAAACTTGACTATTTTGATGCCATCAAGTAGAAGAATAAAATCAGAACCCACTTATCATTTTCCATTTTTCTAGTTTACACAATTACAAACCTCAAAATACAAAATCCATCTGACGATATCAAATCATCACCATAAAAACTCTCCTAGTTATGATGCCTTGTCAAGAGTATTGCAACATGGTTAATCAAAAGCATTTCTTTACCTACTCCCCTTCTTTGGAACAGATACCCCATCTTTGGACTTTTCACCTGCCATCCGCGAATGAATAAAAAGGTCCATGTTTTTATTAAAGTGTCCCGATAATAATAGAAAGCTATTTTACTTATCCATAGGGTGAAATGACATAATAGGAAAACAAAGCACTAAGACTGAAACTACCAGAACTTTAACAAAAACGCAGTATTGAGATCTTCAGTTATACTAACCTTCAGCATCCGCCTTCACCTTCTCATTGGGATTGATTGTTCCTCCTCGCACAAAAGCCTTCGACCCAGGTGCGTTATCCCCTTGAAAGGAATCCACAAACTCCTTATATAAGCGAGCTGTTTCCTCCTCCGCTCTCTAAAAGGGAAAAGATAAAAGAATAAAACACTGATTTGTCAGTAAAAATCTCACTTTTGCACAAGGCAACCAGTTAATCAATGGCGGCACCTTTTTCTTTGCCTCTTCCTCCTCTCTGTGCTTTTGGAAGGGAGTCTTCTTCCGCGTGATGGAGAACGAACTCATATTGCATCAGCTTCTGAAAATCAGTTCGACAAAATGCCTCCAAATTATAACCTTTTGCTTAATGCACAAAGAATATTCATCAAGATTCAATACTTTAACGCCAATTCATAATTTATTAAACCCAAATTTGCATCTGAAATAAAATCCATACTATGTAAAGCCTAGGACTTTTAAAATTCCAAATTCCTTTAGCTCAATCGTCAGAATCAAATCAGCTTACCGATAGTCGGGCAGGGTTGAAAAGCCTTTAACCCTGCAAAGCCCTAACCCTACCAGTCCGATTCCGATTCCGCCTCTCTCTTCCGCAAACCAAAACCGTGGAGGACGACGACTATGAAACGCAGGTCGTGCACGATCAGAACTTCAGAAGAGGCTCCGCAGCCCTAGTGTAAACTTGGGGTTCGACCGCTATATCGATTTCTGAGTACCGACTTACTGTAAAACCAACACTATTTGCCTATTGGAGATATATAAAATTCGGTTGTACGATATATCCTTGTACATATTATTTTGTCATTAGAATTTAGATATACAAGTTTTTATTAAATACAAAAAGATGTTAATTAAATCTTTAATGTGAAAGGGATAGAAAAAAGTTACTATTTTTTGAGGTAAAGTTTTATTGTAAAATCGCTAAAAATTATGCAAGTTTGACATGGATGGATACTTTAGCAAATGTTGGTTGTCACTTGGTCAGGGCGTGTGCATCCCTTTGCACTTGAATTCAAACCCATCTTCATATATTAGGGTAGCTTATAATATCGTCACATTGGAAAGTCGGGAAGAGCCCAAAAATATATATTGATTTAACCTTTTTATAAGTAAAAATAATAATACTAGAACAATAAATAATTCATGTTTTTATTTTATCAAGTGTTAATAAGTTATTTGGTTTTACCTTACTTGTAAGTTGTAAGTATTTCCATCCATTTGCCATGGCAAAAGGTAAAGAGAGGCAAATGTTATTACTATTCACATGAATAGTGTATGCACTAGCAATATTTTTGTTGGTTTCCACCCATAGCAACCTAAGGGCAACCACTATTCACATGAGATATGAGGAGATAAATTTGTATAAATTTTTGGTGTGAAAAAATATGGCTCGGTATTTATAAATTAAAAAATCTTATATTTTTGGTATTTTTTTCCTCTTTTATTTAAATTTGTTGTTATTTAAATTGGTTTATGACGTTACAATAACATCAACATTAAGTGATCTTACCTAGGCAGCAGCCAGGCAAATCTTGCATTAGGCCTTGCCCAGGCTGGTGGAGCCCAGCATTTGCCCTGGCAAGCCTTGGCCATTGGAAACGGAATTAAGGACTAGGAGGCCTCTTGTCCCAGCTAGCACCTCATACTGGAGTTGCTTTAAAGGCAACTAATTTGCTAGATACCAATAATATATTTAGACAAAGATAATCTATATATATAAAGCAAAAGACAGAGAATAGTGAAACATTCAAAATACCAGAAAATGCTCTTGATTAATTCAAACATTAAGAATTTAAATTAATTAAATAAGAATAATATGGTAAATTCACATTTTTAATGTTAAAAAAAATAAAATAAAAATAAAAATAGATAATAGGTCCTACCTTTATGGAACACTAGCCCCTTAGCACATGCTCACGCATGTGCCATTTGGTTTTATTTTTATTTTTTATTTTATTTTTAGAATTAAGAAAGGATAACATAGGTAGTTATCTATATATATAAAACAAAAGGCAGAGAACAATGAAACATTCAAAATACTAGAAAATGTCATTGGTTAATTCAAACATTAAGAATTAAAATTATTAATTAAATGAGAATAATATGGTAAATTCATATATTTTTAATTAAAATTAAAAACAAAATCAGATAATAGGTCCTAATTTTATAAAACATAACTACCCATATTATATTTTCTTAATTCCAAAAATGAAATAAAAATGAAAATGAAAACCAATTGGCACATGCGTAAGCATGTGTCAAGAGGCTAGTGTTCCATAAAAGTAGGACCTATTATATGATTTTGTATCTAATGTTAATTTTTTAATATGAAAAAAAATGTAAATTTACTATATTACTAACTTATATTATTAATGTTTGAATTAACCAAGTACATTTTTTGGTATTTTGAATGTTTCAACATTCTCTGTCTTTTGTTTTATATTTAATTAATAATTTATATTCTTAATATTAGAATTAACCAATGACATTTTCTGGTATTTTGAATGTTTCACAATTCTCTACAATTTGATTATATATATACAGAGAGCTTTCATTGAGGGATCCCTCAAATAAGCTTATTTGAGGGACACCCCTTGTAGGCCCCACTCCGGATTGTATTTCACTAATCCAAACCGTCTATTTTGTAGATACTCATTCAAAGATCATCTCTACAAAAAATCACTTGAATCCAATATCATTTGACCACTCAATTGAGTTATTGAAATTTTAGAACTTTCTTGAAGCATCGTGTTCGTTGATTTTGTAAGACACAATTGGATGTTGAAACGGTTTCAGATTTATCTAATTTTTTGTAAGGATGATCTATGAATAAAAACCTAAAAAATAGATAGTTTGGATCATTGGGAAAAAAATTGTAGGGTATCCTACAGGGCGTCCCTCAAATAAAATTATTTGAGGGATCCCTCAATAGAAGGGGATACATATATATAGATAACTACCCATGTTATTTTTTCTTAATTCTAAATAATAATAATAATAAATAAAACTAATTGGCACATGTGTGAACATGTGCCAAGGGGCTAATTATAAATAAATGAAAATAGGACCTAAGTACTAAATTTATGAATCTATTCACAGGTCCAACCACACCGGTTTTACCATTCATACAAAGAAAATTAATAAAACATTGTTGTTCCACAAAACACAACGTAAATTATTACTAGTGTTGATTAGACCTCTAAGACCACTGGTTTTTATTATACCTCTAAGAACACTAGTTTGTTTGAACAGTCGAGTTTATTGTAGAAGATATTTAGATTTACAAGTTATTTCATGAAATGGAAAAGTGCTCCTCCATTTTCATGGTGGACAGTAAATTGGACAAATGGTAAACAAATTATTCTCTCCGGGTTTACTAAACTGCCGGGGAAAATCTCGTAAAACTGAAGGAGAAACACTTCAATCAGCAGAAAAGTAGCCAGTGCTGTTTTAGATGACGGTTTTGCACCATTTGCTGCAATCTAAGACGGTTATTCGACTTTTAGTGACAAAATTTAGGTCTGTAACTCAAATTTCACAGCGCTTTTTCCGTCGCTAGTCGTTGGCCTTATGGTCAGCTTTGGCAACGGTCTGTGAAAGTCTTGGGTAAAAGTTGAAAATTGTTACAAATGCAGCCGGAGCCGTTTGAACAATTGTTTTTTCTTTTACTAGACATAACCTAATTTCAGAAATATCCTCTTTAAATGGTACAAGAGCCTAATATCACCACCGTCAAGCTTATGAAACAAAAGTTGCATTTGAAGATATGCGCACAAATAGAAAAGTTACAACACCATGCTAAACACAGACCAGATGCAAAGCCCAGATAGTCACAAATTATACACTCCATTAGCCATTCCCTTTATAATGGATTCAAGTCTACAAATCCTCTCTCTCTTTTTGCGGATTGCCACAGAACTAATCTGCAGCATCACTTTAGTCAATGTGCCAGTTTCTGCAGATGTCGAAGTGTCCGTTGTTTAATCCATTGTCGGTCATACGGCAGATAAGCTTGAATTGAGTGATCATAACTGCAAACCAAAACCAGAAAGAGGAGTGTTAGTGTCCTCCCAAGGCAACAGCCACCACAAACAAAACTTGATGGACCCAGATTTTATTAATCTCAATTTCACAATGGATCATGTTCAGTTCTTATCACTTTCCCATCCCAAATTAAACAGGCTGTCCAACTGGTGGGACTTTGATGGACGGATAAAGTAAAGTATAACGGCTAGCCTATGGTAACTCCTGTACGGCTATGTAGCCTGGTGACCGGAAAAAAAAAGTCTGTACTTTAAACTTTTCAACTGGAAAGGTGCTTTCCTGATGCAACTATAATAAGTTAACTTCAAATATATATATATATATATATATATATATATAATAAGGTGAGGCACTCACAATATAAATAAATAAATTTGTACTATCCAGGAAATAATCATATGTGATCAACATTCACATTCAACAGATAGTCATCTGTGTAAACCTCATTTGTTTGATACAAAAGTTCAAATTATTTAAACCACCATATGTCGTGTTAGACAATCCAATTCTTCAAAAGATCAATCAATAAAATCCAATTCGACAACATAGCCAAATATACATATACTCTGTAATGATTTAACTTTTATATTACACCTTTTTTCTGTAGGTACATAGTAAACATTTCTAACTCAAAATTCAAAGATCATTGACATAAATCTACAAAAATTGTTCAGTGAGAAGGCTATACATATTTTGGTGCCTACATTGTGTGTGTGTGTGTGTGTGTGTGTGTGTGTGTGTGTGTGAGAGAGAGAGAGAGAGAGAGAGAGAGAGAGGCGTACACTAAAGCACTCATGTCAGCGAGGCCATCAATAAAGTTGTAGAGATCTCCAATATCGTATGAGATATTTCTAATTGCTGGATTTAACTCCCTCAGCTTCCTCTCATACAGTCCACATATACCTATACATGCACAACAGCATAACCTCTAGTCAATGCAAACAAAAAGATGATGGTTATAACGACATTATTTCTTGGGAGCCCTCTAACGCCTTTTCACCCAAAACAGATTACAAGTATCCAACTGTGAACCAGGAAGGCTTAAAAACTCACAAGAAACATATAGATAAACAAAGAAACCTGTTTTCTCTCTCATATGAAGTGGAAGTTTTATTTGTCACATGAGTTACCATGTTTCATTGAGCACAAATACACTAATCATAAAACATGTAATATAGTAATGTTCTCACAACTTATAAATCCCAATACTAAATAAAATAATTATCTTAGACGGCTGCACAATC